ACCCAGTTGCCGACGGACCACGACGACCTCCGCGTCATCATCGTCTCCGACGCCGGCACCGTCGTCGTCAGGACACCCGTCGTCGGCTAATAAGCTTTCTAGCTAGCCACGCCGGCTAGCCGTCTAGTACTGAAATAATTAATTACACATAAGATAAAAGAAAAAAAATCAATTCTAGGGTCTCTGAACACGCACGAGTCCAGATTCATAATTAGTATTGAGTTTTTTGTAGCACGAGGTGTTGTGCTGTGTAGCTGTGCGCACGCTTGTATCCGTCTGTATCTGTGTATGGCTGCATGTTTACACGCGTGCAGTAGTTCTGGTCGATTGGTCAATACGTGCTATATATGTTCCTTTTATTTTTGTGAGCGAGATATTTCACTTAAAAAAAATTATGAACGAGATATGAGAGTACATTTAGGACACATTATTCATCGTATCTTACTCAACACGTATGTGTAATTCTCGATTATACCTCTTGGATGGTCAGGAATAAAAAGATCCAGAATTTAGCAAAGGGCATATCCCTCCATTTCCATTAAAGAAATGTAGGATTTCTACGCAGAGTAGAGTGTTGAACCAGGAGGGGGGACGACCGCCCAGGTACTCATTGCTCACAGGTAACGAATTGAAGTGCAAGAAAACATAAGATGAGAAGCAAAACGACCGGGATGCATGTTGCATGCTTATTTCGAGTGTGCCGATTGTTGTACAGGAACGAACGTACGTATTGTAAGTCACCGATTGGTGACTTGGTACGTAGTGAGACTTGTTAATTTACACCCTTATTAAGTTCTTATGTAATTGATACTAGTGATTTTTTTTAATATATCATTTATCTTATCTAATTTTTTTCTAGATATAAAAAGACTTAAGCCATGTTTAAAGAACATTTGATGATAAATCAAAATAAATAAAATAAATGATAATTGCATGATTATTCTGATAAGACAAACAGTCAAACGTATCTTAAAAAAATTAACAACATTATATATTAAAAAAGATGGAATATAATGTAATTCTCTCTCTATATATATCTTTGGTTTACACGGAATAGCTAGAGAATGGAGTATATGCTCGTCAATGGAAGTTTAATTACCCAGCCTAGCTAGTAACAACGGCTGGATATATAATTATCACAACATTTATTAAACAATCGAATCACTATAATAAAATAGCGGTATGTGTGTAGGAGAAGATGTCGTTAGTTCCGGCACTCATCGAGGGCGGCATACGCGATATATATGTATTAACCATAGTAATCATCAAATGATTAACATCGATCTAGCCAACGTCCACATACACTTAGTAAGCATGCTCTATGTTATGATCAGTAAATTAATTAATTAATGATCAATGCAAGAGGTGTACGTGCTATATATAAGTTCGAGCGAGAGACACTAGATATATTGATCATTTGACTCAACCAATCTCAGTTGATTTGGGTACAAACTGAATTAAGCTAGAGAATGGGCAGAGACATGCCGGCCGCCGGCGGCGATCCTCAGGTGGCGGCGGCGGAGCAGCTGCGGCGGCTGAAGTCGTCGTGGCCGGAGTTGGTGGGGTGGCCGGAGTTCTACGCGGCGCTGAAGATCATCGACGAGAGGCCGGACGTGACGGTGTACATGTTCCGCGACGGCGACGACCTGCCGCCGCCGGAGCACGACCCCGCCCGCGTCGCCATCTTCGTCGACGGCGACATCCGCGTCTCCCGGACTCCCGTCGTCGGCTAGCTATATATGCCCATCACCCATGCTTGGCTGCGCAATATATATATTCTCTCCGTTTCAAAATGTTTGACACCGTTGACTCGTTAGTACGTGTTTGACCATTCGTCTTATTCAAAAAATTTAAGTAATTATTTATTATTTTCATATCATTTGATTCATTGTTAAATATACTTTCATGAACACATATAGTTTTACATATTTCACAAAGTTTTTTTGAATAAGACGAATGGTCAAACATGTGCTAAAAAGTCAACGGTGTCAAACATTTTGAAACGGAGGGAGTACATTTTAAAAGCTTTTTACCATTCTTAAGTACGTGATGGTATCTCGATTGATGCCTTGTGATACTGGCCACGTGTTAAATAGATGTAAGAGGAGGTACTAATGTGCAAGGGTAAAAATAATACCTACCCTACTCCTCTGATGGTACCCTCTCTGGTTTACGATACTTCCTTAAGGCTTGTAAAAATCTTCTAAACTATAAGCTTGTTGTATTTTCTGGACACAAAGCCTCAGCATACGGAGCTTTTTTACGGACCTTGAGAAGGTACCAGATATGAAGAGGTACCAACTAAATCAGACCATTCATCTTGCAAGGGTAGGATCGAGCTTAAAAAATAAGCGGGCTTTGTCTACAGCTTTTTTGTTCTCACTGGATCTTTCAAAGTGTCGCACTTCGTCACAGCAGCGTACGTGAAGAGAGCTCGCACCGGCCATCACGGTGATAACGGCACCGTCAGATCACCTCGCTTGCAGTGGCGCGGTAGCAGCTTTCCTCCATCGCTGGCCATCGTTCCTCCCTGGATATCCGTGATGCCGAGTGTGTCGGACGCCGCCATGCTGATCCAAGTCGAAGGAGGTTGACGGAGGGAAAAAGCATAGCTTAGGCACCTGGAAGGATGCCAACTGGGAGGAGCGGTGATGCTAATCTAGCATGACGAAGTTCGACAGCGGGGACTAGCGACAGTGAGATCAAATTACAATGGAAACGCGCCGCTCATAATCCCCTTCCATCGCAACCTCGTGCCACAGCTGTTCACTGTCGTCTCCATGCCGCCGTCGCATCCAAGGCACCGTTGTGCCGCCGTCGGATCCACCTCACCACGGCCACCATCTCATCGATCCCGTCGTGGCCACCGTCGCATCCACCCCGCTGCCACTGCTTCCGTCGTATCCATGGTGTTCTCTCTCGTCCTGCCTGTGATGCCGCGTGCAGGGAGAAGAAAGAGATGCGTGCGATGAGGAAGAGAACGCGAAAAAGACAAAAATACCCTCCCACCTATATACCGCATCGATCAATCTTGCACTACCACGTGGTACGAGGCTGTATCAGCCGTTTGGTGGGGCTAGATGGATGGCCAAGATTCGGTATCGCGCAGGCTCAAGGACACTAAAAATCTCCCATAATTTTATTTTTTTTAAAAAAAAACACATCCAAAAGGGGTTCGGAGATTAAAACTCCGAACGCCGTTGAGCCGACCTGCCTTCAGCTAGGTGCTCGTGCTAACCAGATGCGCGCGGGGGGTCATCGATTTGTCCACAAGCACGTCAAGGGGGTTCGGAAACTAAAACTCCGAACCCACTAGCTCTGATTTCTCCTGTTTTGTGTTTAATTAATTCTACTCATCATGTACCTATGCCAAATTGCTAAACTGTCAAAAAGGATTAAAAAAAATTGCCTGGATACTATCTCTCTCGATCACATCGAACAAGAAAAAACACAATGGATACATATGCATTGTCTCCTCATCGACGAGTTAATTAATCCCGGTGTTGTGATGCCATGCCATCTGCATGTACGTATATAAAGCACACCTACGACCTTATTACAAGCTTAATTGAGAATCAGGCTGTAACATATATACATCGCGATCGAGAGGATCGAGGATGGGGAGAGCGGCGGCGGCAGTGGGCGGCGGCGAGATAGTGAGCATAAAGACGGCGTGGCCGGAGGTGGTGGGGTGGGATGGCATGTCGGCGGTGATGAAGATCCACCGCGACCGGGCGGACGTGCGGGTGGAGGTGCACACCGTCGGCGAGAGCGTCCCGCCGGGGTTCGACGGCGAGCGCGTCCTCGTCTTCCTCAACGACGACAACGCCGCCACCGTCGCCCAGACGCCAGTCGTCGGCTAGCTAGCCCCCCATCGGACTACTGGATCGGATCAGACTCGCTAGCTATATACTCCGTCCCTTACAGGTTACAAGACGTCAGTCAGAGTCAAACTGTTTTAAATTTATCTAAATTTATAAAAAAATATAGTATTTTTATAATACTAAATTAGTTTAATCAAATCAATAATTGAATACATATTCATAATAAATTTATCTTGGGTTGATAATGTTACTATTTTTTTTCTACAAACTTGGTTAAACTTAAAATAATTTGACTTTATTTAAAGTTAAAACGTCTTATAACCTGTAACGGAGGGAGTAGCTTATTATCCTCAATAATACTTACTACTGATAAATAAAGAATTAATTAGTGGTCTTATGACTTGCGAGCCTGATCGATCTATCGATCATGTCTATGGGTTAAATTCAAGTTAAGTACTGTACTACATATATGCCTTCCTGTGAAGATAAAGATGTCTTACTATTAATTCATACGTGTGCCGTGTACCGTGTACGTGCTATATATGTCCAATGCAAAATCAGCGCAAATGCTGCTCAGTTTAATTAATACTGATCTGATCTGATCCTACATCCAGCTGAGATGCAGTTCCAATCCAACACAGCATCCTTAATCAATCACACAAGTGCAGCACTTACTTGTAACTAATCTCCACTGTAGCACGCACCGGCCCGGGCCATAGCGCATCCCCTTCGTCGGCTAGTTACTACACTTAATCCATGATCCATCACGGGTCGTTGCAATTAATTCTAGCCACTATTCCAATATGGAACAATTTACTTCCATCTCAGCGAACTTAATTATTTCATCCGTTTCATATTATCAGACTTTCTAACTTTTGTCACATTCATATATATGTTAATAAATCTAGACATATATATGTGTGTCTAGATTCATTAATATCTATATAAATATAAAGATAAATAGATCCAAAAACAAGTTAGTCACATACTAGCCCACAAAGCTCGTAGTGAGCATCTCTCCAAGTTTTGGCTTGGTAACTCTTGCAGTTTAATTTTTCAGTATCTCTATAAGGATTTGTTGGTTGAGTAATATATTCTTGCTCTTCTCTGCAAAAAAAAATTATATGAATGTGGGCAATGTTAAAAAATTTTTAAAAATCTATATTCTTGCAGATGTAGTATTTGATTTGATTTCTTATTAATGTATAGTTTGATTTTAATAAGGGAGATAAAATCGGGTACATATTTTGGTGGGCTGTAGTGGGCCACGCCACGTTACACAAGAACTAGACCCAAAACGGGCCTGAAATCCAATGGGCCAATACAGCCATATTCGTATTGCCGCGCGCGATGCGGCGGCGGCGCGCGCCCTAGTGATCGCCGGCGACACGCCGGCACACCCTGGCCTCCTTGTACACCCTTCCCGGCCGGCAGAGGTAGCCCTTCTCCGGCGAGCAGTGCGCGTCCTCCGAGCACACGCACAGCCCCTCCAGCGCGCACCCGTCCCTCACCACGCTCACGCCGCCGGCGCCGGCGACGCCGAGCACCTTGTCGCTCCACTCGCTGGAGAAGAGCCCCTCGGGGTCGTAGCTGCCCTTCACCTTGAGGAACTCGCCGGACTTCGGGTACTTGGCGATGGCGCCGTCGAAGGCGGCGTTCCGGTTCTTGCCCCAGTGCGGGACGCCGCCGTACTTGCGCAGCGCCATCTGCTCGATCTCCTCCACCGCGTCCTCGTGCAGCCGCGGCGCCGCCGGGTCGCGGCTCCGGTAGTAGGTGAGGTCGAGCTCGACGCTGTCCTCAGGCTTGCCGAGGTGCGCCGTCGACGCCCTGACGTAGCGGAGGAGGACGCCGTAGTACACCTCGAGGCCGCAGAGCGCGTCCGGGTTGAGGTCGCGCAGCCGCTGCACGTCGCGGATGAACGCCGCCGCGCCGGAGAGCGGCACGCTGATGCCGGACTGGAAGAAGAAGGAGTTGTGCCTGACGCGTGGGTCCCACGTGCAGGCGGTGAGGAGGCCGTCGTCGGCGCCGGAGAGGCAGGACCCCGACGACTGGATGCGGTTCTGGTAGCCGACCACCGCCGCGCCGGGCGGCGGCGGGAGCACGCCGCGCCTCGTGACGCCGTAGTTGCCGGCGGCGAGGCGGGCTATCGTCGCCGACCCGGCGAGGCACTTGCCGGCGGAGTTCGCCGTCGCTTCGAGGGCGTCCTCGCCAATCCTATTGGCCTGGATGGCGACCGTGGGGCTCGACTGGAAGACGACGAGATCGTAGACGGCGCCATCGCCGGAGGTGGTGTTGGGCACGCGGTCGTCGATCCGGTACACGGCCTTGCCTTGGCTGGGAAGCCAGAGGATGTCGGCGAACTCGTGCTCGCCGGCGAAGGCGGCGACTCGTTCCGCCAGGTCGTCGTCGTCGCGCCGCCGGAACGCCACCGAGCGCTTGAACATTGGTTGCAGCTTTAGAGTTACCTGATCAAATTCAAACTTTCGAAAATTAACGGAGCAGTATTTACAGACAAAACAGGCTAATTAATGAAACAATCAGGTTAAATACTAAGTTGCTCAGTACGGGGATATTTGCTTTCAATGATGAGAAACGAGTAGTAAAGGTTTGAGAGGACATGCCATGTCCCATGTGAGTTGTTGAGTAATTCCGTTAATTAATAACTTCACAAAAATTGGCCAATGCATCTAATTAATAGAAGTGTTCAAATTTCAATGATGATTTTATATTTTCTTGAGTTAATTTTAAGAGTGTATTATATTCCATCTGTTTTGTAAGACTTTCTAAAATTGCTCATATTAATATAGATGTGTCTAGATTCATATCTACATAAATGTGGATAATGCACTAATGTTAGAAAGTCTTGTGAAATAGATGAAGTATGTGCGTGTGCATCTTTGTGTAAAAATATTACTATATAGAGAGAGAAGAAAACCAGCTGTTGAAATGTTGAACTCGTTGCACCTGAGAAATGACCCCGAGCACGCCGAGCGACACCTTGGCGGCGTCCAGCTCCGGGTCGCCGGCGGCGAGCACGCGGACCTTGGCGTGCCCCTCGCTCGCCGGCGCCGGCGTGACGATCCTCATGCCGACGACGTACTCGTGCACGGCGCCGCCCTTCCCCCACACCGAGCTCCCGTGCGCGCCCGTCGACAGCAGCCCGCCGACGGTGAGCCCCAGCCAGTACGGCGAGTGCGGCAGCGCGAGGCCGCCGCCCGCCGCGGCGTCGATCAGCTCCGCCAGCGTCACGCCGCTCTCCACCGTGATCTCCATCCTTCCGGCGTCCACGGCGACCACGCGGTTCAGCGCGTCGGTGCTGATGACGAGGCCGCCGCCGCCGCCGCCGCCGTCGCCGGGGCAGGCCAGCTTGGGCACGCTGTGGCCGTACCGCGTCGCCACCTTCATCTTGGTCCTGGACGCCGCGGCGCCGGCGACGACGCGGAGGAGCTCCCGCTCGGACGCCGGGTACGCCGCGGCGGCGGCGCGGCACGTGGAGCGGTCCGGGAACGCGCCGTACGCGTTGGTCACGGTGCAGTTGGCCGTGCCCGACGCGCACCTGACCGGCCCCGGCGGCGGGCTGGCGCCGGCGAAGCGAACACTTGCGCAGAGAAGCACGGCCACGGCGGCGAGGAGTGGAGCGCCATGGGTGATGCGCCGGCGACCACCCGGTGCACCTCGCCGGCGGCGAGCTTGCAGCTGCTGCATGGTTAGCTTAATTTTTTTGGCCTGTAGTGCGTGATTGCTTGTCCGGTTGGTGACCTGCTGATGGGGCATGTCATTTCGTGCATGGAGTTTGGGTTTTTAAAGGCACGCGGTGCCCTTCCATTTCTCCTTTTTCCTTGAATTGGAGAGTTTGTTTTTTTGGTTCATAAATTGATTTCACATCACGTGGACAGCATTAATGCGAAGCACGATTTTCGTTGAAAAAAACAAACAGCACCCATGCATTGAGCAACATAAAACGTCAAACACTCTCGATTATGGCCCGGATATAAAACGTCAAATATATAATTACACAAGTGCACATCACTTCTGTGCAACTTAAATTACTTAGGCATTGTTAATATTGAAGCCAAAATAAACCTTTTTAAATTTTAACAACATTTTTTATATATGTATTTATTAAAGTTTGGTAAGAAACTAAATGGATGCACATAATTTGACAACTCTAAAAATAAATAAATATGGTTTAAAATGGCATCAATCTGAATAAACCCTTAGCGATTTGACTCTACTCCCATCGTTTCAAGAATGTTTTAAGATAATTTATCTATTTGAAATTACTCCATCCAGCTTAAAATATATCAACATAAATTTAGATGATGGAACATACTCTAATCCTATCTTTTCAAGGGTGTTCTAATTAAGATATTTTATTGTAGCGCCCGTTCCGTCGTGGCGCCTAGCGGGAAAATTATCTCTTAAAAACCCTAATTGCGAAATTTGTTTCTTTGCTTGTTGTCTAGTGTCCGTGCCATCTCAGATCTCAAATCCCCGATCTATCGTCGAGTTCAATCCCGAATCCAAACCCTTCCCAAATCAATTCCTCCGCAAAAGTCTATTTTGCCTCCCCCGGGGTCGATGGGCCGAATTTCTCTCGGCCCATCTTCCCCTCTCCCCCGGCCCTCTCCTCTCCCCCGGCGCGCTCCCGCTCTCTCTCTCTCTCTCTCTCTCGCCCCCTCCCCTTCCCCGGCGCGCTCCCTCTCCCCCTCTCCCTCCGCTCCGCTCCGCCCCGCCCGCCCGCGCGCCGCGCGCGCGTGTGCGCGAGCACCGCGCCGAGCGCCCCCTCCCTTTCCCCTCGCTCTCCTTCTCCTCTCCCTGGCGAGCTCCCCGCTCGCGAAGACGGCCCCCGCGCACCGTCGTTCGCGTGCGCGCCCGCGTGGTTCCCCGCCCGAGCCGCGTCGTCTGCGCCGTCCGCGTCGCCCGGCCCCGCTGCTCTGTCGCGCCTGCAGCCGCTCGGCCCCGCGAGCCAGCGCGCGTGCCCAGCCGCGCCGCCCGTTGTTTCCCGCGTGCGCGTGCCGAGTGGCTGACCGCCTGGTCGCCGCCGCCGTCACCCTCTGCCGCGCCAGCCCGCGCCTGTCGCCCGTGACGTCGCGCCGCTCCAAACCGCCCCGCCGTCATCGCCGTCGTCATCGCCTCGGCCCCGCCACTCCCGCGCTAGCCTCCAAGGGACGGAGGCAGAGCCTCCCTCCTCCCTCTGCCGCGACGCCCTCGCTCCCTCCTCCTTTTCCCGAATAGGCAAGGGGACAAGCCCCCTTTTCTCTCCCTCTTTTCCCCTTTTTCCCTCCCGCCGGCGTCATCCTCCTCCCTCCTCCCTGTCGCCGCTTTGGCCGCGACCGCCGAGCGCTAGCCCTCTCCTTTGACCGCCCTAAGTCGGTTCCCAAACCGACATTGCCATCCTATAAACCCGAGCTCCCCCCCTTTTCCTTTCCTCTCCCATTCACCTCCGCGCCATTGCCGCCCCTCTGTTTCGCCGTCGCCGTTCGTCGTTGCGCGTGTCGGAGGAGCCGGCACGAGCAAGGACGCGGAAGGGGACTTCAGCCGCGCCCTCTCCTTCCTCTTCCCCGGCCCGAGGCCGGAGAGATTACTTCCGCGCCGTCGGCCTCTCGTCACAGCGCCCCTCCTCACCTCGGTGATGCCTCCCTCCGTTCTTCCTCCTCGCTCCATCTCCCCCCCTTAGTTTTCGGTGGTAGCACGAGTAGCCTCCCCGTAGCTAGCCAGCGCCGCCCCGACCGTTGCCGTCGCCCGCCGTGTGCTCGCCGCCGTCGCCGCTCGAGCTCCGTAGCACCCGCTCGTCGCCAGCCTCGCTCGGCGTAGCTCCGCCCAATCCGACGCTAGCATCGGATTCCCGTGGCCGCGTAGATGCTCTCACCGCCGGGAATTGGCCCCTCGTGACCTCGTCGCCGTTTCCCTCTTCCCTCCCCGCCGGTTGCCGCCGCCGCGATTCGCCGCCGTCAAGCTTCCTCCGGCGAATCCGAGCCGTTGGCTCGTCTCCCCTCGTCTCGTGCAACCACCCGGTGTGCTCGTTTTCGCCGGTATCGCCGTGGTCCGCTCCGCCGCTCGCCGCTGTTGTCCGCCGTCCGTTCCGGCCGGCGTCGTCGTCTACCTCCCGCCAGCCCACGTGGCAGCCACGTAGGCGCCACGTCGGCGCCAGCTCAGCTGAGGTTGGGACGGGCCGACCCCGGTCAGCCCTTCCCGTGCGCGCGTTCCACCGCGAGCCGTGAGGCTGCGCGTGGGCCCGCCGCATCCGTTCCTCCGCAGACCGTGCGCGTGCACCGCGTCCCTCCCCCGCCCGCGCGCGTGCGCCGCGTACTCCCTCCGGACGGTGAGCCGAGCCGCTGACAAGCGGGTCCCACCTGGGACCGCGCGCGGTGAGCCCGGTCCACCGGCTCTCTCTCCTCCCTCCCGCGCGCGCGACCGTCTTGGGCCGGCCGGCCCATTTAGCTCGGCCGGACCGCCCCAATTCTCTTGGGCCGCGCCCTAGCCGCCCGAGAAAAGTCTATTTTCCCTCCCTCTTTTCTTTTCTTTTCTTTTCTTTTCCAAAAAGGATTTAATTAAATCATTTTCCTTTAGACCAAAAATCCAATAATCTTAGAAATTCAATACCTTCCCAACCGTAAATCCATTTGACTCCGTTCAGCTTCCAAAATTCCTCAAATCTCGAGATCTATCTAATGGCACGCTTAGAGGTCATTATTAGGGCTTCATTTTCGCCGTTTGTTGAGTTGTCCTGTTTCGCGTGTAGTTCCGGAGCCCGAAGACCCGCAGTGCGAGGATTTCGAGGATCAAGCTCCAGACCTCGAGCAAGGCAAGCCACCTTTGAACATCTTGAGCCTATACTTGAAATTTAATTATGTTGCTTGCAAAATATTATGCATTGATAGGATCGCACTTAATCTGTTGTCCCGTCTGCAAGGCAGATTAGCGGACCTACCTAGTTTGTTGCATTGATCCTTCCTTTGTTAATTGTTATACCATGTTCCCTTGTAACCACCCAGTTGCGCCTCGGAAATCGTGCAATCTGTGCGAGTACCAAAGGGCGCCTTCAAATTTAAAATCTGAGCAACTTCTTGGGTAAAACTTAAGTTTTACAAAAGACTTGGAAAACCCGACACCTGGGTCGGTGCTTGTGAACTAAATGAATTTCCAAAACCGCGGACCGGGGAACGTACCGGGTGTACGGTTTTCCCGTTCTCGCACTTAAGGACCGATTCCTTGGAATTTCATCCAAACATAAGACAAGTACGACCACATGGGTGGAATGGGACACCCCTGGCTGAGTAACTAGCTTATCAGGGGAGCCTTGATGTCGAGAGACATGTGGATTCGCCGGGGTGGTGTCGGGGAGGACCACTGGGCTTCCTGGCACAGTATGGTCTGGGACCTAACCTGTTGTTGGTCTGGGACCCCTCTCGTCGGCATATGGTAAACCTGTGTCGGCTTTCGAAATGCCTTGTCATGAAAGCTTGGAGGTCTCCCGACGTGGCTGATCCCCACGGGCTGGGTGATCCGGGTTAGTAATGTCGTGTGGGTAAAGTGTACCCCCTCTGCAGAGGTTAACAAACTGTTCGAACAGCCGTGCCCACGGTCATGGGCGGATGTGAGGTGATTCCTAGCGTAGTTTTGTTTGACTACTGCTTGTGAAATTGCTGTTGTGGAAAGGGGTTCGCTGTTTGAAAAATCTGCAGCTGATGGGATCAGCTAGGCCCGGGTGGCCGTTTGAAAGTTGTTGGCCCGGGTGGCCGTTTGAAAAGCTGTTGGCCGGGTGCCAACCTTGTTTTAAATTTTAAAGACTGATACATTGCACATACTCCGACCGGTCGAGACGCACCGTCTCAACCGTGTTGTTTGAGAAGCACTCACTTAGTTGTTTTTAGAAAAAGAGTTCAAATAAAATCAACTGCAAAAACAACAGCCTTTCCTTGAAGCCTGCATTAAACACCTATTTTCCCTTGGCTTGCTGAGTACTCCCGTACTCACCCTTGCTCTATATAAATAAACCCCCCCAGTTGCTGAAGAAGATGAAGCGGATCCTGCTGATGAGGAGTTCTTTCAGGAGCAAGCCGGCTACGATGAGTTTTAGGGTTTCGGCCTAGTTCCCAAGTCGCGCCTGTGTTGTTTGGTCCAAGTCCTGCTTCCGTTTCCCTTTTGTAATACAGTTGTGAGCTCGGGATCTGTTCGTAGCCCAACATGACTGTATCCCTACTCTATAATAAAGAGACCGCTGTTGCTGTGATATTCTGTCTCCCTGTGATACCAGCACTGTTTCCTGGGACTGGTATCGATCAACAGGTTAATTTGGAGCGTCACGGGCTAGTTCCGGTCGGTACTAGTTCGGGGCGTGACATTTATCCGTTCTAATTTATAAATGACTATCTCCGTTCTACTCGTGCATGGAGTTTGGCTTTTTAAAGGCCACGCGGCGTCCTTCCATTTTCCTTTTTCATTGAATTGGAGAATCAATTTCCTTTTGGTGCATAAATTGATTTCGTATCACGTGGACAGCATTAATACGAAGCACGATCTTCGTTGAAAAAAACAAACAGCACCCACGCATTGAGCAACATAGAACGTCAAACACTCTCCATCGAATATGGCCCGAATATATAAAACGTCAAATATATACTCCCTTCATTTTAAAATTTAAGGCATAAGTACCATTATCTCAAATACTAAGAAACATCCTAAGAAACAACTATTATCATCTCATTATTTAAATCATCCTAATAAATACAATCGGTGCACCCAATAAATCATCCTAATAAATTCAATCGATGCACCCAATAGAATAACTTTGGACATTAATTTAAAATGATGGGAGTAGTGCATTTCTGAGTGTATGAGCGTGCGAATGAACGTAGTGTGCGTGCATCTATGTGCGTTTCACATAATCAAAAAATCATCAAAGTGTCCGGATCTGACATCAATTATGGATTTGATTTTCGGACTTTGCTGCCAAATAGGGCCACAAAGTCATATATATATGTATTAATGGCCTCATCATAAGTACATATATCAAACATTCCATCTAAAAAAATCCACTTATTAATTATACTATCTTAAAACACTCCTCACAATCACATTGATGCGTGTGAAATAGAAGTGGTTGGAAGCGAACAGCTTAAGCTAATGATACAGAATTTAAGGAAATTCACTTGTACTTAATTTACTAGAAGCCTCAATTACTCTCTACCTAATCTCACATAAAAAATCCCAAAAAAGAATTGCATGTGATACGCACGTCTATTTAGTCAATACACTCTACAATCGGTGCACGTTAACATGTAATCTGTTGCATTGCATGTGTACATACGTCAAGTTCAGAGATAAGTGCCACGATTGATTGCATAGCTGTATCAATATCGAGCACAAGTTTCCCCCTCCCCCCCCAAAAAAGAGAGAGAGAGAGAGAGAGAGAGAGAGAGAGAGAGAGAAAAGATTATCTTACTCGAGCAGAGATTACTCGTACGGCTCCCCTCTGACTAGCTATCATCTGACGTACCAACGAACTTGAAATGAGTAAATCTGGAATTACCTCTTACAAAAAGATCTGAAAAGATAAAATGACCTAATAACATCTATACTTGAGAAAATGAGAACAGGTTTATATCGTAGTAAACGACCTAATTACAACTTCACAAGATTAATTAGTTGAAAAAACATTAACAGAACAAGGCAGAATTTGACATAAAAACGGCACGCAACGGAAGAAAATGGTGGCAGCTTGATAGTTCGATATCAAAAGTATATATGCGTGCAAAACAGCTGACCAAGCTAGAGTCTTGACAAAACTACAGTGGCAACTAAAAGGACAAGACGAGTATTGCATTGGCAAAGAAGTCAGAACTGATAGGAATTTATAAATGGGAAAAACCAGTGCTTCAAAACTTCCAACTGTGTTGAGCTGAAAACTGTATATTAGTGCACTCCTCTCGCTCTAAAGAAAAACTATTTTAGTACACTATTCTTCTGTAAGCTCTATCAGCCTTGTTCAGGCTTACCATGCGTAAACCACCATCACCTCTTACCATTGAACCAGATTGCGTGAGAGAAGATGTACCATCGTCCATCATGGAAGTAGATGTGGGCATTCGGTCTGACCAAAAATTTTAATCTCAGTCTTCGGTCTTTCGACCATTTTGGTCTTTGAAAAGTGAAGTCCGAATTTCAACGCAAAAAGTTAGGACTGACAAATTCAGTCTAGGTCTCGGTCCTAACCAAAATTCAACAACATTTTCATATATGCAAAGAAATAATCAAAATTTTCAACACAAAAATAAAAAAATTCGTAAGCACGTATGAGTAAAGACTCTTATTAGGTTGCATGCCTAGAAGAAATAGGGATGTGAAAATTAGAGTTTAATCCTACTAAACCTAGTGGATTATAGGTTGTATTTAGACATTTTTTTAATTCGGTCTTTTCAGTCTATTCGGTTATCCGAGTATACTAACGGAATTGATGTGAAAATTAGAGTTTAATCCTACTAAACCTAGTGGATTATAGGTTGTATTTAGACATTTTTTTTAATTATGTCTTTTCGGTCTATTCGGTTATCCGAGGATACTAATGAAATTGATCGAACAAATATCGATCTTTCACTTACCTATTAGGACCGGCTTTCTTGGTCTCGGTATTTTTGGTTGGGTCTTTTTCTACCCACCGCCCTACGTGAAAGCGTGGACCACCACCATAGCGACGGCTTGGAGTCCACATGAGTACATATGGGTTCGCGAAGCCTAATCAATTACTCCGGCCTTTTGGGCCCACAAGTAAGCCTATTAGTTGCTGGATTTTGGGCCGGGCCATGTGGAGTTCAGTTGAAGGTTAAAACATTTTCCTTTTTTTTTTCCGCCGTAGATTTGAAAGTGAAACAAGTTTTAAAAATCAGTGAACAAATTTTTGCAAATATTACAGAAATTAATTTAACAGTCCTGAAAGATTTTATGTATCACACGTTGCATGGCCACAAGTACACTCGTCGTGTGCCTAGAGATCGTCGGCGACACGCCGGCACACCCTGGCCTCCTTGTACACCCTTCCCGGCCGGCAGAGGTATCCCTTCTCCGGCGAGCAGTGCGCGTCCTCCGAGCACACGCACAGCCCCTCCAGCGCGCACCCGTCCCTCACCACGCTCACGCCGCCGGCGCCGGCGACGCCGAGCACCTTGTCGCTCCACTCGCTGGAGAAGAGCCCCTCGGGGTCGTACGCCCGCTTCACCCTCATGAACGCCGCGGCGCGCGCGCCGCCGTACTTGGCGGCGGCGCCCTCGAACGCCGCGTTCTGGTTCTTGCCCCAGTGCGGGACGCCGCCGTACTTGCGCAGCGCCATCTGCTCGACCTCCTCCACCACGTCCTCGTGCAGAAGCGGCGTCGCCGGGTCGCGGCTCCGGTAGTAGGTGAGGTCGAAGTCGACGCTGTCCTCCGGCTTGCCGAGGTGCGCCGCCGACGCCCTGACGTAGCGCATGAGGACGCCGTCGTAGAGCTCCACGCCGCAGAGCGCGTCCGGGTTGAGGTCGCGCAGCCGCTGCACGTCGCGGATGAAGGCCGCCGCCCTGGACAGCGGCACGCTGATGCCGGACTGGAAGAAGAACGTGCCGTGCTCGACGCGGGGATCCCACGGGCAGGCGGTGAGGAGGCCGTCGTCGGCGCCGGCGAGGCAGGATCCCGACGACTGGATGCGGTTCTGGTAGCCGACCACCGCCGTGCCGGGGAACGCGCCGAGCAGCTGGCCGTTCCTCGTCAGGCCGTAGTTGCGGGCTGCGAGGATGGAGTTCGTCGTCGACGCCGCGAGGCACTTGCCGGCGGCATTCCCGGTCGCTTCCAGGCCGTCCTCTTCATGCAACAACAAACATCAAGTACATCATGTCATGTCAGCAATGGTATTGGAAAAAATGGTGTACTTGTTCTTGGGAAAGTGATTTCATCCCTGAAAGGGATATCCCCTCGTTTCGTACATGTCACCTAAATAGTCATCGAAAAATTTGAAAAAAATTGGCAACATAGATTAATATGAAATATATCACTCCACAAACATACAAGCTTAAATTCAATTTTTACAAGTTGTAACAAAAATAACAAATATAGCTGTGAATGTATGATAACTATTTTCAGTTTAATTTGTTATTTTTTTTAACTTGAAGAAGTTGAATTTTGTCTTGTATATTTATGGAGTAATATATTTCATATTAATCTATGTTATTATTTTTTTAAAAAAAATTAATAAATGCAAAGAATGAGCACAGTGGATGCATGTATGGTGGATCACGTACCGACGAGCCTTTTGGCCTGGATGGCGAGCGTTGGGGTGGCCCGGAAGCCGACGAAATCGTAGACGCCATCGCCCGGCGTGTTGCTGGGAACGCGGTCGTCGATCCGGTACACGGCCTTGCCATGGCCGGGGTACCAGAGGATGTCGGCGAACTCGTGCTCGCCGGCGAAGGCGACGACTCGTTCCGCCAGGTCGCCGTCGCCGCAGTGCTGGAACGCCACCGACCTCTTGAACATCGGCTGCAGTTTTAGAGTAACCTGGGAAATGACCCCGAGCACCCCGAGCGACACCTTGGCGGCGTCCAGCTCCGGGTCGCCGGCGGCGAGCACGCGGACCTTCGCGTACCCCTCTCTCGCCGGCGCCGGCGTGACGATCCTCATGCCGTTCACGTACTCGTGCACGGCGGAGCCATTCCCCCACACCGAGCTCCCGTGCGCGCCGGTGGAGAGGAGGCCGCCGACGGTGACGCCCAGCCAGTACGGCGAGTGCGGCAGCGCGAGGCCGGCGCCCGCCGCGGCGTCGATCAGCTCCGCCAGCGTCACGCCGCTCTCCACCGTGATCGCCATCCCCGCGGCGTCCACGGCGACGACGCGGTTCAGCGCGCTGGTGCTGATGGCGAGGCCGCGGCCGTCGCCGGCGCCGGGGCAGGACAGCTTCGGCACGCTGTGCCCGTACCGCGTCGCCGCCTTCATCTTGGTCCCGGACGCCGCCGCCGCGGCCACCACGCGGAGGAGCTCCTCCTCCGACGCCGGGTACGCCGCGGCGGCCGCCCGGCACGTGGACCGGTCCGGGAACGCGGCGTACGCGTTGGTCACGGTGCAGCGCGCCGTCCCCGACGCGCAATGGACGGGATCCGCCGGCGGACTGGCGCCGGCGGCGAGGAGGCGCTGCACCACCACGACGGCGACGAGGATGCCATGGACAGCGCGCCTTGCTGTCACTACTGAACCTTGCATGGTTTGTTGGTTTGCTTGCCTCACGTCTTCGCATGCAGTCGAACTAATGATGTATTCGAGATAATTAAATTGAATTGGACGGCAAAGGGGGCCAATGATGAGCTTGAATTTTGACTTAATTTGATTAGTTTTATTATGTAAGATTGATTTGGTGTGTATCACGGGTGTAGTGCATGAGTTTGTCATGTCACTCTTCTCAGCTAGAGGCCGGCCAATCTGTGAGTGTTTGTGCAGGCTATCTGCTGGAAAGCATATTCGTCTGGAAATAATTCAAGGTTGGTGATGATTAGACATCAAGCCTAGCAAGTTTCTCACTTGAGCTATGTTGATTTTATGCTTTATGTTTCCTTTCATCAATTAATCATTGGCTACAAAATATATTTATTAATTCCATGTGGTATGCAAGTATGCACCAAATGAATGGACGTGATATATTCATCAAAAATTATATCGCCCATGTCCGTTTTTCATTGCAATTAATGGCTAATAAAACAAACCCTTCCTAGTATGTTTTGCTTATCTTAAGATTCTCGAAGCTTACGTTTTAAACACAATACTCGATCTGCCTTAAAATATAGTAAACATAGTATTGAATTAGACACATCTTACTACACTACGAATCTGGATAAACTCTACATTTTTTTAAGTATTAGGATGATTTAGTAATATGTTGTTATATTTTAGGATAGATGGAGTATAAGTATAGAGGAGGGGAAAAAATCATGATCAAAATATGTCATCCTTAACAGAGAATCTCAAAGTTTTGATAAAATTTATGATTCTTTCGATCGAGATGCAGGACATTTATAAGACTGTCTCAGGATTTCATTCAAAATTCTTTAAAATTCCTACATTTCAAATGGGGCCTTAACGGGCTTAGGCCCTGTTTGGCTAATGGGATAGGGAAATGATTACCCACCCAACAAAAAATATCTTTAAATCCTAGCCATTCATTCTCTCTCTTCCATTTAATACACTTCATTCATTTCTCAATTCTAATCCCACCCCCGATTTCCCATTATCCAATCACATATTAGTGCTTGGCAAGCGGGCAATACAGCTGTAACAGTTATGAGAAGAAATGGCGGGCTTCCGCAACGGTGTACAGTTTCGGCCCACTATGAACTAGGCCCAAAGATTATAGGCCCGTGACGTCCCTGCCCGGTTGCAATCCAACCTCTTGTCCAATACAACAAAACGACACAAGGGGAAGCAGTTCACAATTCCGGTCTCCTCCATGTCGACGTCATCGCCGGCGATGGCGCCGCCGTCCCAACCTCCGCCGCCACCGCCGTCGCAGGAGCTCGACCTAGACGCCTTCCTCCCCTCCTCCCCCACCTCCTCCTCAGTCTCGGAACCCGATGGCGACGGCGCCGCCGATCACCGCCGCGCCGTCGACGACCTCCTCCTCCTCCTCTCCTCCTCCGACTCCGACACCGACGAGCCGCCCGCTCGACCTAGCCCCATCGCCCAGCTCAAAACCCTAGCCAGCATCCGAGCCCCAGCTCCGTCCCCTAAACCTTCGCCTTCCCCATCCCCTTCGCCCAGGAGATCCACATCCGCCTCGCCGTCGGCGACGCTCTCCTCCCTCGTCTCGAGAACCTTCTCGAACAACGCCGCTTCGTCTTCCTCGTCGAAGCCTCTCCCTTCGCTCTTCCGCGGCGTCCGGCCCAGCCCCAAGCCCGGCGCTGCTCTCGCCGCCGCCGCCGCCGCGTCCCGCGCTGTCCTCACCCCCCATGCCGCTGCCATCAAGTCCCGGCGTTCCGCCTCCGCGCCCATCGAGAAGCTTCTAGACGAAGGCTCCGGTTCCGAAGTCTCTGAGGAGTTTCCTTCCGCTGGAAATTCGGAAGCGGGAGTAGCGGAGAAGACTAATGCGGAAGGGAATGCGGATGTGAGCAAGGAAGCTACCAGTGGGAGTGGTGATGAAGAATTGGAAGCGGACAAACATGGAGAAGAGGTGCGGTTCGAAGAAAAAACTGAGCCCACTGAGTCGGTGGAAGAAGTTGCTGCTGATTCTGCTGTTGCCGAGAATATCAACGAGCATAAGCAACTTGGAGGTGAAAGTTTGGCAGAAACTGATCGACCTGCGGATCAAATTGGTCTCGATGATGAGGAACATGTAGATGACCGAACCGCCGATGAAAATTTAGTAGAATTTGGTGATGTTGAGGATCTGGTTGGGGCTGCTTGCGAGGAAGATGTTGATGATGAGCAGGAATCTGAAAGATCCGAAACCTCTGTGGAAGAGCATTCGGAATCTGAGAGCATTATTGATAAGGCAATCGAAGAGAGGTTGGAGATTAGCAGGAAAACTGAGAAGATTGTGGAGAAAAGGCCTAAGTTGTCAATGAAACCACTGGAGCAGGCGGAGGAGCTTGAGAAGAGGCAGGCTTCTTTCGGGCAGCACTGGGAGGAAGGAGCAGCAGCACAACCCATGCATCTGGAGGGGATTGGAAGGGGCCAACCAGCTATTGGTTACATGCAAATTGAGGTTGACAACCCTATAACTCGTGCCATGTCCTCCCAGTCATTTGGACAGGACCATGGCTCTCCCCAGGTGATGACAGTTCATAAGAGCTATATAGCATTGGGAATGTCTAAAGGATCTGTCATTGTTATACCAAGCAAATATTCCATCCACCAAGCTGACGATACAGATGCAAAGGTTAGTCGTTGGTACTGTTGCGAATAACTATTGTTTAGTTCATGCTATAAATCGAATGTTGTTTAAGACTATTCAGTATTATGTGGACTCAAAGATGAATATTTAGATAACACTTAGTGCTAGACATATTGGAAGTCTTGTCTTCCTTGAGTTGAAAATAAGTATAGCTATCCTATAGATAGGTTCTGAAGTTTCATAAACAATGTTACCATAAATACTGATTTTATGATTCCAGATGCTTTTCTTTTGGAACCAAGGTGAGAAAACTCAATCATCGGTGACTGCCATGTGCTTCAACCAACAAGGTGATCTTCTTCTAGTAGGATACAATGATGGCCATATGACAATCTGGGATGTACAGAAAGGTACAGCTGCAAAAGTTATATATGGTGAGCACACAGCACCCGTAGTGCATGCTTGCTTTATCCGCCAATCTAAAGCCATCACTGGTGATTCAAAAGGGCTAGTGCTGTTGCACACATTTTCCATTATTCCAGTAATCAATCGCTTGACCATCAAGGGAACCCAGGTATGGATCATTATTTCCAACGTGTATACTTACTTGATCCCCTACTGAATATATGTCTGGCCTGATAAAAGTTAGCTACAATTTTCCAGCGCCTTTTTGACGGAAACACCGGAATTGTGCTCTCAGCCTGTCCTCTTCTAGTGGATGAATCATTTGGTTCTAGCAACTCTTCTACCCAGGGAAACCTGACAACCTCGTCTGGTGGTGGTCTTAGCAGCATGATGGGAGGTGTTGTTGGAGGTGTAGTTGGAGTTGATTCTGGGTGGAAGTTTTTCAATGAAGGTTCTTCTCCAATAGAGGATGGTGTAGTAGTCATGTTTATTATGCACCAACATGCTCTTGTGGTACAAATCATTTATATAATTCTAGAAGCATTTTATAACTTTTTTGCCATATGTATGTGAGCTCATTACCATCTGAACTCTTTCTTAGTTACAATGTTCTGTGTTTCTTCTGTTAGGTTAGGCTCCGTACCAATATTGATCATGTTGACCATATTGAAACCTTCTCTAGACCAGATGGAGCACGGGAGGGTTCCATTGCATATGCTGCATGGAAATACACAACATCCTCGAGTGATTCACCATCAATTGGTAAGATTAGGTGGCCTTATCTGTGGGCATTGATTGCTGTCTAAATTATTATGTTGTATTTTCATGGACTAATATGACAACACCATAGTTGAAGAACAAGTATCATGGCTTGCACTTGCATGGGATCGTCAAGTTCAAGTGGCAAAGTTTGTTAAATCAAAGATGATTAAACATAAAGAATGGAAGATTGATAGTGCAGCGATTGGTGTTGCCTGGTTAGATGATCAAGTATGCTAAAAGCTCACTCTTCCATAATCCATTTAGTGTGTGCTCTTTTTTTAGGTGTAAAATCACATCACTATTTTTTTTCCCAGATGTTGGTTGTACTTAATTTGCGAGGGCAGCTCTGTTTGTTCTCCAAAGATAGCAATGAGCTTCGCAGGACTGTATTTGTTCTTGATGGTTATATCTTCGATGAAAGCATACTATACCATACACATTTTTCTAACAGGTTTGGCAACCCGGAGAAGCATTTTAACAATTCGGTAGCAGTAAGAGGTGCTACGGTGTATATTCTTGGGCCAAATTTCCTCACAGTTTCCCGACTTCTTCCATGGAAGGAGCGGATTGAAGCACTAAAGAGAGCTGGTGATTGGATGGGTGCACTGGACATGGCTATGAAACTTTATGATGGCCAGACACAGGGTGTTGTTGATCTCCCGAGAACAGTTGATTCTATACGAGAAGCCATAATGCCATATTTAGTAGAGTTGCTGCTGTCATATATACATTATGTATTTGAATACATTTCAATTGCTTTGTCAAGCCATACTGGAAAAGGGGGTGCATCAGATGGCCTGGTAGATGCTGATAGGTCCCTGCTGACACAGAGAGAGGAACAGTATGCACGTGTAGGGGGGGTTGCAGTTGAGTTTTGTGTTCATATTGGACGAAATGACATCCTTTTCGACACAGTCTTTTCTAAGTTTGTTGCGGCAAAAAGTGGAGGTACGCTTGTTTTAATTTGCTCACAAGGACTAGTAACCTTTCCTTTTGGTTTACCTCTGAAGTTGTACTTTGTTCATGCCTTATTTTTGCTAAATACCTGTGGAAGTTGATTTGCAGTCCTTCCTTGTTCATCGAGTGTATCTAGATCTTCTTTTATACTTACTGCACTTCCTTAATTCATTGCCTATTTGTTTGCATATGTCTTGTGCTGGTTGATTAGATAGTGCATGTACATGTTTTTGCTGTTAAATTGCTGCTATAACTTGAAAAGGCTGACATGGCATCGATGGCAGGTATGTTTCTGGAGGTGCTAGAGCCCTATATATTGAAGGATATGCTTGGCTCTTTGCCACCTGAGGTGAGCAACATCAAGGGTTTACTAATGTTAACACAGAAGTCTTCAAATGAATATACATTTCCTCCAATCTGATTTGCAGATTATGCAAGCACTAGTAGAGCATTATAGTAGCAAAGGATGGTTGCAGCGAGTTGAACAATGCATTCTTCATATGGATATTTCTTCATTGGATTTTAATCAGGTATACATAATTTGCATTTAAGGTGTAAGAAATACATCGCTTATCACGCATGTTCTGTTGCATATATTGACTGATAAAATGTCATGCCTCATAAAAATTTTCAACTTCTTTTGTTTCCATCAAAGTTTGGAATTCAGAATATTGTGTTGAACAATTATAAGGCTGACTCAATTTGTTATGCTTCTGTTATATTCAGGTAGTCCGACTGTGTCGTGAACATGGGTTGTATGGTGCACTAATTTATTTGTTCAACCAAGGTCTGAAAGATTTCCGCACACCTCTAGAGGAGCTTTTATCTGTCATTCAGAACGCTAGTAGAAAAGAAGGTGCTTCTACTTGGTATGTCGTTTTGTGGCAATACTTGTCTAAAAGCCCATAAAATTATGTTCATAAACAAGATAATTATGTGTACTGTGTTCTTCAGTTTTTGGTATGTTAGATGAGCATATTTTTATTATTCTGAAGTTCCTGATAAATATGTGTTCAGGAAAAAAAATGATTTGATGAACCTTAGTAAACCCCATGATCATAAGTTATTTTCATTTTTCTAAAAGTTACACACATGTGACTTTAACATGATAGTTTCATTATCCTGAAGTTTCTGATAAAACCGTGTTTGAGTAAATTGCATTAATCAGTCAAATAATAGCATTGATTACCTTGCTATTATTTACACGGATGATTTAGAATGCGACTTAGATGGTCTTGATTGCCTGAGGAAAAAAAAACCTTTATGCATGAGCATGCACAAAATGGCTGACAGTATGTAACGACAAATATTTGCTTCTTTCAAATGGAGGCAAGGATGAACAATACTATGTGGAGTTGTGGACTTGCTTGGTTTTGCTACATACTCACCATTATACTTTTGTAAGACCTTACTAGTACTGCACATATAGCTAATCTCTTACCCTATAATTATTCTTTGCTGAAACAGCTACAGGATGCTTGTTTACCTGAAGTATTGCTTTCAGGGCTTAGCATTTCCTCCAGGTTAGCGTCTATATCATTTGTGAAAAACAATTTACTCTCATGAATTAATGCTAGGTTAGTAGTTGGACCATAAACTATGTTTTTTCCTGTGCTACACTGCTGTGTCTTGTGTTAGGCCTGGAAACTTGTGAATTGTAAAATGCTCTAATAAAACTATATGCTAAAATCTTAACTACTTTTTTTGTAAAATTAGAGAATTCAAGTCTACCATGAGTAGGCCTTTTGGGTCTCTCTACCATGAGATGTAGGTACTATGTCATTCTCATAAGGATGTCTACTTGTTTCCCATCAAGATTACTTGTAGAACCAGGAATACACATGAAGCTGCTGTATAGAATGTTCTTATTTTTTTAAAAAAAAATATTGATGAGATACTTCCACATGATTTATTTTTCAGGGCACGGGACAATTCCCCAATCCCGCCTTCATTCAGTACGAGAAGAACTATTGCAATTTTTGCTTGAGGAGTCTAAGACTTCCAGTACTGATGTATACAAGAGCTTCAAATCCTCCAGTGAAAAATGCCCAAACATATGCTATCTACTATGGATGGATACTGAAGCTGCTTTGGAAGTTCTCAAATGTGCCTTTGCACATGAGAGATTTGAACCTAGAGACAACCCATCTAGTACTCCTGATGCACGTGTCTCAGAGGATGGAGACAATATTAATATTGGAAGCCCTGACAGTGAAAATATTATGTTACAAAATGTGGTGGACACCATTGTGGATATTGTTGGTTTGGAAAATGAGGCTATTCACTCAATTGTTATTGGAGCGGCTGAGTCAGAAATTTGGCCTTCAGAGAAGGACTTTGGTTATCTAATCGAGTTTGTGTCTTTTTTTGTTTCCCACAAAAGGGCAAAAGCATCTCAAAGAGTTGTTAGGCACATCCTCAGATATCTTACTTCATCCAATATCCTGTCATCTGATGATAAGAAAACACCAACTCAAAAAGAAAAGGAAGTTCTTCAGCTCTTCGATGCAGTTCCTCAAACTGATTGGAATTCTGATTATGTGTTGCATATTTGCTTAGACGCTCATTTTCACCAGGTTCGTGAACATTACACTTTGACAGTTGAATTCTATGCTATGGGCTATGGCACACGCTCACAAATGCCTTTTAGTTTATGACTGAATAATCTTGTTACTGTACAGGCTTGTGGATTGATATATATGACCAGAAAGCAAAATTTGCCTGCTTTAGAAAGTTACATGAAGGATACACTGGAACCATTCCATGCTTTTATCTTCATTAACAAAAAGCTATCCGAATTGGCCGATTATGAAGCTTCGTCATTTCGTTCCTCAGTAATATCTCATTTTCCTGAGCTAGTCAAGCTAAGCAGGTGAAATTGATAATTCATCTAACAAGTAGATCACATATTCGTCAACTAGATTCATGCCTGCTTGTTTGTCTTTCTACTGAATGCACTCATTTTCTTCCCTATGCCTCTTCTCAGGGAGTGCGCTTTTGTCTTGGTCATTGATCATTTCCACGATGAGATCCAGAAAATATTATCAGAGCTTCATTCTGATCACCACAGCCTCTTTCTTTTCTTGAAAACTGCGATTGAAGTGCACTTGTCAGGAAAACTGAATTTCAGTGAACTCAATGCCAGAAAAAATAGCACAGTTGAACTTCAATACTCATCCCGTGAACTTGAATTTTATATACAGAGACTTTCAAATCTTCCCAAGTTGTTGGACCGCAATCCTGTTATTATGACTGATGAGATTGTTGAACTCTATCTGGAGGTAAATGTATTGATTTTTTTTTTTAGAAACCAAATATGTCGATGGACTTTTCAACTGTTCAGGTCTTAGGTCTGATTGTTTGTTCCAAATGAAAAGAGTCTGGTGAAATGTCATGGCTGGAAAAATTGTGTTCTTTATGGCCACATCTGCTGTGTCTCTGTAGAGCATAGCCACAGGCAGTGTGCCAATAATAGAACATGAAGGGTACCTTGTCCATCATATTGCACATGGTGGTCAATTCTCTTGAAGGTTGATTGTCTTATGGTTTTGTAGAGCTTTGGAGTCTGATTACGCCTGCAACTGTCCATGAAATCAGTACTTTACAGTTCTCCATTTTGTTGTGAATATTATAGTTTTGCTTTGTTTTTTTGTCTTATGATATTGAAAATTCTGATATATAAAAGTAATTGTGTGCAGTATGTAATTGAAATTTTGTGGTGATCACAACAATTTTGTGTGTTATCTTCATCCTAACTATTACTAAAAAAAAAAATCTTTCTTGCACAGCTTCTATGTCAGTACGAGCGAAGGTCTGTTTTGAAGTTTCTGGAGACTTTTGACAGTTACAGATTGGAGCGGTGTTTGCATCTTTGTTTAGATTATGGGGTTACAGATGCTGCTGCATTCTTGCAAGAGAGAGTTGGTGATGTTGGGAGTGCACTGGCACTTATTCTAGCAGGTCTTGATGAGAAAATCAACCTATTTATTTCTTCAGTGGAAAATGCTTTCTCTGGGATTGCATCAAAAAGTATATCTGAGATAGAGCAGCCAGACATTGTTCTAAAAATGAGTGAGGTCTTTCTTTTTTTTCTCCTGCTCATTTAAATGCTTGCTTGGACAACCTCCGTTGTATACATGGTAAGTAGGTAACATATTCAATATTTTTTTATTTTGAAGGCTCATCCTGTGCTTGATGCATTACGTGCTGCCATCGGATTGTGTCAAAGGAATTCACAAAGATTGAACCCAGAGGAGTCCCAGTCCCTTTGGTTCCAACTGCTTGACTCGTAAGTTATGCTAACATATTAATACTACGTTACGTTATTCATATTTATAAGTTTCAAATATAATTTTTGTCATCTCAGTTGCTGGTTTGTTAGTAGCATTTTATGATGTAAGATTTTTCCTTGTTCCTTGGAATATGAACCTGTGACATCTTGCAAGCTGTTAGACTTCTGTTCTACCCCTTCTCATGAAAATTGTACCGTTCAGTTTTCTCACTAGGCTGTTAGACTGCTGTTCTACCCCTTCTCATGAAAATTGTACCGTTCAGTTTTCTCACTAGGCATGCTCTTAAACACTTATAGGGAGTTGTTACCATGTATACTTCAGATCCAAATATAGAGGGTAAATTCAATGTCCACATACATAAGTGTGCATTGAGAGTGTTGGGCATGAACTGATGATGCTGAATTGTATCTATTGAACTTTTTCTACAGTGGCCTCAATTTGTGAGTCATAACAGATAGTAAGCATGATCAGTGCCTTTGTCCATTGTGAATTCAGACAAAAAAAAAATCAAACAAGGCCTTAATTTTTTCTTATGATAAATTTTCATTAGATTAATTGGCACTCTCAAAAGGATATAATCAACCTATAATATTGGAATTGCATAAGGCTTTCTTTACAGTCGTATGATTTGTCATGTTTGTTGCTTGCTGTGGTCATACAAAGATATCTGTCTTGTGTTCTGATAGATGTATTGACATCAATGTTGTTATGTTATCAATTCAGCTTCTCAGAGCCCCTGAAAAAATTGTATGGAAGCAAGGATGTAAATGGAAAAGGTGTCAGGTCTAATGGGAGTGAAACATCGAATAGACAGCCAAAGGACAAAGGATTCTCACGAAAAACAAGGATTTCAGCTTATCAGAGGTGCTTGAATGCACTGCGGAGAGTATTTTCGCAGTTTGTTGGAGAAATAATCGAGGCAATGGCTGGACATATACCCTTACCAGCAATCATGGGAAAGCTATTATCTGACAACAGGAGTCAAGAGTTTGGTGATTTTAAGCTCGTTATACATAGAATGCTGTCTATGTATCTTTATGAAAAAAGAATACTGGTATGTCCATATTGATTTTTATCCCATACGCAATTTACTTGCTGCTATAGCAGACCAGCAATGCTTTAGGCTTTTCCATGCTGCTGTAATGTAAAATCATTAGGAAATTCCTGAAGTACACATCGCTTAAATGATCAACAGACTTTAGTGTTGTTTTAAATTGAACGCTTGTTTGCTACTGCAATTGCTGGGGTAAATGAACTTTTATATTTTGTTTGATAGAAAAGAGTTTCTAGCTCCCTTGATACCCTTTTTTAGGGAAACAATAGGGGTGGACCCTATTGAAGATATATATTTCTTCTCTGATTTCTTATGCACCTGCCTGCAGGAAACAGCCAAGTCAGTAATTGAGGATGATTCATTCTACACCTTGAGCTTACTAAAGAGAGGGGTTTGCCATGGACTTGCTCCACAGACTTTTGTATGTTGCATATGCAACTGCTCTCTTTCAAAAGAAAGTGCTGTTTCAGCAATACGAGTATTCAGTTGTGGACATGCAACTCATCTCCAATGTGAGTCTGAACAAAGTAAGTCATCCAATAGGGATTCCAAAGATGGATGCCCAATTTGTCTTTCAACTAGTAATACACAAGCCCAAAACAAATCACCTATATCAGAGAATGGGCTTGGGAAACATTTTGGGGCTGAAAGCGAGGTATCACATGGCACCTATCATACTCATGAAACAGATCATGTCGACAGATCTCGTGGGCTTCAGCAGATGTCACGGGTAATAATATCTTTCCACTTATCATACATATGTCAACTACATCCAAAAGTTTTTCCAATGAGTAGAACTGATTTCAGTTATACTTGGAAGCCTTGATCAAGTTATAACCTTGTACTCTTGTTGAATATGGCAATCTACTCCACTTTTATAGTATTTTAAATTTATTACTGTTTCATCTAAGCTGATACGTTCCAAGTGAACGTGGCCTACAGGATAGTACTGTAATTCTGTAACAAATCGATTCTCCTTTTTGCAGTATGAAATACTGAATCATCTTCAGAGGCCACAGAGTTTGCATATAGAAACTGTACCTCCATTGAGGCTTTCACCACCAGCGATATATCATGAAAAGATACAGAAGAGAACAACCACGATGGGAGAATCCAGCAAGCATTCAGTTAGAACTGAAAAACCCCAGAGAATATGGCAAATGAAGGAACCAAGATCAAAAAGATCAGGGAACCGAGTTCTGCCAAAGTCAAGCATGTTGAGTGAGTTTGCGCTTCACATTGATTAAATAAATAACAATGGCACTCTATGTACTCCATTTTGAATTTTGTTTGCTCTATTTATGTTTCTTTATTCTTCTGTAGGTTCTCAGAATAATCAAGTGCGATAGTGTAAATATAATATGGTATGAATTTGACAATTCTTAAAATGGTAAGTGGTAACTCTGTTGGTATAGGTTTTTTGTCTGTTTTTTCTCATGTATGGAGTCATTATTGCGATTAATCTTTGAATCCATTCAAAGCTAATTCGACATTTTGTGGCCTTTGGAAAACCATGTCAAATGTATTGCTTAGCAAATCTTCATGGTCCCACAGTGTAGCACAGCAGAGCACAATGCAAGGCTTAAACTGAACGTCTGAACCTTACATTTTTCTGTAACTTAATAAGAATAATATATCATCTATGTTAAACCTATCAGAACTATTTAGGGCCCTCATCATCACCATGATCAATAGAAAATGTGAGCAGAGGACACCTGGAAGTTGGAAATCAATTTAGGCATGCAAAAATGAAAGCACGAATAAGCTTTGAAATTGCTAGATCTGGAGTAAACTTGAAAATAGATAGTGCCGTCTAGATTTATTCGCATGCAGTGTTTTTGAACTATAGGTGGAATATCGATAGGGTTTCCAATTCCTATTGTACTGGTTTATACACGCTGCAATCATTATGGATTTGCTCTATTTTTCTTTGAAGTAATAGATAATGAGCTGTTTTTTGGGTTCCTTGCTGAAACCAGATTCGAACTGATACAAACTGATTTGGATCGAGCCATCATGTTTCAACTTTCAACTGATCATTGATTTGCCAGTGTGGTTGTGCTGCTCTTCCTTTGTACTCAATTCTCATCTTGGTGATGCATTAAGGCTGTTTGGAGTAGTGCAATTCTTCTCCCACGGTACTTCTGTTGAAGGTCACTATCTTTTTTTTTCTCTTCATTTGGTCAATGTTTTTCTTTTCTAATCTCGTTATCTTTCAGCTGGGGAGATGAATACCAGATCTCAAGGCAAAGGCGGGAGCGGAGAAGGGCAACTAGATCAGGTGACCCTGAGAAGCTTTAACTTAGAACACAAAAAAACTAATGCGATAGAAAATTTTTTGGGGGGCAATTCATCATGAAGTATTTCTGTACAGAGCGAACACGTGATGACGCCATCCTTACACTTAGCATTACATGACTTTCTTGCGTTTCGACTTTTCTTTTTGTGTAAAATGTGAAGTACACAGGAACTCTGCGATGTATAGCATATGAGACATTACATGATTTTGATCAACTGAGCAATGATATCAACACTGGTAGTACATATGCACAGTGCTCTGTTCTTTATGGATGTGATTGATAGATTATGGACAATCGTTTATCGGTATGAATTAAATATTATATATTATAAACCTAAAAAATAGCTTAGAACGAGTTAGCTAAGCAATGATGATGATGTAGATTTTTTTTTTTGAAGTGGTAGCTTATGATGATGATGTAGAATTTTTTTTTTAAGTGGTAGCTTGCCAGCTGAGGTACGCATAATCTATACTCCCTCTGTTCTAAAATAACTTAACTCAGGATGGGAACAAAGATTAATTGTACTAGGATATATCTTATCCTATCTTAAGTTGAGTTGTTTTTTGGGATGGAGAGAGTAAAACTTGTCGTTGCTGCAAAATATTGTTCAGCGTTGCATCTTGTGATGTTTTCCCAGCAATGTCATTTTTCATCTCAAAACAACAAGAAACTTTTGACGAGATGATGAATGATCACACACACACACCCAAAAAAATCGCAATCAAAACAAGTCTTGCGGGAGCAGCACTGGCGTGAAGATTGAACAAATAAACATGCATTTATATTCGATTGATCAGCATGGACTTCATCACATTCTTCCTAGCGTTTATAAACAGGTTGATTTCCTCTGAAAAAGGGGACAAAAATCAATGGAAAGGCTCAAAGCACATCCGTTTATAAACAGGTTGATTTTCTCTGAAAAAAAAGGGACAAAAATCAATGTAAAGGCTAAAAGCACATCGTCTTCGTCAATCGTCACCGTGCACCGCTCGGTTTTACACTTTGATCCATTAGACATCAAACCTTTGAACTTCCAAAATCTACATGTATTTCGAATTCATGTTAGAATTTGAAAATTGTATATGAATTTGATCGAAATGGTGTTTCATTCGTTTTCACCATTACAACATCTCGATTCTGCGTAAAGAGCAAAAGTAAATGTTTATATATGACTTTGCGAGTCCTCTGATTTACTCCACATAGTAGCAGATTACAAGAAACAAAGGCTCCACGTAATATATAGCTGGAATTCCTTTTCCAAATGTAAAAGTACAGATTTTTTACTCCATTGCCTCTCTTTCTCATTATCCAACAGCCGGCGTTGTATATACATCGAAGTCCTTCATCTGCCCTCAATGGCATCATGGCATGTGCCACAGGCCAATGTCAGCCATTGGATCATCATCTCCTCCTCAATTCCTCCATGCCAAGACAGTGAATGTGCCAGTGTTCATCCAATAAGCAGATTGGCTCAGAGGATTAGTGACAGAGATCAGGTAATGCTACAATGTGTTCCTCTGCCCTACAAATTTCCGTGCAACACCGAAGATGAGAGCCTTGGTCAACAGCCCTTGATCAAGAGTGCAAGCCAGAGCAACAGCTCCACCGAGCACAAGGAACCTTGCTACTCGGTTTTTCGCGGGTTTCTCTTCTGCTTCCACAATATCTGACTGATCGTCGTTGGATTCCAATCCACGAACAAAATTGTCACCGACCTTGGTATTGATATGCGCCATCAAGGCACTCTGAGACAATGGCTCCCCAGCAGCTCTCGCTTTCTGATAGGCCCGAAGTCCAGGTTCGATTCTCTTTACACACCCCCACATTCCCTGCCGAATGCCAATCTTTGCAATCTCATAGGGAATACCCATGTCCTCATGGTGGAACAGGAGAACCTCACAAGCCGTCAATCCACTGTTCCCTCTTCTTGATTCCACTGTTCAAAGATCAGATGAAAAAAAAAACCAGTTACCAAACTGCCCACAAAGAAAAAAAATAGAGAAATATGTCTACTCATCCATTTCTCCTCTTCTGCGTTGTTCTTTTTTTGGTTCAGACCCATTACTCAAAACAGTATACATTTCACCTCATAAGGCTCAAAGGAAAACAGAGTAGTCAAGGAAATTGGCTTACCTGGACGGATGCACCAGCTTGAATAGTATACATCTACTCTACGAGGTTTGTTACGACGTGGGATGGATGAGCATGGCACACCCTGCACAATGCACAAAACACATACATGTAAATTGCTGAGCTGGTCAACTCTGTGTTCACATGCGCACACTAGTGATTCAAGCAATGCAAGTTGAACTTGCCTAGGCAAAACTATGAATAATCAACAATTTATTTTTACTCTGTAAAAAAGTCCATTTAACCTTTGTTCAATGGTAATACTCTCTTTAGTTCAGAGATACATCTTACTGAATCACTTTATGCAGGGTAAATATCCTAAACAACAATCTTGAACCAAGGTTAAGTCATTAATAAGCATGAATAGGCCTCGAAAAGAAACCTCCAGCCAAAACAAAATGTGTGTTATTTCAGGAAAGCAGGCCAAAACTTCTGAAATGTGACCTGAGAAATGAATTTAAAGCAAGAAGTGATCATATGTTCTCTAATGAGGTACAGAAGGCATCGTCCAATAACTTACAACAGATAACCAGAACTGATATGTGACATACTTCTAAGTTTGACAATGATGTAGGAAATTAGCAACTACTTCCTAGTCCCACCTTGCTTTGTACTTGGTGGTTCCCTATTAAATATATCTTAATGCTCATGGGTGTTCCCACTAAAAAATGGAGATTTGAGAATCTCTGCTGTCAACAACTCAACATTAAGATCAAGACATCAATGATGTTACAAGTCTATATTCATAAGTGTGTTCCAAGGATGGAGAAAATGGCCTGAGGTCAACATCATTAGATAAATATAGTGTTTCAAAAATATCGGCACATCTGAGAAACAACAGCTGGAATTTCTATATGTGGCCTCTCAGTATCAGAAAAGGTACAGTTGTGCAGTACGCAAAGTAATGAATTCACCTAGCTCAGCCTATTCTTAACAGAACAGAGCCAAGGAGGCACAACTGTACAGCATAACTTACTTTGAGAGGATCATTTTGTTGCATACGCGTTAAAGCAGGAAGACTCTAGACCGAAATCCATCCAAAGAAGTTGCATATATGTTTTTGAATTGTTGGCAACTGTAGTGTATAAGTTTGATGCACATAAATTCACTACAATCAGATATTCATATGCTAATGATCAAGTGCAAGTCCTCCTATAACCCCCACAGACAACACCCAAAATATTTTTTCAATGTTTGTTTTTACCTTTGTAACACAATAGTATGCACCTCCCAGTTTCCATATCCGACGAGCAATGATGTACTCCCTGTCACTACAAAAGAAGGGGAACTGCAACAGCAAGAAAAATGCAGAGGCATGAGAACACTCAAAAGGCACAAACAGAATTCAGTCGATTTACTATCATGTCAAGATAATCAACCTTGCGGACCCAATGCACTTTCATCGTGCCTGTTGTCTGACACTCTTCCAAAGTCTTATGATAGATAAGCATATCATCCCACTTGTTGGACATCCGGAATTGATCGTCGCCGAAGAAGTCCCTCACCTCCTCCGGATTTGCATTCTCAAATATAGTACTACTCTGGTATTGTGGAGGTCCAGTCTGATTGCATCAAAAGTATCATTCGAGGACTAGTGAGGATTAGCATTCACCACTTCAGATCAACAAGAAGCAAAGAATTCAGTCCACTGAAAGTGGAATTCACCTGTGGATCCCTCCTCCATGCCTGGTAGGTCATGGCGGGCAGCGCCTTCTCCATCATCTTGATCCATGCCGGGCCGCCATCCCTGCCCTCCACTAGCCTCCAGAGGTTCATCAGGTCATCCTTCCCCACCGCCAGCTGCTCGTTCGCCATCTCCGACGACCTGTCAAACCAAGAAGCACCGACAGGGTCAAAGACCCGCTCCAATTTCGCGCACCAAATCCACCACTCAACGATACGGCTTTGACCACCGCACCAACACCACGAACACGGGGACGCATTTCGCCGAACAGTTCGTGGGCCTACGTACCCAAGCAGGGAGGAGTCGTCCTCCTGCTGCGGCGGCGGCGCCGGGCCGGCGGCGCCGACGTACTGCGCGAGCGGGGCGCGGATGCGGGCGGGGAGCTGGGTCCTCCAGAACTCCAGCGTGGCGAACGTCAGCGGCGCGGGGTGGCTGTCGGCGGTGGCGACGAGGCCGGCGGCCCAGCGCGGGCGCCACGCCCAGCCGAGCAGGAGGCCGAGGAGCGCGGCGGCCCAGAGCGGGCCGGCCAGCACGGCCATCTCGCAGGCCGCGCCCCACGCCGTCGGCTGCTCCAGGACCCTCGCCACCGCCGACAGCACGTACCCCATCGGCGGCGGACGCGGACGCGGCGGCGGCGGCGGCGGTGGCGGAGCGGCGTATCGGGCGGGGGGAAGAAAGGAATGGGCTTTGTGGCCTATCGAGTCGTGGAGGGGATTAAAGACTCGATTTTTATTTTTATTTTTTTTCTCTCTCTCTCTCTTTTATTATTTATTTATTTATTGGGTTTCTTTGGAGAAGCAAAAGGTGTGGTGTGTGAGTAGTGACGGGGGGTCATTGAGGTGTGGACATGGTGCATGGACTTTGCATCTCCCTATCACCTTTCATTATTTTTTTTTCTTCTTTTTTAAGGAGATTTTCTAAAGGACATCTTGGAAGGGGGGTCATTGAGGTGTGGACATGATGCATGGACTTTGCATCTCCCTATCATCTTTCATTATTTTTTTTCTTCTTTTTTAAGGAGATTTTCTAAAGGACTTCTTGGGAGGAGTTTAGTACTAGTTTAGGTCTTCAATGTAGATGTGAATGATTTTTATTTTTGAGAAAGACTAATGAATGGCCCCATGGGGGTGAGCTGAGATGATGTTTTAACAAAGCAATGGTGGGTGGTCAATTGTTTATATTTCCTAGAAGAGTTTAGCTTTTCTTAAGGTGTTGGTTGACCCTTATTAATAATGGTTTTAGTCTTAGTTGATTTCTGGTTGGGATGTCATTTTCACAAGAGTGTTGTGCTCTCATTGCTTGTTCCTTGAAGCCGCAAAAGATAGTCTAAAGATGTCTAAACAATTGAAAAAATGAAGTACATAAGCATCTCCGTTGAGCTAAAATAAAAATGCATCATGTACCTTTTGCTACAATGAAAGGACAATAAGTACTCACTCCGTCCCAAATATAAGAAATTTTAGTTATATGGAACACATCATATTATTATGAATGTAGTCATATAGTCTATCCATATTCGTAGTACTAATCCCATCCAACCAAAACCTCACATATTTTAGAACGGATGGAGTAAACCATTACAATTGGATCGCATATGACTTATATATGTTTTAAAATGTGACCTTTACAACTTGAGTGTAAACTCTTTCAACAGAAGCGAAACAAGAAAAATGACGATTTCATGAATATAATCGACTTAGTAACCCCCGTCATAATATAATCGACTGATCTACATCATAGTTAAGTCAATCCAATCCAACTAAACTTGTGAAAGAAATATCCAACCACATACTCCAGTTCATAAATATCCTAAGACTCATCCTCCAAACCCATTTTCCTCTTCTCATAGCTCATCACGACATGTACTAGTACTAGTACCTACTGGTACTTATTTTTTCTATTGAAATGATTTTTCAGCCATTTTTTTTCGTTTGAATTGATTTTTGAGCCATTGAATCCATGTGAGAGTGGCATGGACAAGGTGTAGAGACGTGGAGGGTTGAGCCACAAGTGATAAGGTGGATTTTTCCGGATTTGGGGGGAGAGGTTGGGGGCAGCACCTTCCGATTCCTGAGGGGGCCAAATCCCCCCACCAACCAACCACAGCCCGCCACGTGGACTGCAGCTGGCCCAAGATGAGTGGCCATTGGCCAAACACCCAGTCACCCAGACCAGCTTAGCTCAGATCAGTACAAAAGCTAGGCTACTATTGGTCCCTGAACAACTATGCAAATTGATGATTAGCCATCAGCTACTACTAATTGAAAGAAGAATGAAAAGGCAGAGGCTTTTGTTACTAATTGATCGCTATCATATCACCTTCATCAGTTGCCAAATGGCTCTCCTGTAGCTGGTGTCTACTGGACACCTGCAGAGTGTAGAGCTGTTCTTGCAGCTGCATGTGTCACTCTCCTATCCTGCCTGAGCCTAACACTGTTTCTCAATTTTTCTTGTCAAGCTGGCACTGCGAGTGATGTGTACTTGTTCAGCCCAGACCATAGTTTTGGTATGAATAGCACTGTTTTATGTGATTTGTTTTAATAAAAAATTCGTAGGGATAGAGGGGCTGATCAGTTCAGCTGGGATGTAGCTGCACAGCCGCAACGCTACAGCCCTCCTAGCCTAATTCTGCTTGCTGACTCCTATAGCTGCAGCACCGCTGCTTCCGTAGCTAGCTATTCTAAATGAACCCAGAGTGAAGCCAAAATGTCAGCAATTTTTGTAGTGTATCACTCATTCACTCAGGGTGTGTTTAATTCACGCTAAAATTGGAAGTTTGATTGAAATTAGAACGATGTGACGGAAAAGTTAGAAGTTTGTGTGTGTAGGAAAGTTTTGATGTGATAGAAAAGTTGGAAGTTTGAAGAAAAAATTTGGAACTAAACTCGGCCTCACTTAAGGCATTTTTTCATATAGCTGAATGATTTTGCTAATACTATTAATGGTATAGGCGAACACATTAACTATTATAATTTTTAAAAATGAATGTTAATGCTTTTTAATAAATTCGTATCAATAAAGCTTTAAAGAAAATCACACCATATTTAAAAGCCCTATCGTATTAATCCATTCTTCAAATGCCTTATAAGTGAGTGAATGAGTGATACAACCCTATTCTTCCATTCTTCAACCTACAAGTTTCATTTTTATGTTAAGAATTCTTCAGTGCATATGATTCTTTCAGTTTCCATGGTGTGTGTATGCATCATGCATGCATGCTGAGCAGATAACCCTATCTATCTATATCTAGTTCGTCCTTCATTGTGGTGCCAGCAATCTGGATAAGTGGGGGAGTTTGGCCCCATTCTCTAATCTGCTGATGATGCTAAATTGTAGCACATGCATGCGTGTCAAAGTGTCCTGAAATTTTTACAATTTGGTCCTTTTTAAAAACTTATTTTACAAATAGACCCCTGGAAAAACTTAAACCGGAAATGATCCTTTTTGGGGCGCCAGAGTGGCTGGCGCCGTACCCCAACATGGCGGCGCCAGCCACACTGGCGTCGTGCCCGTGCCACCGTGGCACTAGGGCTGTCGTGGAGGTGCTGACTGGGCAGAAAGGGGGCGCCAGCCACACTAGCGCCGCCCCTCATACCACGGCGCCAGCATAGCTGGCGCGCCCCTCCTCTGTGGGCCGACCCTTAAACCCCGTGGGCCCCACCACCTTTCTCCTCCCCACTCCCATTTTCGCCATTCCCAGCCCGAGCAGCGAGCTGCTGTTCTTCTCCCTCTCTCTCCCCCTCACCTCTCTACCTCAAATCCACTCAATTTGAAGCCGTTTTTCGCGGGATTTTTTGTGGAAATCGAAGAGAAAGGTAGACTCCTTCATTCCCCCCTCTTTTTTTCATTTTTATTGGTTGAATTTGTAGATCGGTGGGTAACCCTAGAACCCCTTTTTTACCCAAATTTGTGATTTTTAGCATTTGTTCTTAGGATTGGCTTGTTGTAGTGCTACATGTTTGCAATGTACTCATTGGTGTCATGATTTTTTTAACCATATATGTGGTAATGTTAATTTTTGGATGGTTTGGTTGGATGGATGGATGAAAAATTATGGTTGAGGCATGACGAAGGTTTGGGTTGTATGATAGAGTATTTGTAATATTTCGATGTGTAATGCAGTAGTAAACTTGTTGATAGTTGTAGGTGGATTAAATATTTTTTTGGAGTAGTAGCTTTGGGACAATTTAAGTTATGCATTGGTTATAATATGTCGGTTTGGACTACGTTTAGGAATGAAGATTTAATTTTTGTTGCAAAGTTACATTTGATTTTTTGGTGTAGATGGATAGACTTGTTCATGTTTACTACGGTGGTAGAGTGGTGGAACCTTATGTTGGTGGACATGTTGAGTTTGAGGATATGTCATTGAAAACCATTTTGTTTCCCACCCACCCAACTCTAGATGAACTAAGGTCACGAGTGAAAGAAGTTCTTGGATGGACCGAGGATAATGTGGAGATTTGTTTTTATAGGAGATACGATGTTGGTCAAGGGCATAAGTATATATTAAATGTGATAGGTTAGTTGGAATGGGAAGTTTACTTTGATTTGGTAAAAGAGTCTCAGTTTAGATCTCTAGAGGTGTTTGCATCAAAGTTAGTTCGTACCGTAGAAAATTTGGATCTAAACAAATCTCCTTCTTATCATTACGTTGAGAAGAATTTTGTGACATATTATTCTCGTCGTGGAGGGGTGCAAGTAAGAGTGAGTTGGTACGAGAAGACTTGGAGGGGGAAGGAGAGAAGAAGAGACCTTTGCTTGGAAATGATTTATGGGAGGCAGGACCATCAAAGAGACATTGCGGTACTGATGATGTGGATGCAGCGAGGGTGATGAAAAGGGAGTTAGTACAAGAGGGGCTTGATCTAAGTGAACATTTGTCGGCGAGTGTTCATTGGTCGTCGTACGGAGTCAACCCTGAATACCCGACAGAAGTAGCAGGCCAATATGTGAATCCAGATGATTACTTTGATGTCGAATTGAGTGGTGGTCACGATTCTGTCTCAGTAAAAGTCAATAGAGATGATGTTGACGAGGAGGCAAGTGTTGAGCAATATGATGTTGAATTTGCTGAAGACTCTGATGATGACCGTCCATTCCCTCCACTTACTAATAATGACAAGTTAGCATTAGAGGAATGTCGTGCGTTTGAGAAGGTGTTTGGGAGGAAGCCGGACATTCCTGAGTTTAGGGACCTAACACATGCCCATGGTGCACTACTAGATGGCGGCATCAACCTAGATCAGTTGCCAGAACCATTCCAGGTGGATGGTCTCAGAAAGGGTTTAGAGTTCCCATCCATGGTCGCATTGAAGCTATGGCTCCAGGAGTACGCCATCGTGCACCATCGTCCATACCGTGTTGTCAATTCTGCCGCAAATAGGAGGTACACTGTTAAATGTGAAAACCCACGGTGCAAATGGAAGGTCCATGCAACTAAGAGGTCTAGTGGCACGTGGAGGATATCACGGGTAGGTAAGGAACATAGTTGTGCTACTGCCGAAGGTTCAGGGAGCCACCGGCAACTGACATCAAAGTTCATAGCAAATAGGTTATGCAATGCCATAAAACTGCAACCTACACTCTCTGCTTCTGCGTTAGCTTTGTATATATTTGAGGTTTTCCAGTATAGGGTGAAGTATGGCAAGGCTTGGAGGGCACGAGAGGAGGCTATGAAGCTCATTTACGGTGAATGGGGTGAAGCGTATGTCTGTTTGCCCACTTTGCTGCAAGCCATTAAGCAGAGGAATCCCAGTATGGTCTACCACATCGATACTCATCCTGATAGGGTTGTCAACGTTGATGGAGTGACTAAGAAAATTTTTATGCGTGCATTCTGGTGCTTTGGTCCTTCCATTGAGGCTTTTAAGCATTGTAGGCCAGTACTAGCTATAGATGCAACCTTCCTAACTGGGAAATACGGTGGTGCCTTGATGACTGCATTATCAGCTGATGCGGAGGACCAACTTGTACCTTTAGCTTTTGCCTTGGTGGAGAAAGAGAATTCACGAGACTGGTGCTGGTTTATCGATCTTGTCCGACGGGTTGTGGTTGGGCCGCATAGGGAGGTTTGTATTATCTCAGATCGACATGCTGGTATAATGAATGCCATGATGACTCCTGTTCCAGGATTGCCATCGGTTCACCACCGGTGGTGCATGAGGCACTTCAGTGCTAATTTCCACAAGGCCGGTGCGGACAAGCATCAGACAAAAGAGCTCCTAAGGATATGTCAGATTGACGAGAAGTGGATATTTGAGAGGGATGTTGAGGCACTAAGGCAGCGTATTCCCGAAGGTCCTCGTAAATGGCTTGAAGATGAGTTGTTGGATAAAGATAAGTGGTCTCGTGCATACGATAGAAATGGCCGCCGGTGGGGTTACATGACAACCAACATGGCCGAACAGTTCAATAGCGTGCTAGTTGGTGTTCGTAAGCTTCCAGTGACGGCCATCGTATCATTTACGTTCATGAAGTGCAATGACTACTTTGTGAACAGACATGATGAAGCTTTGAAGCGAGTCCAGTTAGGGCAGCGTTGGTCCACCAAGGTTGACAGTAAGATGAAGGTGCAAAAAAGTAAGGCGAACAAACACACTGCAAGGTGTTTCGATAAGCAGAAAAAGACATACGAGGTCACAGAGAGGGGTGGTATAACGCGTGGTGGTGTTAGATTCGGCGCAAGAGCCTTCAAAGTTGAAGGTGAGGGGAACTCATGTTCTTGCCAAAGGCCATTGCTCTACCATATGCCTTGCTCACATCTTATACACGTTTATCTGATTCATGCAATTGATGAGGAATCTCCCAACCGAATGCCGTATCAGTTCTCTTCAAGAGCCGTTGTGAACACGTGTACCAACCGGGGAGACTACCACCACCACTACCTCAATCCGCGCGTCCAAGTACTGCTCGACACTCCATCAGGATAGAAGTGCGTGAAAGAGTTGGTGGCTCGTCGTCGTCACGCATTAAGCAAGGGAGGGGAAAGGGGAAGGCGCCGGCTCCACCTAGCGACGACGATGACGACGAGGACGAGGAGGATGAGGACTACGTCGCACCAGACGCCGAGGAGATAGACATGTCACAGCTTCCCGACGCGCCTCAGGGGACGCAACCCACGCAATACAACTTGCGATCCACTCGGGCAGCGAAAAAGAGGTAAAATGAGCTTACCATTCTCAAATGTTATTTGATTTCCCTTATTTTGTTTTTAAAATGTTTTAAACATTGGATTTTCAAATGTAGGTACACTCCGGGCTCGCAAGCAATTCGGCGCCAACGGAAGAAGTAATTTGTATGAAGTTAATCTATTGGTTGGTAGTATGACATATGTGGTGCACTATGTGATATAAAATGTGATGGACTATGTGAGGACTATGTGATGGACTTTTGACATTGTTTCATGTGTGGAATATAGAATGGACTTTTTGCATTGTTTGATGTGTGGGATATGTGATGGATTTTTGGCATTGTTTGATGTGTGGAATATGTGATGGACTATGTGAGGACTATGTGATGGACTTTTGGCATTGTGATTTGTGCAATTGGAACCTATTTTAGTCTGTACGAATCTGTGAATTGTGATTTGAATTGCGAACTGTGAATTGGTACATTTGTGCAATATGGATCTTCAATTTGCAGGGAGGCAAAGGGCGGCGCCAACCACCCTGGCGCCGCGGTTGGGAAGGGCGGCGCCAGCCAGTGCCGCGAGGCAGAAGGGTTTCGGGCTGGGGGAGGGCGGCGCCAGCTACCCTGGCGCCGTAGTCCATGAGGGCGGCGCCAGCCGAGGCCCGGAGGCAGAAGGGCTTCGATGGGGGGAGGAGGGGGCGCCAGCCACCCTGGCGCCGCGGTCGGGGGGGGGGGGGGGCGCCAGCCGTTGCCTGGAGGCAGAACAGACTTGGCGAAAATTTTTAGGGGGGGGGGAGAAAGTTGGTGGGGCCCGCAGAGGAGGGGCGCGCCAGCCATGCTGGCGCCGTGGTATGAGGGGCGGCGCCACTTTGGCTGGCGCCCCCTTCGGCCTAGTCAGCACCTCCACGACAGCCCTATTGCCACGGTGGCACGGGCACGACGCCAGTGTGGCTGGCGCCGCCATGTTGGGGTACGGCGCCAGCCACTCTGGCGTCCCAAAAAGGACCATTTCCGGTTTAAGTTTTCTCAGAGGTCTATTTATAAAATAAGTTTTTAAAAAGGACCAAAATGTAAAAATTTCAGTCAAGTGTCACCTGCAGAAAAAGAGCTAAAACCTCCATTATTTATCTGTTAATTTTCGCATGCAACAACCCATATGCATGTCTCATGTGAAGGGACAGCTTAGCTAGCTGGCTGGGCTACCTAAAGCTGCGTGTTAATTATCCTAATTAGTTAGCCCTTGAGTGTGCTAAACGTTTGCAATATGAAAGTGATTAAGCTATGAGCACCAAAAGAGCAGCTAGCTCAAGCTGCAACACTACCACCTACATCCTTCTAGATTGGATAACAAATATTGATAAGCTAGATCTCCAATGCAGTTTAGCCCAGCTGATCACTAGCATTCATCATCTCTTTATCGACGTTGCCCATAATTGAGACCACTTAATCATGTGATTCACAAGGTAATAATTAATTAGTACTAGCATACGCGACGATGCGGCTTAAGGGCAAGTTTAATAGTACAGCCCACTACTAACTTCAATTCATCTATAGCTAATTTAATAGCCAATTCATACAATAGTTACTTACTATACTATTCATATATGGTCCCACCTGTCATACACACCTTACGTCTTGGAGTCCGTACTGCAGCTGGCTACAGATCTGTAGCCCGCTGATCTTCTCTCTAATCTTTTATCTCATTAAAATATGCTTATAGCTGGCTAATACTTCCTCCGTTTCAAAATGTTTGACACCGTTGACTTTTTAGTACGTGTTTGACCATTCGTCTTCTTTAAAAAATTTAAGTAATTATTTATTCTTTTCATATCATTTGATTCATTGTTAAATATACTTTCATGTACACATATAGTTTTACATATTTCACAAATTTTTTTAATAAGACGAACGGTCAAACACGTGCTAAAAAGTTAACGGTGTCAAACATTTTAAAACGGAGGGAGTAATATGCTATTGTGCCTGCTCTAATTGTTGTCTATATTTGCACACCAACCACCCACCAATTGTTTGCTGGCCATGCATATCATATACTTTGAGCTAGAGTTCAGTGATACACGTATGTACTTCCTTTTGGAAATCAAGAAACCTCTCGCCTATAAAAGACCGCCTATTTAAGCATATTAATTTGTTGGTTGGGATAGAATCACAGCATGCAGAAAATGCACAGCTATATACAACTCCAGCACATGATCTTTGAACTATGACTGATGTCCAATCCAATGCCCATTCTTGCCAGAGCCCAATTAGTGATCGATCTGGATCATACCCCAGATAAGAAGTTAAGAACTGAAGCTGTATACGCCGCAGGTAGGACAAATCAATCATACGTGAATCTTCAGAAAAATAAATTGCACTTTACTAAATGTTTTTGTTTTTCAAACGATGCACTTTACTGAGTAAGAGTAGAGAATAGATGCGCCCGGCGTACAAACCAACCTAATTCTGAAATGGAGTCCTGGCTCATCGTTTCGCTTATAAATATCATAAACGAACCATCTTACTAATGATTACAAAATAATCTATGAGTAAAACTTTCAAATAAACTGAAAAGAAAACACACCCCGAATCAACTCTTCATCACATTTCTGAATTTCTGAATCTGTTCTTCAGAAATCACATTTCTGAATCTCGTCTTTTTATTGAACGAAAATGCTGGTTACTTTTGGAAAAAAATTCTATAGGAAAGTTGTTTTAAAAAATTATATTAATCTATTTTTAAGTTAGTTTTAGCTAATACTTAATTAATTATATGATAATAAGCTGTTCCATTTTCCGTGCCGGATGGATAGGGGGCCCCTTAGAGCAGGTACAATGCGGGCTATTAGCCAACCATAAATATATTTTAATGAAATAAAAGATTAGAGTGAAGAGCAGCGGGCTAAAGATCTGTAGCCAGCTGCAGCACGGACTCCAAGACGCAATGTGTATATGACAGGTGGGACCATATGTTAATAGTATAGTAAACACTATTGTATGAATTAGCTATTAGATCGACTATAGATAAATTAGAGCTAGTGGGCTCTAGTTAAACTTGCTCTTATGGGGAAACACCCCCTTAGATTGTCAAAAACTCTAGGCCAACGCTTCTCCAGCCTAGGCCAGATCCGAGGGCCTTGCATCATGCCACTGAACGAGAATGGGATCGTCCGCGTCGTCAGGGAAGCAAAGCAACCAACAGGCGCCGCCATGGCCGACCACCTCGCGAGCTTCAGCGTTTGCTTCCGGTTTCTCACCATCTGAAATTCTGTGGATGCTGCCGGCAACTGGCCTTCTGACAGGTGGTCCCCACTAGTCATACACACTAGCCCAGCTGACAGGTGGTCCCCACTAGTCATACACACTAACCCCAACTAACTGAGACATCCTCAACTGACTCAGCCTCCGAGATAAGCCGCGCCGTCGCCGCCGCAGAAACCGCAAAAGCCATCGCCGCCGCCGCCGCCGCCGTGGCCATGGCAGCAGCATGCTCCTCCGCCGCCTTCCTCGCCTACCCGGGCAGCCTAGGAGCAGGGCCCCGCCCCCTCCGCCTCTTCCGCGCATTCGCGGCGGCCTCCTCCTCCGGGTCGGGGAGCAAGAAGAAGGCGAGGAAGTCCAAGGGCGCTGGGAACAAGGGGGAAGCCAGCGGCGGTGGAGGCGGCAAGGGGAAGGAGAAGGCGCTGGAGCCGCCGCCCGCGGTGATACGCCGCGCGCCGGCTGGGAGCGCGTCGGTGTTCCAGCAGCCGGAGCCGGGGTTCACCCCCGGCGGCGGCGGCGGCGGGAAGGGGCCGACGGAGGAGGAGCGGCGGCAGCGGCAGGCCAACGAGAACGCCTTCCTCCTCGCATGGCTGGGGCTCGGCTTGATCATCCTCGCCGAGGGCCTCGCGCTCGCCGCCTCCGGTAACGAAGCTTAGTTTTATTTATTTTTTTTCAATTAATATATTATCCTCTGCTTACAATTTTAGTGGTTCAACTTAACTGAACAACACTAGTCTGTAATTAACACTGAATGTCTGAACAGAAAAGAAATCGCGTTTCAGTAAGTAATCATTCAGTAAATGACCACACCTTTCTAGTGGAAATGCTGAATGTGGTGATCAGTGATGGAGGAATCGTCACATTTTCTGAACTAGTGTATGCGTTTTCCATTCCTATCATGATATGTTGGTGTAATCATCTGAACTGAAGTGTGACATGATAATGATGGTACACGAAACAAAGTGAATGTAGCTTTACTTGCTCTAAATAAGAATTTTAAGTAGCACCAGATTTATTATGTGTTATTATAACAGAGTTGGAGTAGTTATCAACAAGTGACCTAACTTTTTTTTAAAAAGATAATGAAGTGACCTAACTATTTACTGAGGATAATCTGAAATTTAGTGCTTTAGAACTGTGGAGCTTAGTGATCTTTGAGACTTTGAGCCTTATATCATAATGTTATGCAGGTTTCCTGCCAGAAGAATGGGACAGCTTTTTCGTGAAGTTCCTTTATCCATCGTTTACTCCTACGGTAATATTGTTTTTGGGCGGTACGGTCGGATATGGCGTCTTCAAGTACTTCGAAGGCGAGAAAAGCAATAGCTAGATGGCTGCACAAAGGTTGGACTCAAATATATTCATCTTCTGAATTTTGGCCCTATAGTTCTCCCAAAAGTTTTTTTATCATAGGCTCACTGCCTCCAGCAATCATATATCTGACTGCTAGTTCTGTATATGCCTCTTTCACATCAATGCCATATTGCCATCTCTGTTCTTATGATCTTTGGAATCTAAAACCTTTTTTTTCTGCAATATCGTATTTTCATTTCTTCTCCTTTTACCTTACCATAGATTGGCCATATTTTCATTTCAATGTAGATTTGGAAGGGAACATATTGTCTAACCGTCACATACCCCAATTTATTTGCAGGTGAGTAAAAGAATGAGGCGGGTTGAAACACGATTAGAGAGTAAATGGTTCATATTTGCCATGGTTAGAGTATTGACTATTACCATCGTAGCTGCACAAGACACCAGTCAGAGGCTTTGCGCAAATTGCAGTGCGACTGTGCAAATTACAAATTGCGCAATCATAAGCAAATGGAAAAAAAAAACTCAAATCTAGAGTTTCCCGACATGATTTCGCAGACCATGCATATCGTGGTCAAGACAAGAGGATCATTGATAAATTCAGTTTCTTGAAGCAAGCAGGTGCAGAGAAGTTGTACCCTATTTTATGAGGCATCACACAAATCAGCGGCTGGGGAAGCTACGAGCTCTGGAACTCCCTGTCTGTCATCAGTGTCTAGTTCGTCTCTAGCTAGTTCTCTTGTACTTCTTGACTTGTTATTGTTGTTCAGGTCATCTAACTCCTGGGGTTTGTTCAGCGTGCAAGTCAATAAATTTGTATTGTGCTATTTTGTTAATGAAATGAAACGCGATCGTTTGGTTTTTATAATAATTTTGTAATTGAAGTGGTTCAGCTTTTGACATGAGTCAGCAGGGCAGGTGGGCAAGGAGGAGATCGAAGGATGCGGAGGACGAACGAGGTGGTGCAGCGCGGCGGAGCTCCGGCGATCGGCCGCCGCGCGATCGAGGCCGATGCGCACTTGTGACGGAGGCCACTGCAGGTGGGTCCTACTCTTGTGTGAGCCCACATGGCAGTGGGTTCGTCTTTTTACCCAAACGGGCCGCACCTACGCCTCGTTCCCGTTCCGGCCCAACAACGCGATACCGTTCTGGCCCAACAAGAACTGGCCGGAGGTGATCTCCGTCCGGACGCGCAAGAAGTCGGTTTCTTTTTTCTGCTTATCCCATTTCTAGTTTTTTTTTCCTTTCAAAAATTATATTACCATGTGAAAAATAAACTAGCAAGCAGGTAGATGTCTGGCCTAGCCTACTTCTGCCACTCTGGCTACTGATCGATCTAAAAAATGTGCCTCGACACAGTTCATACGAAGACCAAAATTTGTGTAGCATCACCCTATTGTTCACTGATAGTAGTACACAATTCTGTAAATTGCTATAACGCGCTCTGTCCACAAGCAAAATCATGTCCACCAAATATATAATATCCCAGTACACAATTAGGAAATAGAATGAAAGGAAAATAACTTATTGGTTGTTATTACCCAAGGGGACAAACCTACACTACACCTGAAATTGAACAAGAAAAAACAGCCGTTGTACAGTAGTACAAGACGCCAATGGCTCTGAGCATCCAACTCCTTTTGTGTTTTAACTGTTTACATCAGGAAGTCCCTGGGGTCAGTGACGTATCCGGTGAGGGCTGAAGCCGCCGCGGTGAACGGCGAAGCCAGGTAGATCTGCCCTTCCTTGTGCCCCATCCTGCCGGGGAAATTCCTGTTCGTCGTCGACACACACACCTGCACCCAAATACGTTTTTGAAATCAGTTAATCAACAAAACCACTCGCATCAACAGGATATAATTTGGAGAACACTTGCAATTCCCTTTGCATTAAGGACTTCTTTTCATCACAAAATGGTCTACTAAGGGAGCATTTTACTTTACTGATTATAGGTCTACCATAGTTATTCCCAAAAACAACGGCTTTAATTTGGACTAGCACCTATGATTACCCAAGTAGTAATTAATATCGTAGCCAGCCACCAATAATGTGAAAGTAATTCAGATTTTTGTTGTCCCTTTAAATAGAGAACAAAATTCGTCCAGGGTGACAGGGTTCATGATACCTTATCTTTCAAGGAAGACATCTATAAATTCTACTATGTTGATAAAGTTCATACGAAACAACATTTCCTGTTTTACTGAAATATTTGGAGGCACTTACCATAGGTTCATTCATGCGAGCATATGTATCACGAGGACCACCCAAACAAGCACCACAACTAGGGCTAGCTGGTGTATCACAACCAGCCTCCTCAAATATCTGTGAGCAAGTTTTGCCACCGGCTCCTGGTACAGGGATGCTATAAATGTCCATCCACACCTACATAGATTTAACATTCTTATTATTAAATCGAAACCACAGGATGATCATTTCAGTATGTGTTTGCTGTTTGCTGCATTTATCACCTTTTGTGTCGCCGGAACGAGAAAAGTGGGAACTTTAACCTTCTTCCCCTGCATTAATGAAAGCAATTTTAGTAAGTCAAGCAGCCATGGAGTAGTATGACTTGAGAATTACTGTAACATGAGATTTAAGTTTGTATATAGAGAAATTGATTTAAATAAACAGGATGGATCAATATGCTTCAACAAATAGTGCTGGCTATAATTTGCAGTTACTGAGTCAATCAAGCTGGATGTCTATCACAGTAAGGCGGATGCTAGATCATTATAATCATAACTGATTAGCAGAAATTAACCTAACCATCTCCTATAAACACACAAACTTCCTCAGAACAACTCAACATATTGAATTCCAATCAAAACCCAACCCGATTTGATCATATAATACCGTAGCACATTAACCCTTTCAGCATTCAATGTTTAAAATATTCTAGATGTGCCTATTTAAACCAATATTCCCTTTCTGCATTGATTTCAGCTGCTCATGTACAAGGGACCAATGAGGTCAACTGAAGCCTGGTCCATATCAACACTCTTTGAGTCAGAACCTAACAACCCTAGATAGTAACAAATGGATACGAGCACAAACCATTGGCATTATCCTCCTCTTAAGTTCTAAAACATAATGAGTATCTCATAGTACTAAATAAACAAAATGACTTGGGTCATATGTCACCAAGCCACAAGATTCAAGCCTCTTACCGAAGCTAAGAACACCTTCGCAGCAGCAAAGAAGTCCTCAGTTTTACCTCCAGTACAAGAACCGATATAGACCCGGTCAATCTTGACATCTTTGCACTCTCTTGCTAGAGCACGGTTGTCAGGTGAATGTGGCTGCAGGTCCACCAAAATAACAGCTTTGACTCTTTTGTATAATGAAATTGATGAGATTGCAAAAGATAACAGTAACTATATGAACAAACCTTGGCAATAACTGGCTCCAATTTGGATACATCAAACCGGTAGTCACTAACAAATCTGAAAAAAATGTAGTGAAATCAAGTATAAGAGAGAGAGAGAGAGAGAGAGAGAGAGAGACATCAACAGCTTATGCTTATGCGGTTTCAATTTAACTATTCAAAACATGACACAAACGGACCACAGTTTATCTACATAAGCTTATAGATCAACTAACAATACAGGAAAAAATAGAGTATAATTCATCTAAAAAAAGTGTATAATTGCACAAGGACAACCTAGTGTCACAAGTTATCACCTAGTAGGCTCTACATCATTGTGATAAGCTAAAGACGACAAAGAAAACAAAGAACCAGTTACCTTCAAAATTATTTCTCTCCCTACATATAGCAATATGACATTCTTCTTTTCAGTTCAAGTACTCAATATCCAAATTTAGCTATAATATTTCTACATGATTGAAGCAACACGATCTGATACTTGAGAGCCTTGCTAATCTCCAGTGCAATCAGTTAGATTTCATTACCATGATATGCCTTCAGTGCAAAACCAGCAAATAGCAGTATTGATAAATAATATCATGAAGATGTGTACGGTAGGAATAGGCTAGCTGAATGATCGGCATGCAGCATTTTATTTATGAAGTTTGAAAGTGATTAATATACAGCAAAAAGGTGCTCTGTATTACAAAAAACTCTAGAAAATGCGCATATCGAAGTATTGAATAGTCAAAAGGAAAAGAGAAGGTATAGGCAATAATCACCTGGCCTGAGCATCACTATAGACAGGCTCGTATTCAACTGATGTCTTGCCCTGCAGTTACCAGGATGACCGATATGGAGTCATAATTATCATTATGTAAAAGTTAGAAATTTGTTCTTGTAAATATTTCTTCTTATTCGAAGCTTAAGGATGTTGGGTTGTTTTATTTGCATAAAAATATCGCTCATTTTATTACCAAGCATTTTAAAGGCCATTAAAGTACCTCAAGATAGTTAAATGTAGTTTGATCGGCAGGCACAACACCATTCTTGCCACCAGCTTCAATAACCATGTTGCACAGTGTCATTCGCTCTTCCATCTACCAAGTTTGCGGAAATATTAGGTTAAAAGCCATGAAAGATGAAAATAATTGATCAATCTAGTTATGAGCACGGAGCATACATTTAGACTTTCCACAGTTGATCCAACAAACTCCATGGATTTGTATGTTGCGCCAGATACAGAAATCTCACCAATAATCTGCAATTAGCAATTATTGAGGATGAGCTATTAGAAAATGCTGGTAGAAAGATAAGTACAGAAAAATATACAAGTATTTTGTAGTCTTACTTGTAAAATCAGATCCTTTGCAAGTAAATAAGGTGGCATTTCTCCATCTAATACAAACCTGATAGTTGGAGGCACCTGAAAATAATTTTGATAGATCACATTAAGAATATTTAAATAAAATATAAGGAACAAAAAGAATCCTAGAATTCCTATTATAAATGTAACTATCCTATGGATAGTGCTATTGACATGATACATCCCATATGTCTACCATGCTACGTTTGGATGAAATAATATTCAGATGGCGCAGTATGTGCACCAGAATAAAAAAAATTCTACTGTCAGCACCCAGAAATCTATCTTGAGTTCTGATTTATAGTGGTCAAAAGCATGCAGCTTGCTACAATGCCATTATTACATTAACATACATAGAACTGACACATCATTCAGATGAACTCACTAACCAATATCTGAACCACTTTTTACTATCAAGGCTGATATTTGAATTCGATACGGAGTAATCAGAACTTTCTACATACCTTAAGAAGAGCCTTCCCAGTGCCCATCACAAAACCAGCATCAGTGTTTCCAATTCCAGTTGCAAATTGGCCAAAGGCTCCAGCATTGCATGTATGAGAATCAGTACCAAGGAGAACCTAGACAACAATTGGAGCAGGTTAATCCTGTCCTATGAAACCACCAGATTCCTGCATTAGCACATTCACTGGAAGTACCTCGCCTGGTCTGCAATGACCCTCTTGAGCAAGAGCAACGTGGCAAACACCCTTGTAGTCTGGATTTGCCTGCAAACAACACAAATTGCAGTTTATTTAAAAAATTTCTTCAAAATGAACATGAAAACAGGTTTGATACAAAACAAACAAGCTATCAATTGGAGAAAAGATAATGAAAATGGATCGGCATACTTTGAAATTGCTCAGGTCCTTGATGTCATAGAAGTACTTGATGTTCTGCTCCATACAGAAATCCCTGAGGATATCAACATTTCGGTTTGCTCGCTCATCGCTGGTGAAGATGTAGTGGTCCGGGATGATGACCACCTTCTCTCGGTCCCAAACCTTGGCGTCCTCCCCGAACTCCCGCTTGAAGATCCCGATGGTGCCAGGGCCGCAGACGTCGTGCGTCATCAGCACGTCGACGTCCACCCACACGTTCTCCCCGGGCTCCAAGCTGGCGCGCTCCGACGCCCTCGCCAGGATCTTCTCTGTCATCGTCATGGCGCTCTTCACCTGAAACCGCAAAGAGTCCCATCCTCATCCGCATCCGCACGAGAATCACATCGAGAACAGCAGCCTAGCCTGGGTCGAGAAGCCGTACCGAGCCAGTGGAGGACGGGGCGCGGGGGGCGCGGGCGGGCGTGGCGACGGCGCGGACCCTCCCCGAACGCGCCCTCCTCCCACTCACCCTCCGCTGCAGCTGCTGCTGCGACGGCGCCACGGCGGCGGCGGCGAGCTCGTTCTGCGACAAACACCAGCAAGCAAGGGCAAGGGGGTTAGCATCGCGAACCGCTTGGGTGGGGAAGACGGATACCAGAGAGGTAGAGGGGAGTGGGGCGAACCTTGTGGGCGAAGGCGGCGGCCTTCCCAGCGACGGGGGAGGCGGCGGAGATGGAGGCCATGGCGGCGGCGGCGGCGCGCGGTGGTGGGGGCGGCGAAATGGCGAACACCTGTGGGGTGTGAGGTCAAGGGAGGCACGGGGATTGTATTGTGGCGTCGTGTGTGTGTGTCGCGTCGCGCGTGGGAAAGGCGAGCCACCCGGCCACAGTGCCGCGTGTGGGAGGTGACGTGTGCGATCTCAACCGTTGGATTGAGATCGGACGGCGGTGAGTCGGCTTTTTTTGTGGCCAATTCGACCTTTTTTTTCTTGCATCGATCCATATGTCGGTATGAACAGAGGAACTGGGCTTCATTCAAGGCCTTCTTTATGGGCTATCGCGAGGCGCCAATGGAATCTTCTAAGAGGCCACTTTGTGTGATCAAATGACAAGCCCATGTCCCCTCAAAAAAAAGGGAATATATAATGCAAGGTCATCAAATTATATTAAAAAAAATCCTGAATTCGTAGTTTTCAATTTAACCCTATGATAATTGACATATTTTTACTGAAAAGTTGTTTACAAATACTTGACATTGCACGAAATACTTTCGGTTTTACCCCTATGATAAATTATATTATATCCACTAAAGTTCGTTTATAACATGCTCACCCACTTGCTACCAAAACTGCTACTACCTCCGTTTTTCACTTTGGTCAAAGTCAAACTGTTTCAAATTTAACTAAGTTTGTAGAAAAAATAATAACATTTTCAACTCATGACAAATTTATTATGAAAATATATTTAATTATTGATTTAATGAAACTAATTTTGTATTATAAATATTATTATATTTGTCTATAAATTTAGTCAAACTAGAAGCAGTTTGACTTTGACCAAAGTCAAAACATCTTATAACTTAAAACGGAGGGAGTAAATAATATCCTAGAACTAAATAGTAGTCTGTACTACTTCAAAGAAAATAGTGGTGGTGGCAGTGACTCTGCCACCCACCTATTCTTATGGTAGTTTTAAAAATTACTCCTTGAACTTTTTCATATAAATGGGTAACCAAATATGAAGTAATATCAAGGTGAATATTCCGAATAGCAAAACACTAAGTACCACATTTCATAAAAAAAGTATTTTAGATAATAGTATACTACTAATATATGTTTTATTTGTAGCAAAGTACGGACGTTTATAATTTCTAGTTTTTGTGTGTATGGCCAAAAGTGTCAGTAAAAATAAGAAGGAAGTAGTACAATGTTCTCCCTTCGTACAAGCTTTTAATGTTTTTCATAATAAACATCTGGTGATGGAATAACTTGTTACAGAAGCTGACACCAAACAACTCTACATGTCAAACAGGCAGAGGTTGGAGATAAAATGGTGTATAAAATTTTCTTGTTCTTTATTTCTAAAAAATACCCTATAGAAATATTATTGTATTTGCACAAATATATTAGTTAGATTACTTCATGCATATTCTTGAGAGAGACTTTATGCATATCCTACATCTCCATCTCTCTCCTTAAAGTACTAGCTGTTAGTAGTAGGAAAATAACAACTAAACTTTAAAGGAGAGGTAATTTAAAGTGATCAAATAAAAAACATTAGATTTAGAGGCCGATTTGGACGGATCACATCTCTAAACTTATCATCATGGCAACAATACCACGCAATCAATATAATTACCATCGTAAAATATTTTAATACCGTTAATACTACATCACACCAACTAAAGTTGTATTGTATATTGTTGCGCTAGATCTCGCACATATCCATAATTCTTTTAAAAACAGCGGGCTGCACTTTGTCCTATATACCATATCATATAAGTCAAAATGTGCCCCAAAATAAAAAACTAATTCAGTCAAATTATGTCTCCATAACTACGATATATCTTATTGTGTGCTAAATAATATAATATAGCCACAATAAAATGGCCCCAAATGCATGTGAACACTTTGGAAATCGTAGTTATATTATAAGTAAGTGCTTCTACACTCTTCCCAGATAAATTATAAATTAATAAGGCATATACGCATTGGAGAGTATATTTAAATATACATAATATGGTAGACTAAATTGGTCACGTATTTTGTGGTTAAAATACAACTCAATTATTACAGTTTTTTCATTTGATTTATTCCTTGAAAGAGTGTGCTGCGAACTTAATTTGCTGAATTCCTTTTTATATTTTTTTGTCAAGACATCATGCACGGCATGTTTGTTTCAAACCTTTGATAGAAATTAGTAGAAATTTAAATGAAATGCTATAGTTCTTGCACAAATCCTAGGATTTTCCTCAGTGTACAGGACTAAAATTCCACCTCAATACAAGAATAAATTCTCACGGGGAGTCTTGCTCTGAGTTGACTTGGGGTTGACTCATTACTCTCCTTTTCCTTCTGTATGAATGCATTGGTCAGTGTTCTGCAGACAAAGCACCTGATACAACGGCATTAGTAGTTTTCTTCAGCTTAATCCGCCTCCTTTCTGAGACCACTGGAGTTGATTAGGGTAGAACAGTTGAAAGTTTTGTGTGAGAATTGAATCATGGTCCCTTTATCTTATATTTAAAAAGTGGTTGAAATACGGTTATTCACTTGTGGTATCATGTAATGGCTTGCCACTTGTGCTAAAGCTGGTTTGTCATGTACTGACCTTTCTTGTGCAAAGCTGAATTATATAGAGTATTTATTACAAGGTGTTATCATCGATCTAGGCTAATCAAAATAATAATATAGATCATCATATCCAACTGCCACAATGGTATATTTAATGGTCAAAACCGAGTAGTACTTGACTTTAGCCAGTTGATAACATGGTCGAAACTGAATATGAAAACGAAATAATGTTAACTATGTCTGTAATGTTTATCATCTGAGAATATTATCGTTTTGTGAGACATATTTTTTTTTGTTATACTATGGACGGGTAAGTGCGTAGTTACCTCATAAGATCATGGTTAATTTTCTACAGCTATATAACAAATCGTTTCATATTTTTTAGTTCTGACAAGAAGTAGTCAATAGTGGGCAAGAGGCCCTTTTCCACTGATTAAATTTCAATAGAAAATTTGTACATTTTTAGTTTAAAACTTTAAAGTCATACTTTTGCTTTCCACGTCTTTCCTTTGGGCTCATTTCTTAATGCCTCCATCGTGAAGGAGATTAGAAAAATTGCCTTCGAAAAAGAAATAACAATATAAAATACTCTTTTGTAAAAAGACACCTGAATACTCTGCAATTTCAGGAAGGCCTGGCATGACGACTGCTGAGAATTAGGATTCAATTTTTTGTTCTGATCCATATTATATTGAGTTAGGTTTAATATATAAAAGGAATTAAAAGAAGAAATTAACTACATGTACGTCTGCTATTACATCAGCCATGTCCAAATATACATTTAAACAATTTTACTAGTAATGTTTTTGAGAGGTAATTTAGAGTACATTCCTCTTAGGAAAATGATTTACGAATATCCTTATTTACTAACATATAAACAATTTACATTTTTTTCTAAAGCAAGCAATGTGTTAATTGCTTCTAAATATGGTTATTATTGATGATCAAATATTTCATCTCAAACAGACGCGTACGTTATTTTTCTCATACCGTCTTTTCCGGATGTTACAACTTTTTTACGTTACAGGTTTATAATTTGAGTAGACACATCCCATGTAGCATTTTGACCATGTACAACGAATATATCACAAAGTACTTATATGCCATATTGTGGATTTTAATTTTAATTGCTTTCTGAAAATATTTTGAAATATCGATAGCCAAATATGCATAGTAAAATCTTTGTAACAAAACTATACAAAAAACATGCGTAATATTATGGGGAAAAAAACTGTGTTTGACAGAGTCTATATATACCAACAAGCCTTGCAGACATAGGTACATTAATTGCAAGAAGAATTCAAACATTACAAAATTAATTTATATACTTAATAGGGACTTGGCCACAAAACCATAAAAAAAACCATAAACAAGTTCCATGTCACACCGCATATTTCGAAATTAGCACCACCTAGAATAAAAAACCTCCCCTACACAAAACAAAACAAGAAAAGGATTAAACAATAAGCCCCACCATTATTTCGCCTCTTAAAAAATGCCATTAATTTAAAGCAATCACCAAACCAAACAAACCAAAAACTCTTAAAAATTCCACCCATTTGCCAATTTTTCCAGTTGTTTAAATTAAATTAAACCCAAATCGATCCCTTTTATTTCCTATCTTGCATTTCCCATCTCCATCCTCCCTCTCTTCTTCTCCTTCTCCCTCCCCTGTTCTTGAATTCCTCGCCGGAGAACTTCTCCGGTGGTCTCTGAGTTCGCACTCCAGGTTAGAATTCTGGTGCGGTGGCTCGAGCTCGGGTTCGAATTCGGATTTCCTGGGTTGGTTGATCTTGATCGCACTCGCGGGAAGAAGAAGAATTAGGAAGCAGAGTGATCTCTGATGGTCACGGGCCGAGAAGGGAAGAGATAGGAGTTGTTGTCATGGAGCCCGCGACGGAGACCACGGCGACTTCGCCGGCTGCGGCTGCCGCTGCGCAGCCGGAGGCGGAGGCGGAGGCGGAGGCGGAGTCGGCGGCGACGCCGGTGGCAGTGGCGGCGGCGGCGGCGGCAACCTATCAGCCGCCAGCGCCGGTGGTTCCAGTCGCCGTGGCAGGTGCGGCGGCGGGGAGAGGGAACGGGAAGAGGAAGAGGGGGAGGCCGAGGAAGTACGGGCCGGACGGGAGCCTGCTCCGGCCGCTGAAGGCGACCCCGATCTCGGCGTCGGTGCCGGACGACTCCGGCGGGGGGCAGTACACGCCGGCGGCGGCGGTGGGGGCCGTCATGAAGCGCGGCAGGGGCCGCCCCGTCGGGTTCGTCAGCCGCGCGTCGCCGGTGTCCGTGGCCGTGACGGCCGCCACGTCCACCGCCGCGGTGGTCGTCTCGTCTCCGGCCACCCACACCCAGACGCCGCTCGGGCCGCTAGGTATGGAAATTTTTGAGAAATTTTGCCGTAATTTCGAAAAATTCAGGTGAAAGGCCTGCAACTTTTTTTTGGTTCGTCTTAGGATAAAGATAATAAGCCTGTTTAGTTGGAGTTTAGTTGGGGTGGTGACTTGTGAGAGAGACAAGGCTTTTAGAGGAGAGACAGACAGGGACTGTCTACTGATCTAGTCTAGGTAGGTGAACTGAAAACTGAAAGAGGCCTGCAGCTTTCAGGTTAAGGTTGTTTCTGCTTGGACCTGTAGTACCAGGTGCTACTAGTACCTTGGTTCTGCCTACTGTGTGTCATGGTCTCATGGACTCATGGTTGGGTTTCAGAGTTATGAGTGTCTTATCTGAGGTTTCAGACTTCAGGTTATGAGTTATGCAAAACTTGATGAATTTTGTAGACAAGTTACCAGTAGGTATCACTATTCAGAAAGCCTTAGTTTGAGATTTCAGGGGAAACAGTACTACAGTAGTTAAAACTTCAACTCATCATGCTGTTTACTGCTTAGAACCTCTGTTGGGTGGTGTGGAACTGAAAACCTGCAACAGGCGTTTTGGTGTAAATACCTTCAGTTGTGAATTGTGATGAGATGTAGTCTGTTCCTATCTATTTGGTTAGGGTGGCAAGAATAACCATGGATGAGATGATATTAGTTGCTGGTGATTTTGAATCTAGTTTTGTCTGGGTGTATTTTACTGCAAATACTATTTTTTATGCATTAGTTGAATAAAGTTGTTACTTAGGTGATAAGGTGTGCATGTGGAAAAATACTACTACTATTTTGTATGCATTAGTTGCATAGAGTTCTTACTGGTAATTGTATGTTCATGTGCGCATGACAGTATGAGCCTACAATAAATTGAAATTTGTTCAAGGATAGCATTTCGCCTCCATACTTGATAAAAACACAAAGGCTAAAAAATATGAGAAGTGCATGATGTCCTGAAAGCTTTATTTCTCTCAATGCTGAGAACCTGTTGATGGGCAGGTGAATTGGTAGCATGTGCTTCTGGTGCAAACTTCACACCTCATATCATTAACGTTGCTGCTGGCGAGGTAAGATGTCACTGATTTTTTCTGTTTCCTCTTCTTGCTCTCACAATGTTAATAGCCTTGTCTACTAAATTTGCTTGAATGGTGTTACCAACTTAATTTTGTTATGCCAGGATGTTAATATGAAGGTCATATCTTTCTCCCAACAAGGTCCAAGGGCAATTTGCATTCTGTCTGCTAATGGGGTGATTTCAAATGTTACATTGCGTCAGCAAGATACTTTAGGTGGTACAGTGACTTATGAGGTTTGTTCTTTCCACCTCCAAATTAATATTCATGTTTCTTTTTGCAATTTTCTTGCTCTGCTTGTACAATATGCAAAACAGATATATCACCCGCATTTAATTTATGAACTGGAAAGGACAATCGATTGAGTCTTGTTATACTAGCCATATTACACTTTTTACTCGATTATATTGGCCTCTCAAGTTCATTATCATTGGTCTTGCATGTTGTTAATGAAACCTTTTACACTAAAACCATCTTTTTGATAATCTTATGATGACTTTTTTTTTTACTTAAGTCTAATGTAACTTTTGGTCCTGGCAAATATGAATTGCAAACAACATGTAAAACTGTGGAGGAAATATTTTGAAAAAGAAAATGTTGATTGTATGATTGATATGGAGTCAAAGTTGAGTGGCCCAAAAGTTTTGGTATAGTCAGTATGCAGGTTGAGGATTTTATGTGTTTCAATAAGCTAAGCAGAAGCTGTAGGCATGTGGTTTTCAGCATGCTGTCCCTGTTCTAGCGTGTGAAAACTGATTTTTCTTTAATCCTAGTTCTCCAGTTAATCTGGGCAAGAACTGTAGCTTTAAACCAGATCAGTTCACAAAAAGGAACCAAAACAACCAAAGAGATTCCTATAGAGACATTATAACTTTCTAAAGGGTGAATTAATAAGTAAAGACACAGTTTCCTTTTTGCAGTATTGATATTTTTTCTGCAATTTCGATTAAAAAACATTAATATCAACCTTACTGGTAGCAATGATGAATAGTTTAAGGTATAAGTGAGCGCTTTGTTTTAGTCTAATGAGAGTGTCGAACAGTAAAAGCAGTAAACAGCCAGGGCTTCATCAGTTCCACAACTAGTGGAATTGCACAATGGAAAATATGGCCACTTTCTAGGACTTTGTCCCAGGAGAATACGATTTACAATTGGAGGAAATATCCGCCACCTTGAGAGCAGTTGATTTTCTTAGAGAAAAAAAAAAGAGTAGTTGAAATTTTTTTTGAACGAATGAGTAGTTGAAAAATCAAATGGTGTAAATTATATGTCATAATACAATTCACATGATTTGACTTGAGTATATGGGTCTAGTAATAGTCATGATCAGGACTTCTCCGTGACCCAAAATAATCTTTGTTTCTTCACTTTACTACATGATGAAAGTTAAAAAAATGCAAGGAAATTAGGTGGAAACTAACAGGAGACCACCTGAAGAACTTGCATGGAAATTATGTGTGCATTTCATAGCATGTACATATGGATCCAGTCGGACGTTGTCAGCACTCAGCACTTAACAGTGGAAAAAGTGTGCCTAATGTATATATTGACAATGGAATAATTCCAACACCTAGCTTTTCCACACAAGCACATATGTACTATTCGAACAAACTTTTCAAGTCCAGTCTGCAGTACAATTCCTCTGTTTATATACTGTACGTGCTAATGACTGATCAACTAATGTTCATTTCAATCATATATGTGTGCATATCCACTCTTCATCATGCAGACTTGTTTCGATCTTCTAATCATAGATGTGCATATAGCCATGTCTATTTTTGTATCAAAGAACTTGATTAAAACTTTTCTCTCTAAATTCCTAACTGATCAATGTGCTGTTAATTTAATCAGGGCCGGTTTGAGCTGCTCTCCTTATCCGGATCATTCACGCCAACTGATAGCGGTGGAACGAGAAGCCGCTCCGGTGGAATGAGCGTCTCGTTGGCGGCCACGGATGGCCGTGTCATCGGAGGCGGAGTTGCCGGCCTCCTTGTGGCTGCAAGCCCTGTTCAGGTGAACCCTTTTTTCAGCTTGTCCAGAATTATTATCATGGACTATTGCTCAATGTTTCTAAAAATACAATTTTTCAAAAAAAAACCTTCTATTCTATTTTGAAGCTATTTGTAAGGTTTATAAATATATAATATTTAATTTATTCCTATAATCAATCGGCTTGAATTTGTGGATAATCTATTTAGAATGCTACCTTAAGCTCCATGGATTGTGTGTTCCAAAGTGTTGATGAATGATAGACGAAACTGAGTTTATAACAATTATTCGAGGGCACAAACAAATGGATTAAGTAATAGAAAAGTTATAAGTTTGATTTATCAAAGTTATCTAAAAACTATTGATATTATAACTTATAAGAAAACCAAGTGTACCGTCTAGAAGCTTGAGAAGAGTGTCCGCGATAATCCGTCATCCATTATATATAAAAAAAAGAACGTGCTGTACTTGATATTCAGATTACTCAACAATGACATATACTCATCCATCTGCTTTGCTTGCTGTTGGCAACAACCTGATTGAGTCGATTGATTGCTGTTCTCTATCAGGTTGTGGTAGGAAGCTTCCTGCCGAGCTACCAGCTGGACCAGAACGCCACCAAGAAGCCCGTCATCGAGATCACGACGGTGCCGCCGCCGCCGCCGGCCATCGGCTTCACCATCTCCAGCGGCGACCCTATGGAGGACTCCTACAGCGGCAGCCATGGCCAGCACCGCTCCGGCGCCGCCGCGGCGACGACGACGACGGCGAAGGCCAACTCGACGTCGGCGTTCAGGGTGGAGAACTGGACGCCACCGGCGCCGCCGGCGGCGGAGGCGGCGAGGACGAAGACGCCGTCGTCGGAGGCCAAAGTCCCAGTCCCCGGAGCCTGACGAAGCTTGCATTGCATATAGTTGCATTGTGTTGCCGTTTGTTAATTAGGCCCTGAAATGGATGTGCAGAGATGAAAATTTTCGTACTACCATCGATCGATCAGTCGTCGTCAGATCATCAGCAACCTCCGTATGATTAAATCAGTGATGCAGTTAAATGTTAGTGGAAGAAATTATCACACCATCCCTCGTGGACTGGTTTATCCGATTAATCTGTACTTAATTATGATAAGGCAGGGACAGTGGAGAAATATAATTAAATTCTCTTGTGGTACTATCTGTTAGGCTCATGTGAGCTAATGATGTGCTTGTCTTGCATGCAGGTGCTGGGCAGCGGCTCTACTCCTACCTGTGATGCTTAATTGTTTATTTATGATAAGTGCAATAATTAGGCTCCATTCATTTTTGTTAAGATGCAAATTTTACTTCAGTTTTCGTTAGCGTGTTTCAAAAACTGCTAGACAATAAAAATATACGAAAACTTTCTGATTAAGTGCAGTTAGATCCATAATTGTGTTGCTACTATCTATCGATTTTGCTATATATTTGTCGACAAATTTTTCCGCAAAAATTTGACAGATGTAATTACAGTACAATCGTAGTGTAATTACACTGTAACTATAGTGTAACTTGTATGTAACTTTCAAAAATCTCTCCGTAACATAATATTTCGGTAAAATGAAGGTCGTGGGAACAAATTATTTCATATATGTGTGTGCTATGATTTGTTTTCTTCCTCACCAAAACAAATCTTGTAATAGATCTAACGATTTAAAATTATGTGAAACTTACATATAAGTTACACTGTAGTTACATGCAAGTTACAGTGTAATTACATATAAGTTACAGTGTAATTACACTACAATTGTACTATAATTACATCTGTCAAATTTTTGGGGAAAAATTTGTCGACAAATGTATAGGTAGTCCCCTTCAGTTCTTCTTCGCCGTGGAGAAATTCTTCAAAAAAATCCGGAAATTATTCCGTTCCAAAGAAAAAACGTTAGGGCTTTTTAAAGTACACCAATAGGGTGGTGTCAGAAAAAAAGTAAAGCAATAGGGAAAAGACAGGATTAAAATGTCATGGAATCAGGAATATGAAATGCCTTGTTCAAAGGAAAACTAAATAGGAATTTGGTGGATTCTGTAGAGAGAGTAGAAAGACAAAGAGACATGTTGCATTGGACTCCTTAGAGCAAGTAACTATAAGCCAGCTATAAACATATATCAAGAAGATAAAAGAAGAGAGAAGCAGCAGGCTACAGATTTGTAGCCAGCTGCAACACGGAATCCAAGACACAATGTGTGTATGACATGTAGGACCAAGTATTAATAGTGTGGTATATGTTTATATGTAACTATTGTATGAATTGACTATTAAGTTGACTATAGATGATTTAGAGCTAGTAGTTGGCTATACTATTAAACTTGTTCTTATTTGGTGGGGGTTTGAGTTCATTGGTCCCAAAATCAACTCCAAAGTTAAGGTTGAAAATTTAAATTTTGACTGATAATCATGAGCATAAGTGAAAAGATGAGGCTGATTGTCTGTTTTCCTGTGGAATTGGTGTATATGAACTCAATACATAGGAATTTGGTGAGTTAAAATACTTTGTTCGAAATGGCATGTTCAGAAAAGAATTTCTAGAAATTACAATCCTCCATTTGTCCTATGAAAATTCTACATCTATTAAGGTTAAGGTAGATCCAGAGCACAGTTGTTACCAGCGCTTTGCCGTTTACAGTCGATCCATGGCACTTCAATTAGTCAAAGTTTTGTCAAAAGAGAATGGCATGCATCACCTTGAATTAATTTGGTCAATCACCAGTTGCTGGCTTATAGAGTTGGAAAATATTCCCTGCTCTATGTAAAACAGAATAATTTATTAGCACATATATAATTAATTAGGTACTAGCTATTTTTTTAAAAAATAATAAATATGAATTGTTTAAACCTCTTTTCTATAGATTTTTTAAAAAAACCATTTAACCGTTTAGAAAATGTACGCGTGAAAAACGAGAAAAAAAAATAGGAAACGATGTCAGGATAACGAACGAAAATGCTAAGTACTACTCATCATTCGGTCAAGTTTTTTTCTAGCGTACGTTGTTGTTCATAGTGCCATATATGCCTCTTTCTTTCTTCCTTGAGCATATGCATCTTTCTTTCTTCCTACTTATACATATATATTTCGAAAACAACTGCACAAGTTACTTTTGTCCTGAATGGACGATATGTTATCTGATTTTGATCTTGTGATAATATCATACATAGGGTATAAACAGATGAATTAACTGTTAAAAAGTTGAAAAAAGAACCTAGAAACCTATACTTAGAAAATTCTTATAATTAAATCGCATCGTTTAGAAGCTTATAAAGCGTGTCCGTGATAATCTATAACCTATAATAAGATGAAAATAACTGGACCTATATATCATCGGATAAATTAAGATCGATCCATCGACCATGGGTTGATAGATGCATGTTCGGAGAAGTTCCTAGCTATCTCAGCTGGGGCATGAATAAATTGATGACCTAGCTAGCATACAGGAAATTTTTGATTGGTCAGATTGCTAAGATGCAACGATCGATCGATTACTGTCTCGCTCGATAGATCTAGCTAGCTATCGCTAGGACTTTCTGCATCCAAGTGCATAGTTTTTTTTTTCTTTTTTTGAAAGAGTAATAAGCGCCTAACTTTTTCTTTCTAGGTGCTGGAATAATTAGTAACCGAGCAAGCACTCAATCTTAATTCTGCAGGTACGTAGCAGCTCGATCTCAGCTAGCTAGACAGCTAGTAGAAAAAGAGAAGAAAGTCCACAAGAAAGAAGAGATCTACAGCTAGCATCTGTGGACTGGACGACTAGCAATCTAGCATATATATGCAGCTGCCCAAAGTTCTTTTTTTTTATTATTTCTTCAATTCGTTTTGGGCGAAATTCCGAACTAACAACGAAAAATACGATGGCTTCCTTCTCCTAGATTACCAAGGAATAGTAATATTTATTTTATAGGTGAAAGTAGGTTGCATTTAAATATATATATATTATATGTTGTGAAGAAAGGAAGAAATGACACGAAGAGTCTCTATATATGGATAGTAGAAAAAGATCAGAAATTAAGCTAAAGAGGCCAGGCAGGCAGGCAGCATCATGGCAACAGCCTGGATCGAGTTGAACTCGATTGCTAGCCAATTAAATATAATCTTGCCACTTAATTAGTTAACTAAGCTGTGAAAATTAGAATGCAAGTCTGGCGAAGTTACATGATAGCTGCTGGCTGCTGCATGGATCATCCGTTGAGCAATTCAGTAGGAAATTTGGAATAATCCTTCTAGTCCTGTGTGCGTGGATGCAAGCTAGTCATCGAAAGCTAATATGAAGCTACTGCCGGCCTGCGGCTGGGTGTCTGCGTCTCAGCTGCAAAACAAAATGAGACTGATACTTTTCTTGTTACCTAGCTAGGGATCAAGTCAATTTTCACCCCTCATCGATTGGATCAGCATCCATTACTTCAGTGTTAGCTAGAGAAATTAATAAGAGCAAGTTTTAGAAAGCTCCACATATATTTTATTGTTGAAATTGAACAAAAACCCTCAGGTATATATATACTTGTGACACATGTATAACCCCAGCTGATATCACAGGACTCTCTTTGTTTGATATTATAGGTCATTTTAACTTGTTTTAAGTCAAATTTCTTCAAGTTTGATCATTTTTTTAAAAAAATATAGCTACATTACCAAAATAAATATACTATAAAAATATATTCATGAAACTAATTTGATGTTTTAGTTAGATAAAATTGGTTAATTTTAAAGTGGTTTAACTTAAGATAAATCTAAATTGACTTATAATATAAAACGTAGAGAGTGCTAATTAATGTTTTACATATATAACCCCACCCATCGAGCATGCAATTTAATTTAAAATGTTATTTTTATAAATGCATGCATGAAATTAATGATTTAGTTTACCGTAATAAAATATATGGTGTCCTATAAAATATTTAAGAGAAAATCCCTTATATACCCCTGAAATTTTTCCTAATCCCTTCTATACCCCTGAATTTTGCTTACTTCCTTATATACCCCCAAAATTTGATTTTGATCCCTTGCATACCCCTCCCGTCAGTTGACCGTTAGTTGACCGTGTATTTTCTATAAAAATGACCATTTTACCCTTGGATGAACAAAGAAATTCATGAATTACATTATTAAAAATATAAAAGCTTCTCGCATGAGACTATTATAGTTATGAGTTTGTTGTGCGATGCATTATTTATCCCAAAAAAATATTTTTAGATAATGAAATAAAAAAAATACGTATTTATTTTTTAAAAAAAAGGTCATAAAAATGAGGAGCATTCATATAAAGATAGGTATACCAATGTTCACAACATTTTTTTTTATGAATGCTCCTGATAAAAAAATCCATTGTCCTGATAGGTATACCAATGTTCACAACATTTATTTTATTTTCAAAATTTATGTCAAAATTTTCTGCACTAATTATTTAGTCTCATTAGTTTTATAAAATGCACACGATGTGCACTCAAACAAAATTTTCAATTATTTTTGAAGCTTATATTTAAACCTAAAGCATCAAGGGCAAAAAAGACATTTGCAACCAAACGTAACAGTAAAATGATGGAAAATGTAACGGTAGGGGCATGGAAGGGATCAAATTGAAATTTCAGGGGTACAGAAGGGATCAGGTAAATTTTAGGGGTATGAAAGAGATTGAGTGAGTTTTCAGGGGTACACAGGGAATTTACTCAATATTTAACTAACTATACTGTTGTTTAATGAATGAATAACGATATATATGTATGAGAGGAATATCCACGAAAGCATATGCATGTAGTATATATATTTTCTACTAGGAACACATTTGATGTCTATTTATATAAAATTAAATCAAGTGAATAATGTAGTACTATATAGCAATATCACTATGCTAGTATATATATACCGTATTAAAGTAGTGCAGGTCCATTTATATCACAGTAGGTTATATACATGTAGCCATTAAAAGTAACATATTATTTAATTTGAAGATCTATATCTATCCTTATAGCAGACGGCTGCTAAAGCTAGAATGCCGGCAGAAGCAAAGAGATGCGATTGCTTAGAAACTCTACATCGTTCGTGCTAGTTGTGCACACGAAATTTCCTGCATGCATTCCAAGTACATCATGCGTACAATGATCAACATATTTGCATTATTCTTTTTGAACAGAATAGGGTCAGTTCCTCCGTTTCCAAAAGACAGCTAGCTCCTTTCATTCTTACATATTGAAGACACTTCTGTTATAAAATGCTAATCACTATGCTTATACAGGGAGACGCATATGCATATTAGCATATACAATACACACTATGCTCAAAGAGGCAGACTAGTAACATATAGTCAAATACTCTCTAGTCTCACTAAGATTAAGGTGGTGTTTGGATTCCCTAACTAAACTTTAGTCCATATCGTATTAGATGTTTGGAACTAATTTAGAGTATCAAACACAAACTAATTATACAGATGGAGGATAATTTACGAGACGAATCTATTAAGCCTAGTTAGTTCATGATTTAACAATGTAGTGCTAAAGTAAATATATGCTAATCATTAGGCTTAATAAATTCGTCTCGTGAATTAGCCTCTATCTGTGTAATTAGTTTTATAAGTAGTATATGTTTAATATTCAAATTAGTATTCAAATATCCGATGTGACAAGTACTAAAGTTTAGTCAGGGTATCCCAAACACTACCTAAATTATGTTAAAAGTTCACCGGGGAGTGTATAATATTTATGGTACTAAAATTTAAATCCTATTGGAGGTGGAAATCTACCAGATGCACCGATTCTCTCATCACATTTGAATTTACATGGCCTATTTTTCTTGCATTTTCTTTGAAGAATGGTAGTGCTCTTTTCTTGAAAGAATGGTAACGCTCGATCGCAAGGAAAAAGAACAACTACACCATCGGTGCTTCTCTCATCCCTTTTAAATTTACTTGGCCCATTTTCCATGTATTTTCTACGGAGAATGGTAGTGCTCCCAAGAAAAAAAAAAGATGGTATAGTCATCTTGGGAAAAAAAAATCAGCTACAGTACACATATATATATAGTACTGACTAAACACAGAAAAATCAAACCAGGCCGTGTTTATTTCGTGTGCCAAATTTTTTTTAAAGTATACAGACACACATTTGAAGTATTAAACGTAGACTAATAACAAAATAAATTACAGATTCCATCTGTAAATCGCGAGACGAATTTATTAAGCTAAATTAATCCATTATTAGTAAATGTTTACTGTAACACCACATTGTCAAATCATGCCGTAATTAGCCTTAAAAAATTCATCTCATAATTTACATGCAAACTGTGAAATTTATTTTTTTATCCACATTTAGTGCTTCATATATATATATATATATATATATATATATATGTTTAACATTTAATGTGATGGATTTTTTTGGAAGTTTCAAGCGACTCAGTTGAAAAATTAACAGCAAAGCCAAGAGAGAGAAGATAAACTCATGGACTGGTTGGCTCACTGGAAGGTGGGGCCAGATCTTAAAACGGTAGCAAAAGCGCGCGAGGCACTCGGCTAGTCTAGTACGGAGTATACCACGAACACGAAGCTTCCTGTGGAGTCTGGACCTCTGCTACGTGGGGAGCACTGCCACGTGGCACGACTCCACTGGCTGCGTTGAGCCGGTCTGCGTCATCGCTGATCGCCCGCGGACCACGGTCCAAGGCCGGCGGAAGCGGAATAGAGATGCGCGTTTTGCGTTGCGCGTGCGTGCGGCATGCATTTTGGAAAGTGATGTCTGAAAATATCCTGAATGTACGTAATTTTGATACAAAGATTTAAGAGCTAGTTTGGTTTGAGGTCTAAATTAGGCTTACCAATATTTGATAATTTCAATAGTGTTTAGTAGTGTTCATTTGGTTTGAAGTCAAATTTTGGCATGCCTAAAAAAATAGGTCATTTCAATAGTAAACTTAAGCTATTTTGGCTTAAATTCAAACACAACTTTACCTTATAAAAATTAGTCATGCCAAAACTTACCAAAATTTGACACTAATAAAATTTGGTAAGGACTATTTAGGCCATAAACCAAACCAACTCTAAATTCACGACAGAGTCCACAACTGCACAAAAATAATTCCAAACGTATATAATACGTCCCAATGTATATATATATATATATATATATATATATATATATATATATATATATATATATATATTTTAAACTATGTAAATTCATCACAGCATTTGCTTAAAAAACTACAACTAATTAATACACCATCGGTCCTTAAAAAGGAATAACTTGAACATACATTTATCCAGTTTCCTTAATAGAAGTAGCGTTTTATGGAACGAGTACAATTTTTTTTTCGGGGAAAGGGAAGAAACGAGTACAAGATTATAGTTGGAAAACTACAAAGAACAAAATCGTGGATTAATTAGAAACAAGAGCTTTTTATGAAATAATAGCATAAAGGCAAAGATAGCATAAATATATTTTTTATTCACATTCTAACAAAATCACAGGTGCTAGCAAACACATGCAGGAATAGTGGCCGTACATGTTTACCATGAAAAAGAGAAAGAATGTAACAGATCACATGGCACAGCGAAAATGCCACGTGTACTCGTACTCCAGTCTCGTGCTACATGTTTGTACTTTGTCCCTATTTAAATCCCTGTTAAAATTTTACACAATGTCACATCGAATGTATAGATACATAGAGTATTAACTATAGACGAAAAAACAATTAATTACACAGATTACGTGTAAAATTACGAGATGAATCTTTTAAGCCTAATTGCACCATCATTTAATAATATAGTGCTATAATAAATATTTAATATGACATATTTAATTAGTCTTAATAAATTCGTCTCGCGGTTTATATGCGGATTCTATAATTTATTTTATTATTAGACTATATTTAATACTTTAAATATATATCCGTATATTCGATGTTACTAAAACTTTACACCCTAAACTAAACACAAAACACAGCTTTTGTACCATCGGGGCAAAGCAGTGGTCTCATACAACTACAAGTACGAGCCATATCTCTCGCGTCAATGCTTGCGAAACTGTAGAAGCTTCCGGACCGGTCGCGCCGCACCGCACCGCACCCGCGTTAAAACGCACCGAGCCTTCGCGAGAACTACCCGAACAATACCCGCCCGTTTCCTTGCTCGCGAATCCACTCGCGCGTGCGTGGGCCCCACCAGCCCCCACGCGCGGGTATATAAACCCCCCCCCCCGCCTCCCCTCTCATTCCTTTTTATCCGACGATTCAAAAAATTCGAAGCCATCCACCAACGAAGAAAAAAAAAAGGGAGAAAAAAAAATCCACGCACACTTTGCGTGCGAGGCGAGGCGGTTCGATTCGAGAGGAGAGAGAGAGAGAGAGAGAGAGAGAGAGATGGACGCCTTCTACTCGACCTCGTCGGCGTACGGAGCGGCGGCGAGCGGCTGGGGCTACGACTCGCTGAAGAACTTCCGCCAGATCTCCCCCGCCGTCCAGTCCCACCTCAAGCTCGTACGTTTCGTGCCCCCTTCTCCCTCCTCCCGCGAGTGTTTTTTTTTTGGGATTTTTTTTGTTGGGGTGGATTTGGTTCGCGGCGTGGCGGGTGTTGCTACTGGTCTAGGTTTTGCGTGGTGTGGGATGCGACAATGGATTTAGGTTTCGCGTGGTGTGGGATGCGACAATGGATTTAGGTTTCGCGTGGTGTGGGATGCGAGAATGGATTTAGGTTTTGCGTGGTGCGGGATGCGATAATGGATTTGGGCGTCAAGTTCTCGAATCCATGGTTCGTGTTTTATTTTGGGGAAAAATTGGGGTAATGCGGTTTTTATTGGATTGTTGATACTCTCTTCCATGCTGGTTTGGGCTACCTGCGCCTGGTTAGAGTTTCTGTGCCTAATTTGTGAATCGCAAATCGTGCCGAGGGAATTTCTGCGCTTGTGCATGAAATGTGGCGTATGTGATTAGATTTTGAAGACTAGTCGCGTTGATTTGGGGAAATAGCCATGGAGATTAGTCTTCGTTAGTTTCGAGGATTAGATTTAGAGACTGAATTGGTTGGTTTGGTAATTCCTGACGTGACACGTACCAATCCACGCTATCTGTTTATAAAACGCCACACGCGCTACTCGATTGGGCATAATTTTTGTTCACAGATTTTGTTTGATTCGTAGCTGTCTATGAATGGGTTGTATTACTGTTGATTCCACGCAGCAGGTAGCACTGCAAGTCTGAATGTTATGCCCCATAGCCTGGATGCTTTTCATGCCTTCTTAGGTTGTAAATACAACTAGATTTTGTATTTTTTGCTTCTTGATATTCATGCGTCCTTATCAGATTGGGTTTAATGGTTGCAATAATGACTTGAATCCTGACGGTGCCTGCAGGTTTACCTGACACTATGCGTCGCCCTGGCTGCGTCGGCGGTGGGCGCATACCTGCACGTCGCCTTGAACATCGGCGGGATGTTGACTATGCTCGGGTGCGTGGGGAGCATCGCCTGGTTGTTCTCGGTGCCTGTCTTTGAGGAGGTTCGTCTCGGCTTCTTCTGCTGATCCTGATAACTCGATTGCTTCCTCCCTAGAAATTCGATGGAAGTTTTGGTTTACTGACAATGTCAAATACATGGTGTGCTGACTTTTTTTTTATGTCTTACCCTGTGAGCAGAGGAAGAGGTTTGGGATTCTCTTGGCCGCTGCCCTGCTGGAAGGGGCTTCAGTTGGGCCTCTGATCAAGCTTGCTGTAGACTTTGACTCAAGGTAAATGAGCTTATCCTAGTTGTTTTAAACAATGGTCTATTGCTATACAGCGACGCAATGATTCATTGATCATGATTGGTCGATTTAGAAGTAACTTGGAAAAGTAAATGACATGTTGGACAGACAAGTTGGTGATAATGGTTGATAATATGTCAAGGATTGAGTGTGACATGATGCTCGTGGGATTTACTGTGGCTCGGTTGCCTTTGAATTAAGTGTCGTTGTCTACTAGTGTCTGGTTATTCTTGGAAACATTAAATGGGTTCAGATGTGTTATAGTGGTCAAATTATGCTTGTGAAATTGGACTTTTATATCATGCTTTATCTTTTTCTTTAAATAGATTCTACAAGAACAGAAGTTTGCCAACCATGATAGTAGTGGTATTATAGTCTGGGTAAATATATCCTGCATAGTGGTATTATGGTTTGGTAAATGCATCATGCATAGTGGTGTTGTCATGAAGCTGATGTTCATGATGCTCTCATGATATGAGAGGTTTTAGCGTTCGGTGGTACGATATTCATTCAGAATTCCAGGGTGTGCTGTCGATTCTGGTTAGTACTAGTATTCAGATATGCCCTTTCACATTTTTTCTTCTGTCACATGCCTGCCTAATACTGTTAGCTAGTCTTGTAGATACTTTCCTCTGGAGTTACTAGGAACGCACAACCTACTTTCCCCCTAGAAATCAGTAGTGCTAGCCTTGTGGGATATTGTCTTATGGTTTGGGTATGGACTTTGTTTCATGGTTATCATGGGCTTCTTTTATTTTCGAATGATGGCCAAGTTGAGTACCACCTTAACAGATAAAGTATTCCGTTGTTTCTGTTTGTCTTGTGGCTGCAAAATTTGTAATGTAACTAACTGTCCTAGGAGCTTTTCTCTTGTTGATCTCCTTAACTGGCATGATTTTTTTTACCTGTTGACTGATGTTATATGTCTATTGTTGTGTGTTACCAGCATTCTCGTAACAGCATTTGTTGGAACTGCCATTGCATTTGGGTGCTTCACTTGCGCTGCCATCGTTGCCAAGCGTAGGGAGTACCTCTACCTTGGTGGTTTGCTCTCTTCTGGCCTCTCCATCCTGCTCTGGCTGCAGTTTGCCGCATCCATCTTTGGCCACTCCACCGGCAGCTTCATGTTTGAGGTGAGATACTGGGGCTATATTCTTGTCCAATCCTAACATACAACATACTACGCATCCTTTGCCTGAACACTGATACATGTGTGGTTTCTCCTGCAGGTTTACTTTGGCCTGTTGATCTTCCTGGGGTACATGGTGTATGACACGCAGGAGATCATCGAGAGGGCTCACCACGGTGACATGGACTACATCAAGCACGCACTCACCCTCTTCACTGACTTCGTGGCCGTCCTTGTCCGGATCCTCGTCATCATGGTGAGTACATGACTCAGCTTACTGCTCAATTTGCTCATCATCCTCCGTATGCATTGCCGCGATTCGGTTTGATTCGGCTTTTGAAATGCTGACCTGACGATGAACACCCACAATGTCTCCGTTGCAGCTCAAGAACGCGTCTGACAAGTCGGAGGAGAAGAAGAGGAAGAAGAGGTCTTGAGAGCTTCTCTTCCCGCTTTGCACATAAGAAAAAACCACCGCGGCTATTGCCTCTACGTATTATGACAGAGCCGCACTTCAACTGGGTTTTATGGTGAATACAAGTTCTTTTGCATTTTGTTGATACGGTGTGAATCTTCTCAGGTTTGTCGTCGTAGTAGCTTTGCAAATACTAGCATGCTACATGACACGGATCTTTCTGTAATGGTGGTCGCGTTGATCGAAACGTGAAAACACATCTTCATTTGCGACTAATTTGTTTGCCTTTTGGTGATTGATGATGATCCTTTCCCCAACTTGTGTCATTGTTCCCTTTTGATGGGCGTTTTTGAGCAAACCCCGGCGAATTGTGTGGCCACGGGTGGTTCGTGTTACATTTATGCGAACAGCAAGTTTGCCCGCGGGCTTGAATGCTACGAATGACGCTGCACGGCGCGTGTTCTCATTTACCCCATCTCGACGCAGAATTCACGCCGGTAACGTGCGGCAAGTTTCGTTAAAAAAAATATGCTAACTAAAACTAGCACGCTTCGTTTTAGCATCTTATTTTAACTGGAGTCGGTCAAATTGATCCATCCTTTGAACTTTTGTATTTCGGGGAATCACGATAACAACATATCAAAACCTTGGAGTAGAATCTTAAGAGATGAACCTCTCATTCTCTAACAAGAGGTATGAAGATTAAGGGTCTGTTCGGCTGCCCGCGCTGCCAGCACGAACAGTGCTGCGCACACTATGCGCAGCCGCAGCAGTTGGTATGCTGAACAGGCCTTAAGATTTTCGTGGCACGCTTTTTAAACTGATAAACAGTGTGTTTATACGAAAACTTTATATATGAAAGTTGCTCTAAAATATCATATTAAACTATTTTTTAAGTTTGTAATAATTAAAACTCAATTAATCATACGTTAATACCAATCTTTTTGGGTAAAAAACTTAATCTTCATCTTCAGAAGAAAAGAATACCACCAACCTTATACTGGATTGGATATTTTCTATTCATATTCATAGATTTAGAAAATGTTCAATCTGAATCAAAAGAGTATTATTTTCTTGACGCTTTTAAAAATATGTTTTCTCAATAAACATTCTTATATTATATTTACAACAGTTGCTTTAAGATATTCATCAATTTTACATATCAAATTATTTAATTATTTATATACTTAATTAGATAATCTATAATAATTTAATTCAATCTTGGCTCTATTATTCACATTGAACTTGCTAGTACTAAAATTTTCAATTCCACCAATCCGAAGGCCAAAGTTTTACTACCACTACACGACCAGAGGTACATAGATATAAGAGCAAGCGGGAAGAGCACACACACTCGCCGCTCGCGCCACCAACCTTAACACCTTCCCTCCACCATACGCAACGCCATGGAGAGGACGACGACGAGGCGCACCAGCAGCAAGGGCGCCGCCGCCGCGCCCGCGCCCAAGGTGGTGGCCGTCCTCGCCGGCCTGCTCGAGCGCGCCGCGGCGCGGGGCGACGCCGACGCCGACGCCCGGGGCGGCAGCGCGGCCGCCGCGGCGGCGACAGCGTTCCGCGGGCGGACGAGGCCGGAGATCAGCGTGCGGCGGTACGCGGAGCGGATATACCGGTACGCCGGGTGCAGCCCGGCGTGCTTCGTCGTCGCCCGCGTCTACCTCGACCGCCTCGCCGGGCGGTCGCCGGAGGAGGAGTCATCGCCATCGCCATCGCCGCCGGCGACGGCAGCGGCGGCGGTGTGCGTGGACTCGTACAGCGTGCACCGTCTGCTCATCACCAGCGTCATGGTCGCCGCCAAGTTCATGGACGACATGTGAGCATCCAACATTCCATTCTCCTCTCCCACTCCATTTTTTTCTTGTCAACTCAGCTCGCATCTACCTCAACTCGTGCCATTTTTACTGCCACTTTTTGCGAGCAATACCAAATTAAACTAGAGCATAGCTTGCATCCCACTCTTAAAGAAAACCGAGAGCACGGAAGGATTTTAACACCAGGCACATGCCAAAGTTGACCGGCCGGCATCAAGAATCAATAAAATCCCAGTCCTAGCAAGAACACACCAATGCAGCTAACATTTTTGCAGTACACAAACCATGTGCCATGCGTGCCATCAGGCGTGAAATGGGCGATCGATTGAACAAGATATCGATCTATCTGTGACCTGTCGGTGCAGTGCAGAATGCAGAGTAGTAGAGCAGATCAAAGGAGAGGATAAAAAAAGAACCAACAATAACAACGACAACTGCCTTGTGTGTCGGCGAAGGCAAGTCAAGCCGGTGCTAGAATGGATTAGCAGCTGTTATTATGCCGCATTTAGTCCATTATTAGCTTAATTACTCATGTGGCTATTTTATCCAGTGCTCACTGCTCATTATCCAGTACTACTACATTGCAGTAGTTGGTTGCTGATCGAGCTGGATATTGCAGCCAAGAAACGCATGTTCTAACTAAATGCATCTTCCATTCTCTGAAGACGCTTAATCTGTTCAGTATTGTAGTAATTTTTTGGGTGCTCGAGATTGATTAGCTAAGCACGAGACGACATGGCCGGCAGGTAGGTGCGGTTGGGATGTCCAGCTCATCGCTAGGTTGTTCCTCTCATAGACAGCACGACAGCTGATCAGTGCTGAACCCGATTGCTCACCAACCTACCTCACACCTGCTAACTACTTAACCAAATAATCTTTTCTTTTGCGCACTTCTTAATCAATTTAAACTACTAATCTTAGCTGCATTATGTATCAATTAGTGGCTAACCAGTTTAGTTTATAATTAATTGGTTGGTAAATCCGTTGCTAATACTAGTAGCATTTTTTTTTCTTTTTGTTGATGTGATCATGTGCAGACACTACAACAACGCATACTTCGCGCGCGTGGGAGGCGTGGAGGTGGCGGAGATGAACGGCCTGGAGCTGGAGCTCCTCTTCGCGCTGCGCTTCCGCCTCAACGTCACGCCGGCGACCTTCGCCACCTACTGCGCCGCGCTCGAGGGCGAGATGGCGGCGGATGATGGCCCCCTGCCGTCGCCGTCGCCGTCGCCGGAGGAGGAGGGGAATGACCGTCGTCAGCCGCCGCCGCGACGAAAGGACGGCATCACCAACAAGGTCGCCGCCGCCGTGGACAGATCGGCGCTGCTCACGGCTGCTCATCACAGAGTTGTAGTAGTAGAGATCACCCAATGACGGCATACACGGCAGAAGAAGCGCCATAATAATCAATGGCCATTGATTGCCTTGCCCGTGATTAATTCTTTCATCTCTTTCTTCGTTTTCTTCTCTCCCAAATCTGTTTCGTGGTGATCAGTGATCACGATTCACGACTCACGAGCTGTTGTTGGTTGTTGCCTGCCATTTTCGTTGATCATTTTGTGTATAATCGCAAGATGTTGCATGCGCACCGCCTAACCCGTAGATGATCATCTTGAATTCTTAATTGACACAATAAAAAAGAAAGAAAAGTTTTTTTTTTTTAAAAAGAAACCGAGCCAGACTTAGCTAGTGCTATATTAAGCAGGGTGAAAGAAAAAAACAGATAAACAATGAAAAAGGTTATAAGCCGTAAGTGATAAGAAATACTTTATGGGTAAAACTTTTATATATGTGTTCTTGAAATCTTAAAAGTCAATAGTAAAAAAATAAACTATGATGAAAAACATTAAAAAAAACTACTTTAAATTAAGTTTTAAATTTAAATTTTGGTCCGTGATTTTTTTTATGAGAAACACATTACAAACAAAAGCACTCACAACACACGTACACCCATCCTTATAAAAGCACACACGCACATTACTGTGAACACCTTCGGTAGACTTAAGCTGTGTTCGGAGGAGGGGTTGCTCCCGGCAAGCAAAACGAAAATTGTTTGATTGTATGATTAATTAAGTATTAACTAATTCTTTTTTGAAAAGTGGATTAATATGATTTTTTTTAAATAACTTTTATAAAAAAAGTTTTTGCATAAATTACACCGTTTAGCAGTTTAAAAAGCGTGCGCACGAAAAACGAGAGACGTGGGTTAGGAAAATGGAGGAAAGAACACAGATGGTGTGGTCATTAATGGGGGTTGGGAACACATATCCTCCGCCCGGAAAGCGGAGCAATCCATTAGCGCATAATTAATTAAGTATTAGCTATTTTTTTAAAAAAAATGGATTAATTTGATTTTTTAAATAATTTTCGTATAGAAACTTTTTTTAAAAAATACACAGTTTAGCAGTTTAAAAAGCGTACGCGCGGAAAACGAGAGAGAGGGTTTGGGAACCCAGGGCAACAAGCCAGTCACTTGACTCCAATTGAGTCCTGGTATCCAATCTATTTGATATTTTGAAGCCCAAACCCCAGCCCATTTATCCTGGCCTGTTCCATAAATGGGCCGGAAATTAAAAATCCAGCCCATCTTGTGACTGACTCATTCGAATATCCGACTCTAGTACTACCGACTAGTCAGAAACCCACGCGACCAGTGCCAGTGGCGTCGTCAGTTCACTCGCTTCGCTTGGAAATCGCTTCGGCTTCGCTTCTCCGCCTCGAAAGCGACAAAACCCCAACAGCGATGGCTGTGCCCGACGAGGTCGCCGCCGACGCCGACGCCGAGGTTGAGGAGGAGGAGCCGGAGGAGGTGGAGTGGTTGTCGTCGTCGTCGGACTCGGAGCCGGAGCACCCGGCGCTCAAACAGTGGACCCCTTCATCACCCGACTCGGAGGAGGCGGAGGCGGAGCAGCAGCCGTCGGCGCCACAGCCGGCGAGCTCGGTGTCGGCGGGGAAGGAAGATGAGGGGGAGGTGGGGTTGGAGGAAGGTGAGGTGGGGAAGCCGTTCAGATGGCCCGGGTGGCCCGGCGCGAGCGTGTTCCGGCTGGTGGTGGCGACGGACAAGGTGGGTGGCCTCATCGGGCGGCGGGGCGACACCATCAAGCGCCTCTGCGAGGACACCCGCGCACGCGTCCGCGTCCTCGAAGCCGCCGCCGCCGCCGCCGCCAACCGGATCGTAAGACGACTCCTCCCTCGCACATTTTTGGGTGATTCGAGTTAGGGCTTTCGTCGTACGGTGGTTAGAACTTGGAAATAGCATGTTGATGATTACTCCGTTCTTCGTTTGAGATCGGGGGTACTTGCTACGGCCTGAGCTCTCACCTTGTCGGCTTGTTGCTGTAAGCAATACATGGCAAATGTTCGTTCAGTGTATTAGCCACCTGATTCTCCTTGTTAATTCTGAATTGGACCGTGCTATTGTCATGGTTCCGTGTAAGCAATGTCCTGCAGCTTCAGCATCGACCTAGTTTCACGGTGACATGCATAACTGATTTCATCACTGTTCTCTATGAACTTGGGCGTTTTGACATTTGCCATGTTGATTACACTATGCAATGTTCTGCTAAGGACAATATAGGCTTGCGATATTTTTCCCATGGTCAAATGTACTTAATTACTCTATTAGGGTGCACCCATGCTCTTGAAGTTTTGACAGAGGTTGCAGCATCCTGATCACTAGTGAAAATTCCTGGGAAGAAGTGGAAGGCTTCAGAGACTAGGATGACTTATGATATTATAAAGTTTGAGAACACTTTCTTCATTATGAAACAGCCTTATTAGAAGCCTTCTATATGTAACAGTTTAATTACCGCACATGATCTAATTCCTGTGCCATGTTGGGTTCTATGTAGCTGTGTCACTGTTCTAGAAGCTGATAAACGATATGTGGAACCACATTGCATGGTCTTCTTTCTTTTAGCTTTCTTTTTGTTCTAATAGTTCAATAGCTAGGCGAGGCTTGCCCATCCTATATTTATTTGGTTCCTGCTTCGTTTCTGTCATTTATTCTTTGTCAACATCAGACACAATAACCTACTAGTGTCATGTTTCAGGTAGATTCTGATAGTAATGATTTCATAGCTAAGGTTACTTTTGAAATGGTAGAAAACTAGTGCAAGATGTGCAGATGGTACTTCTTATCAAAGCCATAAACTTGTTCATATCGAGTATTCATAAACTTGTTGCTCCTGTTCCATATTTATGTGCAGAAAAGACTAGTCTCTGGTATTATTTTTTTATCTTGCAATATGTTTATTTTCTTGCCGTTGTATTTCAGGTGTTAATATCTGCAACAGAAGAATCTCAAGCAGAGTTACCTCCGGCTATGGATGCTGCAATTAAGATCTTCATGCATATAAATGATATAGAGAAGATCAATTGTGATGATACATTATCTGGTTCTGCACCAGAAAAATGTTCTGCTAAATTATTAGTCCCTTCAGCACAAGCCACACACTTAATTGGCAAGCAAGGAGTCAGGATCAAGTCAATTCAAGAAACTACCGGTGCTACTGTAAAGATTATAGATAAAGGTATGTGGTCCAATGTTCTATGGAATTTGCTCAGTTAAAAGAAAATTGGACATGTGGTGTTACTCTCCGTGTTTCTAAAATCAACGTTCAGAGGTTGGATATTTCCAATTCGAATCACTTGTTATTTGTTCCTCAATTTATTTAGTATCCTGTAGCTTGTAATATCACAAGGATTCTTTTAACTACAATGTCCAAAAACTAACTGGAAAGTGGCAATTATTTCAACAGCACTTCAACAGTGAGATATTTTCTAAAAAGCAAATGATTTCAATACATTGACAGCTTCTACCAATTTATCCACTTCTTTTTCCTGGTTTCAGTCCAGTTTGTTGTGCGAACTTAGTGCAGTTCTTTGGATGTAACACTTGCTATTGTGTGTAGTTGAGCTTCTGAGTTATGATGTAGTGGATGAGAGAATTGTGGACATACATGGTGCTCCCCTCAAAGTTCTCCATGCCCTAAAATCTGTACTCGGAGTTCTCAGGAAGTTCCTAGTTGATCACGGTGTGCTTCACCTATTTGAAAGAAAGGTAATGCTACCTGTTCTTCAGCATGCTTTCTTATGCATGAACATGAATTCTGCTCATGCAATTGATATTTATGTTGTTCATCTGCAGAACCAAGCAGTAGGTGAGGCACATGATAATTCTAAAGAAAATCAAGTAAATCAGGTTGCCAGTGATTATCGTCTTCCAGTGAACAAGGACATATTGTTACCTGACCATCGAACTCCTCTTAACCCAAAAGTCAGCAGATATTTGTTGTATGGCCGAGACCCATCTGTTTGTGATCCATATTTATCTGATCCCAGTCACCAAGCCAATGCCATAATACAACAGGTCTAAATTCAGTAACACTATATCTTATAATCCTCTAGTTAGTAGTTACAAACTATACATTTTTTCTCATTTTGCTTGTAACAATTACCTCGAGTTTGAACTGTTTACATTCTGATTTGTTTTATATGTTTATTCCATTAATTTTTTTTTTAAAAAATATGAACTGATGTACTCATCTTTCCAATTATAGTGCTGCTGCAGACTTTTTTCATATAAAATGGTTTTTGCTTTCAGATAACACAAACAATGCAGATCCCGTTGCCATTTGCTGAAGAGATAATTGGTGCAAGGGGACAAAATATTTCTTATATACGTTCTGTCAGTGGGGCAGTTGTTGATCTTGAGGAAAGTAGAGATTATCCGAATGAGGTTTTAGTTATGATCAAAGGCAGTTCTTCACAGGTTCAAACTGCACATCAACTTGTACAGGTTGATAACCTATGTCCTGATGTACACTGCTGCTCTTGTATCCTAGTTACTGTTAAGATGCCATAAAAATTGGGCCTCTAGCTATGCTTATTTCTAAGTAGACTAAGTCTTGTTGGAACCAGGGCCCTGAAACTCACCCTACAAAACTAGTTGCCACCTGTTGGTTAAATTGAGTTGATTTAATAGTTGTACCAGAGGTAGGGCGTAGGGTGTTTGTACTGCTTCTAGCCAACCCATTTAAACTGCACGTGCATTTTATTTGTTGCCACTATGGGTTGACCAAACCCATATAACCTGGGTTTGAACAGGCCTAACCATAGGGTTGTCTTGCAGCAGGTTTAGTTTAGTTAAGGGAATGCAGTTTCAGGTATATGCACTAGCCATAGCATATGATGGTTGCCTTCATCCTGCTAGTCTTGAGCTGGACAGACTTGAGAAAGCCACTTCATCAGTTTCAAGATAGGACTTAGATAGAGCCACTTGTTCCCTATTGTGATTTTGATTGGTTCCTAAGCCCTAACTAGTTTCTCCCTGTTCCAGCCAACTAGAGTGTTTTTCAGTGGTACCCAGCACCTGCTAGCTTACTAATGAGAAACTGAACAGCACGACCCTAACTAGTTTCTAGAATTGCAAATTGCATTCATTGTTTGTATGGAGAGTTAGGGACCAACCGGAAAACGGTTATTACAAACATAAGATCCATTATCCTGTACAAATGATATTTCATCCATATAATATTTTTCCATATTATTGAAACTGTATGCAGTTGCTGAATGTATTCTTTTCATTTTCGCAGGAGGTCTTATCAGGCAATAAAGAGCGACCTTCTGGAAGCAGCTACATCAATCTTGATTCTGGCCCAAAGTTTCTGATCTCTGGACATATCAATCCAGTAAACCGGGATCACTTGGCATCATACCGCGTCCATCAACCGTACATTGTTCGATATGGATCTTCAAGCTTACCGCGGTTGAGAGGATACAGGCTGTAGCAAGCAAAACTAACTGCACCTATAGCCTCATTGCTGTGTCCTGTGTCAAACAATGACCACCAGGCGCCTGTGGGAGAGGATGAAGCGGCTGTGCTTCCAGTAGATGCTTAGATAATTAAATATGGTAAAGTTTGTGTATTCAGTTGTCAGTCAGCAGAAGCAAATCCTAAATTGTGTTAAATTCTAGTACTCCGTAGTAGTAATCTAGTCTAGTTTTTAACTTCACTGAAGCTCCCCATTTCTGTATGGAGAAGTTCTACCATGTCGGAAGAAGGGCTCTGTAAGTTGTATATATACACCATTAGTAGAACTGCAGTTGTTACCAGGAGCTACCTGGCATCTTATCGTAAATTTTCTACTACTTCCCAGGAGTAAAAACCTGATGCACTAAATGATATTTGGATGCTTCATAGCAGAAGACAGTGAAACTGACAGGATGCAAATCACACAGTAGTTAGTATCCTTAAGCTTCGTATCTATTCTAGTCAGAGTTATTTTAATTATTGCAAAAGAATTAGGACTCACAACTCTTGCAAAACATTTTTTGATGGGTAATTTGACTCTTGCAAAACATATTTTTGATGGGTAATTTTATTTTACTCCTGAAAAGAAAAAAAAAGAAGGAAAAATCGCAACAGGAGGTGGGTGGGCCTAGCAGAGTAGCAGTAGCAGGTGAACCCGCACCAGCCTCCTCCTCACTATATAAACACACCACCGCCTTAGCTCTCTCGAGCGCCTCCCTTCCTCCCCCTTCCCGCAACTTTCTAGAAGCATCTGGAAGCTTCGGTTGGGTGCCCCAGGTGAGGGATCTCGTCTCCGATCTCCCTCCTCCCTAACCTGCACCGCCTTGATCGAACCCAAACCTCTATCCAATTCCCATAGTTTTGAAAGATTTTTTCAGTTTGCTTTCAATTGTCGTAGTCGTCAGTTTGCCCGGCGCCGCCGCCTCCGGCGATCCCCATCCATCCCGCGAGCGAGGAGGGCCACGGCGCCGTCGTTCGTTCTGCTGCTTCCGCTGGCATCAATCCTGGTGTGGTGAGCACATCCTCCGCCACCTCCGCCTGCGCGGCTGCGCCGATCCCCATCCATCGCGCGAGCGAGCGAGCGAGCAGGGTCGCCGTCGTTGTCGTTCGTCCTGCTGATTCCGCCGCATCCGTTACGCGTCGCGCATCCTCTTTCCCATCTCTCTCTACTCGCGCACTTTTTCTCGAATTTGAATTTGCGTTAATCCTAGCTGCTTCTGTTCTAGAAATTTGCCTTAACCTTTTAATACTAATAACAGTTTGTTTGTTCCCGAAAAGTTTGGGGGTTCAACTGAACCCCCATGTTAGATCCGCCGCTGGTTCCCGTTAGCATTTTCCACTCTAGACCTTCCCGTCATGGAATGCGATGAACGGTTTTTGGATTTTGGTGGAAATGGTTGGCTTGATAATTTAGAAGAATTCTGAGTGATCATTTTGGGATCTATTTATAATTTTGATCTAGAAAGTTGGATTGTTCTGACATCTCAGTTGGCCATATTAAAGGTTTTTGCAAAGGGTTATCCGGTTCAAATGTACCTTCTGTTTCTTCTCTGTTCTGTAGAACAAAGTGTAGTTTGTTGTATATTTTGGTTCGTTATACACTGCAGATAGAACTTCTGATATGCTAGTTCATCTGTTCATGTAAACCATTGTAACAGCTTGGAGTATTAATGATATTTTATTTTGCCACTGTGCGATGTTCGATCAATCCCCTGTAATACTTTTCCACTTCTGATCTTCTTTCAAGAATAATCTGTATTTGCACTGAAATCACCAATTATTGTGGACAAGAGTGAGCAGGTGCAAGTAGTACTGGTCTGAATGCTATACATAAGGAAAATAGTTTTTTACACACAAAAGTTGTGTTACACAAGATTTACGCATAACCCATGCTTTTATGTTTTTTTATGGAATAACCCATGCTTTTATTCATGAATTTAAGCAATCTTAACTGTCACACCTACTCACAAGTCGGAAAGTTTTCCAAAATTATCACACCAGCAAGTAATATGCGAATTTTCAGTTCATTTCCTTTTTCTGAGTTCACTACTAACTCTTGTGATCATCAACCAAACAAAAGTCATGGGGATTACACTTGTAGAGTGTAGTCATTTTGGAGCCCGTATCTATTTTAATAATAGTAATAGTACCATGTGATGATTTTATTAGAGAACTAGTCAAGTAAATTGTGCTTTGTTTCTATTGCATTGGGCCAATGATCCTGCAACTGAATTTTTACGCTTTCAGCTTCAAACAAGCTGCATATCATTCTGCAAATGTTTCGACCTGTATGTTTTATGGACATAATTGTGCCTTCTTGTCAAGTTACTTTATATAGGACATACTGGTAGTTTACTTATGTACTGGACAAAGAAACTAGCACATGTGGATTGATCAAATCAACTCATAAAAAAATAATATCACTAGCACCCGTTGCATGTTAGATTTATTTCGTTTTGGTTGCATCATAAATGCATGTTGTGAACTTGTGATGCATCACTTTTCCCATTTCAAGTAGCGAGAGCTAGTGGCAGAGTAAAGCTTGCCTATTCTATTAGACTGTCATGCATTTCCTTTTAGGTTTAGGTTTATATTTGAAATGGATTAGATAATTAATCCTAGCTTTCTGTTGAATTCTCTTAAACTGTTGGTTGCCTATTCTAACCATCAGAGATTTTGCTATCTGAGAATAGGTGAGCTAGAAACATGGTACTTTATGCTGATCCTCCTCCCCCAATAAAACCCCCTGAAATTAAAATCAAAGAACTAGCAAATAAGTCTACATATGAGTCCTCAATGATGGAGCAAAAGACAAGACTGCACGCCATTGAGCGCCACAGGTCGTGTGAAGTGAGTCAAGCAATCTTATCTGAGGTAGAAAATCGTCATCAACATCAAACCCTTGAGCCCATCAAAAGCCCAATATCTGGGTGTTCTCCTTCAGTAGAATCAACTACAGACACCAACACAGTACACAGGCATACGGTTGCAGATGCTGCTTGGGAGGCCCTAAAGAAATCAATAGTTCACTTCAGAGGCCAGCCAATTGGAACTGTTGCTGCAATAGACAAGTCTCAGGGAGCACTCAACTATGACCAGGTTAGCATTTCCTTCACAATTGAACCATGGATATAACCATTTAGCCATAAAGGTTCCTTAATATTGTTACTATTATCTCTATATAACCTTACCAAATACACTCAGCACATGCCACTCTTAGAATATTCAGATAGGTAAAATAATGATGGGTGTGATTATTTCTCTTCCTGTAAAAAAACCTAGAAACTCATAATTCTCCTTATACATGGACATCCAATGCAATTGACAATGATAAAGTTCTTGTCACTCTGGAGCAGGTTTTCATGAGGGATTTTGTTCCTAGTGCATTGGCTTTCTTGATGAAAGGAGAACCAACAATAGTGAAGAATTTCCTGTTAGAAACTGCTCGCCTTCAGTTAAGAGAGAAGATGGTTGACCTCTTTAAGCTTGGTCAGGGTGTGATGCCAGCTAGTTTCAAGGTGCACCACTGCAACTCTAAGCACAAAACTGAAAGCCTGCTTGCTGATTTTGGTGAAACTGCCATCGGAAGAGTTGCTCCTGTGGACTCTGGCTTATGGTGGATTATTCTTCTTCATGCTTATACCATATGGACAAGGGACAATTCTCTGGCTGAAAGTCCTGAATGCCAAAGGGCAATGCGTCTTATTCTCAAATTGTGTCTCTCTGAAGGGTTTGATACATCTCCAGCTTTGCTTTGTGCTGATGGCTGTTCCATGATTGACCGAAGAATGGTAAGCCACTTAAACCCAACATTGCTTTGTTTTGTTATTGATGGTATGTCTCTTAACTGTTTGCTTACTTTCCTACTAGAGTGTTAACAGTCCTGATGCATTGTCAGAAGTATTATCTTGATCAAAGTTGAAATTGCATTAGGTTTGTTGTAGTAACATATACTGACGCTTTTGAATTTATTCAATCTGGGGTTTAAAAGGAACTGCCTTCTGTCAGGTCCTGCCTATTCGGTTTATTATTGACTGCAGAAACATTAAGAATGGGATAGGGTAGAGCATTACTTTTAGTTGCCATGAGCAATATGTACATGTTAAAACAGTTATTTACAATTCTGGGTATGACTGTTTTCTTTTCAGTTAATCCAGGCATTGATATCAGGATTTTTTAAAAAATATTTGGGCTGTTAACGGAAGAGACGTAATGCTGAATGGTTATAGTGGTACCTTCTGATACATGTTTATGTTGTTAAAGATCGGCTTGTTACATATTAATCAATTGGATGCTCTTAAATTTGGGATAGCAAATTATCTACTTGTCAGCATGAACATATTTCTGCATGGTTATCTTTCCCTTACTTACAGATTGCAATCTGTGCATGTGCAGGGTATATATGGCTATCCGATTGATATCCAGGCTCTGTTTTTCATGGCTCTGAGATGTGCCGTTACTTTGTTGAAAGAAGATCACAACGACGACTTTGTGTACCAAATATCAAGGAGAATCAAAGCTTTGAGCTACCATCTGCACAGTTACTACTGGCTTGACTTCCAGAGGCTGAATGAGATATACCGCTACAAGACAGAGGAGTACTCAGAGACAGCCTTGAACAAGTTCAACGTGATACCAGAATCAATCCCTGACTGGATATTCGACTTCATGCCCAGCCGCGGCGGGTACTTCATCGGCAACGTCAGCCCTGCGAGGATGGACTTCCGCTGGTTCTGCCTGGGCAACTTCATCGCGATCCTCTCCTCGCTGACAACCGGAGAACAGGCTGAAGCAATCCTGGACCTTGTGGAGGAGCGCTGGGAGGAGCTCATCGGAGAGATGCCCATGAAGGTGTGTTACCCCGCGATGGAGAACCAGGAGTGGCAGATCGTCACCGGGTGCGACCCCAAGAACACCAGATGGAGCTACCACAATGGAGGATCATGGCCAGGTACGTACGTACTATAGCAGTATAATCTCCAAATGTTGTGCATCGATCTGCAGCTGTTTCTTGTGGATGACAATCATAATTGATTGGAATGATGATGATGGATCAGTGTTGCTGTGGCTGCTGGTGGCGGTGAGCGTGAAGCTGGGGCGGCCACACATCGCGAGGCGGGCGGTGGAGGTGATGGAGAAGCGGCTGGTGAAGGACGAGTTCCCGGAGTACTACGACGGGAAGGCCGGGAGGTACGTGGGGAAGCAAGCGCGCAAGTTCCAGACGTGGTCCGTGGCCGGCTACCTGGTCGCCAAGATGCTCCTCGACGACCCCTCCAACCTCCGCGCCGTCTCCCTCGCCGACGACTGCCACATCCGCTCCGCCCCCGTCCTCAAGCGCAGCAACTCCTTCCCGTGATGATCAACACAATGCTCAAACTAAGCTCACACCGCACTTCACATATACTCACCACCACCACGTAATTAACGCTGCCTCGCTGTTAATGTTCTTATACGTACTTAGTAGTAGAAGTACTGGTAGTAGGAATTTGGGTGCACTCGTTTCACCGGATGCCTCAGCTGGTGGAGATTTTGGTAGCTTGGAAGTGCACGCGCAAACCTTGGGGTGGAAATGGATTTTTTTGATCAGGATGTTGGGACGCTCATGATTAGACCTGGATGGCTTTGATGATAGTGGATTGATTGTCCATCCACATTGATGTCGAATCTCTTCTGCTTATACTGAGCTTGTTGTTCTTGTTGTTTGTCGGTTTAGAAACCAGGTCATTTGTATCTTGACGATCAACTGGGTGCTGCTTGTTGAAACGTTGAGTAGTTGTCGCTGCCATTCGATACTGCACACTTGCATTTAATAGTGAGTTTCTATTACACTGTGTTGGTGTACGAAAGGAAAGCGTGGTGGTGCTAAGCTAGTGTTATCTCGGCCACAAGCCAATCAAAGGCACACGTAGGACGAGACCCCATCCAACCACCCCAGCCACGTCAGCAAGAGGGCCCACCCTGACCTGCCACGTGGGCAAGAAAAAGGAAGAGCGCACTCCCACTCCCACCCAAAGTGAAGTCCCAAGCGCTCACGCTAGCCTCTCATTTCCGCCTCTCTCTCTCCCCCCCATCTCTACAGAGGCAGCAGCAGCGGCGGCGGCGACAAGGGAAGCCGATGGCCATGGCGACCTCCACCTTCTCCCCCCCGGCCTCGCAGCTCTCCCTCACCCGCCGCCGCCTCCACCCGGGCCCCGACCTCCTCACCCTCTCCTCCCCGCGCCTCCGCGCCGGCCTCCGCCTCGCCCGCGCCGCCGCCGGGGAGGCCCCCGTGGAGACTGTCGAGGCGCCGCCGAGCAAGCCGGAGGCCGAGCCGTCCCCCGCTGCGTCCAACGGGGCCGCCGTCAAGGCCGAGAAGCCGCCGGCGGCGGCGGCGGCGCCCCCGCTGCCCAAGTTCCGGGACTCGAGGTGGGTCAACGGGACGTGGGACCTCAGGCAGTTCGAGAAGGGCGGCGCCGTCGACTGGGACGCCGTCATAGACGCCGGTGAGGCTCAGTTCGTCTGCCTCCCTATTCCTCTCTATGCTTCAGTTTGCTGTTGCTGCCTTGCTGCTGCTGCTGATTAATTAGCTAGCACTACACTAATGGCGGTGGAATTCATAAAATCTACTACTAGAGTACTAGTAGCTAAGCATTGCATAACTGCATAGTACTACTTCAGTATTAGGACTCCTTTATCAGCCATTAGTTATTTGGTATTTACTTGATGAATCTCAGAATGTTTGCATGAATTGTCGTGGATACGATTGATGGGAGTGCCGTCTCGGCACTGCGACTTCAATTCCAGTGTGGTTTTTTAGCTGGGTTGCTACTGTGCTTTGATGAACCCATTGCTATGCCCTCTGGCCCCTGGATCTGTTTGTGCTTATATTGGAGTTTGGAGCTTACTTCCCATTAGTCTCAGTGATAGTGACAGTGACCTTCCATCTGCTGAAGCGAGGAACCAGCTTGCTGACAACAACACCTACAGTGCTATCCATTCAGGTTCCTGTTCTCTATGGCTGTACAACTTCAATAATCAGTGCGCCGCAAAATTATAAAAATAAAACTTCAATAATCGGTGGAGCATGATTAGATGGATAGCCTCATCTAGATGAAGTTTCTTAAAAAAAGGATGAAGTTTCTAGCGTGTCACCATTAATTTGCTTGATAACGTATGTAGAAGATGATGTAAACTGCTAGACACAGTACACTTGCTTTTACAGTTCAAGCTGCTGGGAGTGCCCTTGCAAAAAAGAAAAAAAAAACGAAAGCTAGGTGGACATGGGAAGCGCTGGAGTGCTAGGTTGGATAGGGAAGAGAGATCTGTCGTGTGTGCACAACTAGAGTTTGAACTGAACTGAAATCCAATTGATTTATGTTCTGAAACTGATCTTTTTTTTTTCTCAGCTGATTTGCATTTCTGTACGTAGCTTGTGTTTTTTTAATTTATGAATCGGTACAAACAAGATGTCTGCCAATGATGTGTAAACTTATGGCACTTGTCATTGTGCTGCAGTGAATGGAACAAAATGGGATTCCTTACTATCTAATGAGGCCGACTGACATAACTCCTTGGAAATGTTGCAATCATCTGATGCCATATTTGTTTGTTTGCAGAGGCCAGGAGAAGGAAATGGCTTGAAGATTGTCCAGAGGCAACTAGCCCTGACGAGGCCGTTGTCTTCGATACTTCAATCATACCGTGGTGGGCATGGATGAAGCGTTTCCATCTCCCTGAAGCCGAGAAGCTAAATGGTCATTCTTGAATCCTTCTCCTTTTCAAAAGCTGAATTCAAAAGTTTTTACTTGCATCAAGCCACATGTGCAAACAAACCACGTGCATGGGAAAGAAGAATTCATCACTTCTAACATCACACTCTTATGTCTCTGCAGGCCGTGCTGCCATGATTGGCTTCTTCATGGCATACTTTGTTGATAGCTTGACCGGCGTGGGGCTTGTCGACCAGATGGGCAACTTCTTCTGCAAAACCCTACTGTTTGTTGCTGTGGCTGGTGTGCTGCTGGTCAGGAAAAACGAGGACATAGAGACAGTGAAGAAGCTCATCGATGAGACGACGTTCTACGACAAGCAATGGCAGGCAACCTGGCAAGATGAGTCCCCTTCTCAGCCCAAGAAATAGCTCTGAAGTGGAATCTGAATCTGAATCCTCCCTATGTTGTATTGTATCACTTCTTTTTGCAGCCCTTTTCTCAACCCATTTATTAGTGAGGCTCAGTACATTTTGATGATCTTAATACCTATGACGTCTTGTAAAAAGTACGAACTCGTTTCTGTGCTAGAGGTTAACGTTGCTGCGGGTTACTTGGTTGAATGTTTTCTTTGTGAGAATTGCTTGTACTAGTTACTCCCTCCGCTTCATATTATAAAATGCTTTGACTCTTTTCTAAATCAAAATTCTTTTGGTTTGACTACGTTTGAAAAAAAAACGTAGCAACATTTTTAACATCGCATCGCGCCAGAACAAATCTGCACAGTTCCATCGGCAGTGCACACAGCCGTTATAGGAAACTAAAAATCAAAATTGTTCTTGGAGCTCGAAGTAATATATCAAGACATTAGCGCAACCTGTGTCACCATGACAAGAAAAATGATTTGCCATCTACTAGCTTGACCTGTTGTCCTGTTTTCGGTAAGCAAAAAAGAGCATTTGCAAATGGTGCATCACAAGTTCATGTGCCAACTTTACAAATTGCAGGCAAACTAATTCCAAAAGTCGGGCGTGAGTTCCCTCATCAGTTGACAAAATTGCTACGCCCAGTTGCCTAGTTTTTGCTAAACTGACGCTGCTTCAAGTATGCACACAATGCCCATTCTGTATCAGTTGAACCTGTCAAAATCAGGGACAGGCTGATCCAGCATCATGTATCGTATCTAAGAAATAAATGTGCATGTCATTGAGGCTAAAATGCTAGGATAGATGTTCCTGGAAAATGAACCACATTTCAGAATGGAACAAAGCACGGGCATGAACCTACGCACATAAGAACACAAGGTAGGTAAAATTTGAAACTAGACTAGATATGGCGTGCACTGTATGTGCATGTCATCATCATTAACGCATAATGCATGTCTGGGGGTCAGCTAATGCAGATGAAGTAGTCTATATTTTACAAATGAGATCTTTTAACTATAGAAGATAGTGGCACCGAAGTTTCTTAAGAGACACATCAGACGAACCTGTGGAGAACATAAAGAGAAGTCTGCAGTCTGATATTTCGCCATCTGTAGTGTAGACTACTGCCTTTGATCAGGTACAGAATTTAAGTCGGGCATGACACGGTTGAATTCTGACCTGTGAACGGAGCACATCAAATTAAACAAGCAAACAATCTGATTCTTACTGAAACAAATTAAAGCTCTCAGGAAAAAGACAAAAGAATAGAAACACAAAGCAACTATAACATACCCACAGGTCGAACACTTCTTATGATACTTGCAGAATATCGATAAACAAACTGAACAAACATATCCCATGTCAATAGTCTTCTTATGGCAGAAACATCTGAAAAGAAATATAGCAAATTAGATGCAGTTGAAAGGCCACCAGTATCAGACAAACTGAATGGAAACTTAAAAACAAAAATAAACTGAGCTGCTAATCCTGACCTAAGGCCTTTGGTAAGATAGAACTTCACAAAAAAAATTAGCTGTATGTTTCTCACATTTTTCTGAAATTGTCATTGGTATTATGCTATGTTTTCAGATCTATAACAAGCATCTCATAGCTATGTCACAAGGCATTCAAGAAGATGAAGAAACAGAGATATGCCTAATGCCTAGAGAACTTAATAGAGGAAACTGAGTGACACATACGAAGCACGGAAATCCACTCCCAGAGTCTTGGGGAGGCGCAGAAAGGTTCTTGAGTGTAAATCAGTTGCAAATACAGCCTGCATATTTGCAGAAATGAGTCATTGAGCTCAAGCAAATTAATCAAGTTATCTGAAATAGAAATATTCCTACTCAGATAGAATAAAGACAAACACAAAACAGAGCAACTTTGGAACTAATATATATATTCCAAAAACAGGTCAACGTAAGCTGATATTGAAGCAATAGATTTGGGTCAGAAGTAAACAGCACAGTCTATCACGCCATAATCTGATGATTCCATTGTTGTTCATTAGTGTATTGTACATATATATGTGAATCTGATTCTAGATTAACAGGTAGATATACTACCAGTACCAGGAAGATGGAGTATCTATGTGCCCCACTCTAGTGACAGAAAATATTGAGTTTTGACATAGGAGATGAACTCATGAACATAGACACTGAGAGGGCATTCAACTTTGTAGTCTACTAGTAGCATCCAAAATCATTTGGCACTAAAGTTTAGAGATGTAGTTGTGTTGATCTTCCCAGATTGACAGTTTGAGACATACAGGAAATATTATGCTTGAGTGCACACTTTAAACAAGCCACACTCACTAGAGATGCATGAGTTCCCAAACATTACTAGTACATTCTACATTCAAGCAAAGGCAGGAAAACAGAAGAGCCTAGACAACCTTAGATGAAAGTTGATATTATTTTTTTTCACAAAATGAAAATGGGCTGATCTGGCATTTTTCTTTTAAAGAGTTACATCAGATTCATGTGCTGGAGGTTAGTTGCCTTCTTAATTTTTCATTATTACACAGAAAAGATGGCCACAGGCTTTATATAAATGCATCATGCAGTTATAAAGATGTAACCATGGTTGCATGAGAAAATATGTGTGTTGCTACAGAAGTGCCAGAATGACTTACAGCAAGGTATTGAAATAGACCATTTAGTTCTTGGGGTTTCAAATAAACTCCACCTGTTATATATGAAGCCTGCAAATGAAAGGCCAGTATATGATCAGCATTCAGCAAGGAATAGACAGCTCTATGGGGGCATACATGTAAAAGAAGTTATAAATGGAAAGAAAGACCAAGAAGGCACTGAAGAACATTACCTGTTGCAAGAAAGCAGAGTCTTGGGTTCCTACTATGCATGAATCGATTGGGACCTAAATTTTTTTGATAGAAAAAAAAAATAAGGACCAAAGTTGTTAGTGAATGTTTTAAGCAATGAAACTGGTGATGTATATAGTCATATAGACATGTCTAGAGGTAGTGCTACTTGCAGTTGGGACTCACTAAAACCACTACAGTTGTGAAATGGTGAGGTGACATCAAGAGTATCAATAAAATGAATTGAACAATGAACCCAAATGTACGGAATAGTGACAGTTCATGCAATACCATGGAACGTTGAGCAGAAAATATTGAGTTCATGACCGCTACATATCTGCGCAGCATCTCATTGAGTTAAAACATGTTCCAGAAAATATATACTACACAATCAAATCGATGAATGTGCGTACTGTTCAGGTCCATCTGGAGAACCCTGCAGGCATAAAATCTGTATTTCGTGTTAGCATAATACATGATGCCACTAGAATAAGTTGTGAGGATATTGAGTAGAAAAATTCAAGAAAACAAAGAAAATTAAATAATTATATCATTAGTGATGGGTCAGATGCCTATCAGGTTTTTTTAGTCCATACAGCATGCGCATTGTAAACATTTATGCTAACTGATATGCTCCCTTCTATGTTGTTCTCATAGGTCAACATATCAACAGGAATCAGAACAAAAGGTAACTTAGAACACACACAGAGTGTATACTCACCCGAGGTTGTGGATGTCGAGTACCAGACCGAAAAACCCTCTGTATATCTAAGCATCCTCCATGTTAAGAAATACAAGCACAAATGGAAAATGCACTAACAATAAGAAATCAGTACCAGTCATAGGATACAGCACAGAGCAAGGGACAGTGCGCCTGAGAGAAGAGAGGCTGCATTGCCATCAGCAACGGAACCATTGCTGCTAGTGGCACGGGCGTCTTCTGCAATGAACTCATCCATCTTGCGGCTCGCCTTTGCGAAGGTGGCCGCGACGTCTGCAGCACCAGAGGCACTAGCATCGCTCGAGTCGAAGATGTAGGTGCAAGAGCTAAGCCCCGCGGCGATGACGACCACATGGTTGAGGTGGTTCAGAAGCAAGAGCGAGTTCACGTAGTGGATCAGCTACATACACCCCGGAATTGCATCAGTATTAAGTGTAAATCCTCTCCTCTCTGGAGAATTCAGAGTCAAAATCAAACTAACTAGATCAGCGAGCAACTAGAGATTGATCCTCTCTGGAGGAGTCAGAATAAAATCAAACTAGCTAGATCAGCGTGAATGCAACTAGATACTGATCGTGTTTCCGTGGTTAATCCCCATGATATAGATGTGAATCAAAAACTAGAAATCGAGAGGGGAAGCGGGGGACGAGAAGGGAAATAGGGTTTGGGAGGTCGCGGCGTACATGGGCGAAGAAGTCGGCGAAGGGGAGGGCGGCGGTGGCCCAGAACAAGGGGTTGGTGTCGACGACGACGACGGCGAGGCTGACGTCATCTGCGCAGGCGCGGTGGAGACGAGGCAAGAGAAAAGGGGGGAAGATTAGCGAGACGCAAAGGGATCAGAAAACGGAGACGGTCGGGCGCCGCTTACCGGAGTAGAGCTTGGAGGAGGCCATGGCAGTCTCACCGCCGTCGCGGCAGGGCCGGACACGCGCGAACGGAGGCGCTGGTTGGGCCGAGGCGGCGGCGGCGCGAGCGGTTGCCTTGCCGCCGTCGGGAGGCGGAGGCGGAGGCGGCGAACTCGGCGGAGTTGCGGCTGCGCTTGGGGGCGGCAAGAGACGACGAATTTTTTTTATTTATAATTTTTTTATTAAAAGTTTTACAAAAATAATTTTCCATTTTGAAAATTGACGGAAGTAGTCGCCTACCGCCCTCTCAGAGGGCGGCGAAAATGACGTGGCAGACGGCCGTTCGCTCTCGGGCGACGGCCGTCAACGAAATTTGCAGGCGGCCCCCTTGCCGCCCTCCGCTAGGGCGATTTTATACTGTGCGGGGGGCCGCCTGCAAATGGGCGGCGAGGGGGGGCATGGAATTTTGCAGGCGGCCCCCTTGCCGCCCTCCGCTAGGGCGATTTTGTACTGTGGGGGGGGGGCGCCTGCAAATGGGCGGCGAGGGGGCATGGAATTTTGCAGGCGGCCCCCTTGCCGCCCTGGGGGAGGGCGATTTTTGCCTCCCCCTATAAAGCCCAGTCCCTCCTCTGTGAAATTTCATTATATTCACTAAAAATCCAAAAAAAACGAAAGAGAGAGAGGGGAGGGCAGCAGAAGGGGAGCGGCGAAGCCCTGCTGGTTCGCTCAATTCATCACAGGTATGCTCCCATACATCTTTTGCATTTGTACTAATATGTTATGTTTGAGTATATATGTTGCGTTTTAGTTTTAGTTCCATATATTTTAGCACATCTGTAGCACATAGCACATATGTGTAGATCCAGAGCATAGAATATAATAGTATGAATTGAGACATAGACAGTAGTGTTAATTGTAAGATGTAGTTTAGTTTGATCTGGAGAATGTAACGTAATTTTAGAAATTTAGAGAACAATATTGTAGAGAATGTAACTTAGGGCGTAGTACAGAAATGCGAGGTTAACGCAGTTATTGTTTTCATCAGGCACAATGTCAAGTAAGGTCACATTTCAGATAGTTCATGGTAAAGGAAATATTAGATTTGGTCCAGATGGTGTTGATCTGTCAGATTTTGTAATGACATCTAAGGGCATCGATAGGCCTGCGGAGAGAACATTTCAGTCAATTTATAGTTGGTTGTTGAGAGGATTTAGAATAGACCAAGAAGTCTACACAATGTCAGTGTCAGTTGTAGTGAGTCGTGCAACAGAAGGTTATTTTTGGGAACTAATGCCGATGGACAGCACTGATGCTTGGAGACGGTATGTGGAAATGGCTTTTGAACGGTCATGGCCCCTCGTTATATTTGTGTCGGTACAAGAGAAAGATATAAATGTTTCAATGCAAACCGAAGATGTAGAGGGTCCTATCAATGCAGGGGATGTTGTTGGACCATCGATGCAAAATGAGGAAAATCAACCAAGGGAGGAGCAGGCTATGGGCATGGCGGATGAGGGGGAGAGAGTCGGTATAATTGTTGATGAAATGGAGAGGGAAGATTCGGATAATGAGGAAGCGGACGACGACGCATCATCCGATGAGGAAGGTGATGTAATGGCCACTGATTGGGCAAATGAGGACTTCTCTGGACTTGTTATATCAGAGGGTGATCATGTACCCTGGGAGTATAAGGAGAACGAGGTAATTGACGGTGCAAGGTATGCTCATAAGGATGAGATGAAGGAGGCGGTGAAGCATTGGGCAGTTTCCTTGCAGAGAGAGTTTAGGGTGGTCAAGTCAACAAATTATGTGTATGAAGTGAGGTGCATGAAGGAAGATTGTCCGTGGCGTGTCCATGCATATAAGGGTAAATGGAATGATTATTGGAAAGTTAGCATTGTGACCGAGCACAAGTGCTACTTACAAGGGGTGGAGAAGTATCACCGAAACATCACTTCAGCTTTTGTGGCAAGTGAGATGTACAGCAGTGTTGTTGGTAACATTGGCTTTGAACCAAAATCAATTATTAGGCACATCGAGAACAAATTCAAGTACACCATAAGCTATGCAAAGGCCTGGAGAGCCAAACAAAAGATCATTGAGATGAGGTATGGCACATTTGAAGCTTCTTATGATAATTTGCCTCGTTTGTTAGCCACCATTGCCCAGAGGAATAATAATACGTACTATGACCTACATACATTTACATCGGTTGATGATCGAACAAAGAGTATGCTGCAAAGAGCCTTTTTCTCATTGGGTGCTTGCATCAATGCTTTTGTGCATTGTCGACCTGTTCTATGCATAGATGGAACTTTTATGACAGGTAAATACCGAGGTCAGATATTGACAGCAATTGGGTGTGATGGGAACAACCAGGTTCTACCTATGGCTTTTGCATTTGTAGAGAGTGAGAACACTGAAAGCTGGTACTGGTTCCTAGAGAGAGTGCACATTGCAGTGGTGCGTATGAGGCCCAACGTTTGCCTTATACATGATCGTCATGAGGGTATGTTGCGGGCTATTGACTACTTGCAGAACGGTTGGGATGAGAAGGGACTTCCAGCTAAGTGGCCTGATGTTCAGAGTCGGTGGTGCATGCGTCACATGGGTGCAAATTTCTACAAGCAATTCAAGAACAAGCATCTTATGGAGCTCTTTAAGAGGCTCTGTGCACAGAACCAAGAGAAGAAATTTAATGAGTTGTGGGACAAGTTGGATGAGTTGACAACGAAGCAAACAGATGAGCAATCTCGCAGACCACTAGTTGAAGGTGACGAGCCTCCCATACCTCTTGGTGCATTACATGATGACCCACCAACAATGAGAAGGAGGTCAAGGTCGTCCATCAGAAATTTCACTCAGTGGATTGAGAATGAGCCTAAGGAGAAGTGGTCTCTATTGTTCGACACCGATGGATCTCGGTATGGCATAATGACAACCAATTTGGCAGAGGTGTACAACTGGGTAATGCGAGGAGTTCGGGTACTTCCATTGGTTGCTATTGTTGAATTCATCCTTCACGGCACGCAAGCGTACTTTAGGGATCGATACAAGAAAATTGGTCCGTCCATGGCCGATAACAACATAGTGTTTGGCAACGTAGTGACAAAGTACATGGAAGATAAAATCAAAAAGGCACGGAGACATCGAGTTGTTGCTCAAGGCACACAAGTGCATCGGTATGAAATAATGTGTGTTGATAGGAGCAGGCGTGGTATCTATCGCAAGCAAGCCGTGCAGGAATGTGTCTTGAAGGCGGATGGTGGATGTACCTGCAGTTGTATGAAGCCGAAGCTTCATCACCTTCCTTGCTCACACGTTCTTGCTGCTGCCGGTGATTGTGGCATATCTCCCAATGTGTACGTCTCAAATTATTTCAGGAAAGAAGCAATCTTTCATACATGGAGTGAGGAGATATATGGGTTCGGGATCTCAGGATCTTACACAACGCTGAGTGCCCAAGTTTTTTATATTCCAGATCCATCTAAGTTAAGGGTGAAAAAGGGTCGACGCCAAACTAGACGCATCAGAAATGATATGGATGAGTCAGAAGCAGGTGGGAGGACTTTACGCTGCAGCAAGTGTGATCTGCGCGGCCATACTTACAAGAAATGCCCGAAGAATGCAGAAGTTCCAAGCGGCGCAGATGCTAGTCCATCTGGACAGGCAAGTGATGGTAGGCGACCACCTGGTGAAGGAACAACAAGCAGGCGCGCAAGGCCAAGGCGTCGTCGCGCAGCAGGCGATTCCATGGTGTAACAATGCTTTCGATTTAGGAAATAAAATGCTGTTGTGATGTAATGAGTGTTCGGACTAAATACTTCTATCGTGTAATTTCAATTCAATGTTGTTGTAATGAGTACCTCCGACTATTGTTGTACTAGTAGTATTGCGAACTATTCGGTGTTGTATTATAATGTTATCGTGATGAGTGTTCGGACTAAACACTTTTGTTTGTTTGTACTCTTGTTTAATATGTGTTAGTAATTCGCTTATGAACATTTATTACTTATGTTGAACTAATTATTTATATGTTTCTGATCAACCTATTTGATGCAGGTATGGCGTACGACACACCGGCGCTGTTGAACCGTGGGATTGACAGGAACCACCGCTCGTTCCTGTCAGCAGTCGAGGGTGCACAGCTCGGCACCTTCCGTCCACGCACGTCGCGCGAGTGGTTGCGTGTCGACCCCCGTCACGTTCCTTGGTATGCGTATGTTCACATTTCAACTCAACTTTGCTTTGTGTTGTACTTATGTTTGAAGTTTGCTCTATACAGGTTGCGTGCGGCAGGCCTTCTACCACTTTGTAGGCTTGTTGAGGCGGCGGCGGACGACCGTGACCCAGCGAAGCGGTGGGATGCAGACCGGTCACTCCTTGCCGCTCTTGTAGACCGCTGGAGACCTGAGACGCACACGTTCCACCTTCCCTGTGGGGAGATGGCTCCGACACTGCAGGACGTGTCGTACCTGCTCGGGCTACCGCTGGCGGGAGCACCAGTTGGTCCCGTGGACGGTGTTTTTGGGTGGAAGGAGGATATCACTGCGCGCTTCGAGCAGGTGATGCGCCTTCCACACCTAGGACCGGCCAACACCCTTCCTCCGTACTCTACAGTCGGGCCTAGCAAGGCTTGGTTGCTCCAGTTCACTGTAAGTAAATAAGTTGTTATTATCATACATGCTTATTTGCGACCGGATGAGTGTTTTGTACTAACATTTCATTCTTAATTGTAGGCGGACCTTCTGCACCCTGACGCTGATGATTACTCGGTCCGACGCTCCCTTGAGGCGTACCTGTTGTGGTTGTTCGGGTGGGTGATGTTCACTAGCACCCACGGGCACGCTGTGGACTTCCGGCTGGTCCACTACGCACGGTCCATCGCGGATGCTCAGCCACAGGACGTGCCGCAGTGGAGCTAGGGTTCTGCCGTGCTAGCAGCCACGTACCGTGCCCTCTGTGAGGCGTGCACGAAGACTGACGCGGGAGCGATCATCGCTGGCTGCCCTATGTTGCTTCAGCTTTGGGCAGCCGAGAGGTTTGCCATAGGTCGACCAGTGGTGGACAGCGCACCCTACGGGGTTGGTCGCAGCGCGCAGTGGCCAGAGGACGGTCCCACGATGGGGACTTACTGGTGTCGACGTGGGGTTAGTGCAACTTCGCTGCATTATAAGTTTATCAGTCGTCTTCTTTTTTTTTCTTCACATAACATGTCTAATTCCGATCATGTTTATTGCAGCGTCGTTACGCTCACGTCCAGGTGAGACGTGGTTACCCGGACTTCGTGTTCGAGTTTGACCGTCTCCAGCCGAGCGACGTCATCTGGGAGCCGTACACAGAAGAGGCCGTCGCTGCGAGAGCACCGCTAGGACTTTCGTCCTTGTGCACACGCGACCAGGCTTACTGGCTCACCATCCTGCCGATGGTGTTCGACATTTTCGTTGAGCCTCATTGCCCACAGCGTGTGATGAGACAGTTCGGACTTAGGCAGGTGTTTCCGGGCAACGTGCAGCCGACCGTCCTCCCTGCCGACCACTCGTGAGTTCGGATTGTTCATTTCTAAATTTTTATGATAATTACTTCATCGAGCCATATAATTTACCTCTCTTCACAGGTTGACTCGACGGGGACAGCTAGCAGGCGCACTTTGGGCTCCACGTGTACAGCAGTACGTTGACGACTGGGTGTTAGCTACAGAGGAGGTGATCAACGAGCTCTTCCCACACACGGAGGAGAACTACCGTGACTACCTTCGCTGGTACCTTCCTCGCACTCGTGCGCGTGTGACCTTCACTCCAGACGCCCCAGAGCCGCACGTTGCCGCTGTCACGGACGCGTATCCCACGCACCGTGACCGAGACTACTTCGTGGCGGTACGTCCAATTTGTATTACTTCTTACAATTATTTCATTTATCTTGCATAATATAGGACAACTACTGAATTTTTTATTTCCATCTTGCATAGGCTGATGCCGCACGGGATATCAGTGCCGATATCACCGCAGTCCAAGTGAGGTTGAACAGAGGTTTGCAGTTGACTGACGTTGAGCAGAGGGTGACCTTCGACCGGATGCAGGAGAAGATGCGTGCGGTCATGCGCGTCTTCTCCTGTCGCAGCGCCGTGGACGTCGTACCTCCAGCTGGTCCGGTACAACCACGGCCTCGCGCGCCTACCGTCGGAGCAGGACCTCGACCTACGGCACCTGTTTCGCACGGTACTGCTCAGCCCAGAGGTTTCTTAAGTTTTGTTTCTGTTTTTCTACGAAAACATCACCCCGTCGTAACTTGATGTTCCATCCTCGCAGGACCTCGTTTGCCTTCGAGCGCCCCTAGCTTCGGAGCAGTGCGACCTACAGCACCGGTTTCGCACGGTACAGTTCAGCCCAGATATTAGTTCATTTTTGTTTCAGCTTTTGCACGAATATGTCACCATGTTTTAACTGCACGTTTCCTCATCACAGGACCTCGTCTGCTTTCGAGCGCGTTCGCAGGCACGACCGGCGCTTCCGCGAGCTCCGCAGGGGCGTTCGCCACCTCTTCGGGCGCGTTCGCCAGCTCTTCCTCTCACGGAGCGTCGATCCCTCGCCCACACGGTACTTTACTTTTTGTTACTACTGTTAAATACTTGTACGAAACTGATGGTCCTTGTCCAGCAGGATTTGCAGCCGGGATCTTCGGTACTGGGGCCTCTTCGTCTCACGCCGGTAGGACTGGTCCTACTAGCCAGTTCTACGACGACGACTTGCACGGTGCACACCACCACGACGTACTAGGCTCCTCTCAGCTTGGAGGAGCTCCAGAGGCGCACACTCAGGAGCAGGCAGAGGTCACACCTGTACAGGCAGGACGGGTTGGCCGTGCCGTACCCCCGGACCGACTCACGTACTCCCAGGGGCACATTAGGGCGCAGGGTAGGAGGGACAGGGGTAAGAGGCCTCGTCAGTAGTGTTCTACCTCTTCAGTCCTTATGTGACCGTTTCTTTTGGCTTACAAACTTGTAAAGCAGTACTACTTTTGCTATTACTACTACAGTACTACTTGTGTTTGTCTCGTCTACATAGTTCTTTTCATTCATATGGTGCTAGAACAACTTATGCTCACGACAACACACTTTCGGCGCTTCACGGTAGTGTCAGATCCAGTAGCGCGCACAGTCCACAACAGCACACATGAAAAGCGGCAGCTCGAGTTATCACTATCAACTTTCGGCGCTGCCTGTTGACATAAAATGAATCACGCCCACGCGTGATCGTCTTGTCACATCTAATGAATAATGTATCTCATTGAGTTCACATATATTGCAGTGAAAACGACGCTATATAATTGACAATCTGAAGGCAACCTCTTCATATCTTCTTTCCCACTAGCACACCACACACGAAAATGGAAGCCTATTCATTGGTAATACGTAATCTAGATTTGAGATTATGTAGAACATTCTTCACTACAATTTTACATTTTGGCAGCAAACCAAATATGATCAAATGCAATTTTACCTTACCAAATATTTGGTAGTGCCAAAACTTGCTTATATTTTGGCACTAACAAAATATTTGTACGGTAACAATTCCATGCCCCCCCTCGCCGCCCATTTGCAGGCGGCCCCCCGCACAGTATAAAATCGCCCTAGCGGAGGGCGGCAAGGGGGCCGCCTGCAAATTTCGTTGACGGCCGTCGCCCGAGAGCGAACGGCCGGCTGCCACGTCATTTTCGCCGCCCTCTGGGAGGGCGATTTTTAAAAATCGCCCTCCCAGAGGGCGGTAGGCGACTACTTCCGTCAATTTTCAAAATGGAAAATTATTTTTGTAAAACTTTTAATAAAAAAAATTATAAATAAAAAAAATTCGAGAGACGACGGGGCGGAGGTGGCGTCGGCCCACGGCAGAAAAGTCGGCCCTTCCGTGCTGGGTTCCCCCTCTGTTGTTCCCTGCCGAAAAAAGTCCACTTAAGGTCCCTCTCAACTATAGGTTTGCTTTATTCGCTTCCTTAATCGAGGGTCCCTCAACTATTAAAACTAGTGCAAATCTGAGTTTCTTGGTGATTTAGAGAGCGGTTTACAGTGCTGCCCCTGCCGACCTCCGTAACGCCTAGCCTCTCATCCACGGTCATCGCATCTTTGTCTTGTCTCGTCTCATCAGATACTATTGTCGTCACAATATTATAGATGCAACCGGAGCGGTAGCTAGATTTTCCTGGCCCGATGTCGGTAGCTCCCCATAGGCAACAATTGGTGGTGGCACTCCATCGCACTAGTCCTCCCCACTTGTGTTGTCCTAGAGTCATACTAGCGGTTGGGGGCAGTAAACTCTCATGCCGTATGTGTTGATGTCCCTATGGTGGTTCTTATGAAGGGTCCCTCATTCTCATCATACTTCATGCCGTGTTCTCGTCGGTGACAATGACTTTGTCATAAAAAAGGGAGTGTGAAGAGAAGAGAAAGTATAAGGCTCATTTCATAGGGTTGGAGCAGCGAAAAAAAAACCATATTGAAAGTTGTGTTTGAAATCTAGCACATGTCAAGCCTGAGTATAAGAGCAAGTTTAATATTATAGCTAACAACTAAGTCCAATCTATCTATAGCTAATCTAATAGCTCATTCATACAATAGTTACATACTACATTATTAATACCTGTTCCCACCTATCATATATACAATGCGTCTTGGAGTCCGTGCTACAACTGGCGACAAATCTATAGCCCGCTGCTTTACTCTCTCCTTATTTATCTTCTTATAATATGTTTACAGCTGGCTTATAGCCTGCTATTGTATCTGCTCTAAGAGACGTTAGTATCGAGCCTTTTCTGTCACTGAAAAAGAGATGAGTGTTCACGTAATTAATTAAGTATTAACTATTTTAAATTTTAAATAATTTTAAAAAATATTGTTTTTCAAAAAACTTTTTTTATAAAAGCCCTTTTAAAACACAAACGGCTTGTTTCAAGAAAAACAATATAACCTCTCTTTAAACTTAGAGTTAGACTTATGTGGGCAAATATTTTTTTCATCCTAAAATATAACAATTTTAGTGTTTAATTTTTTTTTCAAATATAGCAACTTCTTTATCAAAACTTTCTTTTCAACTAATCATCATAACTTTCCACCATTCAATTTTCTTAGCTATCTCCACTTCTCAACCAATCACAACTTTACCTGTTTAATTTTACTTACTTTTAAAAATAATTTTATAAAACCACACCTATTATTATCATAAAATTTTCTTTTATTTTAATATTCGTGTGCAACCCTAAAAATCATATTAGTTCTCTTGCCACACAAAGCCACGCCACCGCCGAGAGAAGGAAACCGGAGGCGACGAGAGGGATGGCTTCCACGCTGCGGCGCGCGGCCGTCCTCCGCCGTGCCGTCTCCTTCGCAGCGCCGTCTCCCGCCGTCCGCCGCGCCGCCCGGCTCCCGATCGCGCCGCGCCGCCCCTTCTCGCAGCCGTCTGCAGCGTCAGGTGATCAGCCTCCCAAGTCTGCACTCGACAAGGTAAAAACTTAATTCCCCCTGCTTCCCTTGTTCTCCTCGATGTTTTCTTCGATCGTCTCAGGCTTTCCCACTGGCGTAGCCTCCGCGTCAGCGTGGTTCAGATCAGATGGACCACACGCCGGAGCAATCAACGCAAGGGATGAAACATTAATTTTTTTTTAGAGAGAGAGAGAGTGTGTGAAATATTTGTTAGGGCTGGGAGTGGATTCTTTTTGATCCAAATTCGGTACAACTAGTTGTGATATCTATCGGTCCACTGAAATCAAGTTCAAATATACATCGAGAAAAAAAAAACAAATTTAGATGTGAATGGTATATGCTACTGCTTATACACCGATTTTTTTTATATCCCGGACGTGTGAGTTGAATTTAGATCTAAAATTTTGTAAAGTTGTGTACATACATCACCTCGAGCAATCTAAATAGTTTCTCATACTTGATGGACCAAATATCTGAATTGTGTGGGTAGATCTGGCACTATTTCCATTTATTAAAAATACAGCGGTAGAATTTAGCTGTTTAGGAAATTTTAACGAGGCAATGGAGCCATCAAGTAGAAATTGGTTTTCATTATTCACAAAAAAAAGTTGTTCCATGCAAACCAGAATGTAATGAGTAGCATCAGTCAAGACATAAGCCAAAAGCTTTTCAGCTGTCTCCTGCATTATTTTTTGCACATTGCTTCAGCAGCCATTCCATCCCATCTCGTTGCAACTTGAAAGCCTGCTTAACCCTTGTTTGTTTGGACCTAAGTTTCAACTTAAAAGTAAAAGAGCCAAATCCAAAACAGATTGAGGCCTCCATCGACTGACTCCTCCGCTAGGCCACCGCCATATCTTTACCATTTTTTGCCGGGTCGGCAAAAAACGCTGACCGTAATATATTAAGAAATTGGAGAATGTACATCAAATTCGCAAACCTATCTTTACCATTTTCCACCGGTATGATTCTAACATCAAGGTTGCCGACACTGCTCTGAATTTAGTGCTCAATTGTAGCTCTTGGGTCAGATCTGATTTTGCTGCTGATATTGATAAAAGTATGATTAAGAGCCTAAATGAACTAGCAGTTCGTAGTAATATAAATTAGTATGAATGCAGCCTAGCAGGGTAGTTGTAGAATGCAGCAGTGAAATTGTGTTTTCATGTGGTGTTTCAGTAATGTGGAGGAACGGTATGGTGAATGAATAACAATAATAATATTGTTGCATGCACATTTTACTTTCATCTCAATTGATTTCCAAGTGCTGTTGCGTTCTATGTCTGTACATTTTCGATGATGTGATAGTTTACAGAGACAAAAGTTTCAAAACACCGAGTGCAATCCATTTTCTATTGTTAAAGAAAATTCTTATCATTAGTCATCATCGTTAAGTATGAACTTCTAAATGAGACTATGGAAGAAAATGAGCTCATAAACAAGTCCTTGCATGCAAGGGTATTTTAGCATTTTTCAATAATATCACAGCCATCCAGAAAGGGCAGGTTGCCAAGCAGTACGATTATTGAAATTGTTGAACCAGTAAAACCCTCTTTCCGTCGATAGCCTAGAATAGTCAGTCGTCTCTCTCAACAAAAGGCAATACTGTATCATTATTACTATTTTTCTCTGTTATCCTGATATCTGGTACTCCCTCCGTCCCACAATATAAGGGATTTTAAGTTTTTGTTTGTAACGTTTGACCGCTCTTCTTATTCAATTTTTTTTTGCAAATATAAAAAACGAAAAGTTATGCTTAAAGTACTGTGGATAATAAAGTAAGTCACAAATAAAATAAATAATAATTTTAAAATTTTTTGAATAAGACGAGTAGTCAAACGTTACAAGTAAAAACTCAAAATCCCTTATATTATGGGACGGAGGGAGTATTTTAGACCATACAATAGTTCTAAAATCATATAATGTATGTACGTCTGCCAGACTTGTCCTGTATCCAACAATGACATAAATGGATGTGAGAACAGGCAGGTGTTAAATTAGCTTAGCTAAATCTGTTTTCTTTTTTATTTATTAAACAAGTTTGGATGGCTGCATCATATGGTGCCTTTTGCATGCATGATGGAATTAGTGCATATTGTGTTGTTAGGTGCTACTGCCATACTTTCTGTTTTCTTCTTGTTTCATGCACATTATAATCTTTTGCACTGTATCAACTATGTATAATAAATGGATACTTCAAAAGAAAGGCCTGTAGGCCACTTAAGAACCCACTTGACACAGTACTTAAAAACCTTTTGTTTCAAGAATATAGCCAATGACATCTACTACTGATTGATTGGAAGTAGTGAGCTTTCATCGATCATGCTTCATGTGTGGCTATTGATCAAATTGCTTTTTTTGTTCTATAGTTGAATCCATTATTTGAGGAGGTCATGAGAAAAGGAGTTTGTTCGATGGATCAATATATGACACTTTGTTCGATGGATCAATATATGACACTGGAAATCGTCAAAAGGTGTAACATACTACCTCCATATTTTAATGTATGACGCCGTTGACTTTTCGTCTAACGTTTGACCATTCGTCTTATTTAAAAAATTTATATAATTATTATTTATTTTATTGTGACTTGATTCATCATCAAATATTCTTTAAGAATGACATAAATATTTTCATATTTTCACAGAAAATTTAAATAAAACGAATGGTCGAACATTGGTTAAAAAGTCAACGGCGTCATACATTAAAATGCGGAGGGAGTAGTTCTTTGTCATTTGTCCTCTTCCCTTTTTGCAAACATATATATACTAATATTTTCTCTTTTTAGCATCCAACATGCTCGTATAGAGTTCAATCGAAAGGAAAATGACTGACCAGGATGGGAAGGCTGGAAGCCTGGAACGCAAGAGATTATGACAGTGTAGTAGTCTACATCTGTGAATTAAATTACTGAGACACTAGCTTTTGAATCATGCTGTAGTATGTTACTAGTTAAGTTCATTTCTCATTATCAACCGTGTCCAGTATAAACTTAACTGCCAATGCTGCTCGATGGAGGTCTTTATAACATATGATATGTCACTTCTGCTGGACGAACTATGTATGAAATAGATGGTAGAGCTAACAAGTGTGACTGGGTGTATTTTGGACCTTTCACACTATTTCCATGTCATATTCAACCAAAAATGAATTTCTTAATAGGTGTGGTGTGTAGCACCAAATATCCATAATTTGAGAGTGTCTCTTAAAAATTGACCTTTTTTTTCTGTATTGAATTGACTAGTGCTACCTATGAGCTTGTATATCTTCTTGTATATCTTCTGTTCTGAAAAAATCAACTTATGCGTACAAACCTGGATATATGCCTTTTCAGATTCGTCCAAAAAAAAATTTTAGACTATGGAAGTTGTTTTCTTTTGGGACAAGGGAGTACATAGCAAGGGGATGATATGTGTACTCTTTTTTTTTCATCATTCTTGACAACTTTAATCATTAAATTAAATAGTTTTAAATGACTACTTCCTCCGTATTACTCTCCCCGTTTTATATTATAAGACTTTCTAACATTGCCCACATTTATATTTATGTTAATGAATCTAAACATAACATATATATGAATGTGGGCAATGCTAGAAAGTCTTATAATATGAAACAGGGGAAGTATACTATAAGTCATTTTGACCTCTTTTTTTCAAATTTATTTAGGTTTGACTAACTTTATAGAAAAATTAATTAGCAACATCTACAAAATCAAATTAGTTTCAACATATACATTGTATATTTATATAATATGTTTGTTTCATAATGAAAATATTGCTATATTTTTTTATATAAACTTGGTGAAGTGTGATTAGAAAAAGTCAAAAGTAACTTATGAAATGGAGGGAGTAGTTTATAAATGATTTAGTTTAAGTGTACACGTGATGTTTTAAAGACTTGCTGTGTTCGGAACTCCAAGTTACCAACTCCTCTCCCTCGTTTTCCGCGCGCACGCTTTTCAAACTGCTAAACGGTATATTTTTTTTAAAAAAGTTTCTATACGAGAGTTGCTTAAAAAATTCTAATTAATCCATTTTTGATTAAAATAATAGCTAATACTTAATTAATAACGCGCTAATGGACCACTTCATTTTTTTTGTGTGTGGGGAGATGGGTTCCCAACCCCAGTAACCGATCACATCCTAATATTGCTCAAAGTTACTACTACTACTACTAAAAAGTAGAGGAAATATTTGTAAAAAAAAAAAGGTTTTACTATACTACTTGTGATAGTTTTTAGGCCTAAAAATTTTTAAATTATGGACCGTTAGATCACATCAAGATTCGTGAAGATTAGATGATAAAAATTTACGCAAAGAGCGTGGGAGCAAGGAGTCAAACCTACGACCTTCCGTTTACGACCGAACAGAGCTAACCGACTGGTTTAGTTAGAATGAGCGTAACTCATAACTACACTATAATTCAAGATATAAAAATTTATATATGTTTTTTAATAATTATATATGTGTTATATTATAGTGATAGTGAAATTATATTATAATATATATTATAGTTGGATAGGTTGTATTTAGATGCAGGTGTGAAAAGTTTTGACGTGCCACATCGGATATACGGTCACACATTTAAAGTATTAAACGTAGACTAACAACGAAACAAATTACCGCCTGTAAAACTGCGAGACAAATTTATTAGGTACAATTTTGTTTTTGCACCCACTTTCATCTCCAATATGATCTTACCCCTACTTTTTGGGGTTTTCATTTTTGCCCCCACTTTTTTTAACTGGAAGAGGCGTTTACCCCTACTTTGGATGGAAGTTAGTGGGACTAGGTATATGGCAGTAAAAAATAGAGAAATAAATGAAATAATTTTTTTTGAATTTGTGTTTTACTTTTTTACCCCTAGCACTAGTCTAGCACTAGTCTAACAGAGAATCGATTCTTTCCCACAATCTCGCTGCTTCTCTCGATTCTACAGGCGGCAACAGCAGCTAGGGCGCAGCTCCTCCCGTCGGCGGCGGCGAGTGGCGGCCAGGTGGTGGCGGCTAGGGCGCAGCTCCTCCCGTCGGCGGCGGCGATGGGGGCACGGGAGAAACGAAGCTCCCCTGGTAGACATGGTGCGTCGCGAGGAGACGTCGTCACCGTCGTCGTCGCCGCTGAGCTCCCTACCGGCGGCCACCACCTCGCCCCTCTTGAGGTTGTAAATCCCGTACCAATGGGAGAGGGTATAAATGTCCTATTTAACACCGTTAACTCCATTATCCAAAACATGGGCAAAAGCCTCTTCCGGTTAAAAAAAAAGTGGGGGTAAAAATGAAAACCCTAAAAAGTAAGAGCAAAATCAATATTGGAGTTGATAGTGGGTGCAAAAACAAAATTGTCCCAATTTATTAAGCCTAAATAATCTATCACTAGCAAATATTTACTATAGCACCACATTATCAAATCATAGAACAATTATACTTAAAAGATTTGTCTCGCAATTTACATGCAGTCTGTGTAATTAGTTTTTTTATCAATATTTAATACTCTATGATATGATAGAGTAAAAATGTTTTTTTTCCTTGGGAGCTAAACATGGCCTTAGATTTGAAAGTTTCTTTTCTTAAAAGAAAAAAGCCTCTTGGCCTCTTGGGCGACAGTGGAGGAGGCGAAGCTCCGGCGGCCGAGGTGCTCCGGCGACGGCGAGTTCCAGTTCCAGGTGATGGTCTCTCCCCAATCCCCATGTTCTCGGTTGATTTCCGGCTCTTCGTCCTCATCCTCCCTCACTCACATGGCTACCTTGTGCTATTAGGGTTTCGTAGCAAGCAAAATCAGGAGGGCCATGTCGTCGTCGTCTCTGCTGCGCTCGTCGGGCGCCGTCGTCCGTCGCGCTCTCTCCGCTGCCTCCTCCTCCTCGGGACATCAACACGGGCGCCCTTCCTTCCGCCGTGCCATCTCAGCGGCAGCCACCGCGTCCGCCCGCCGCGGCCTTGCGCCGCCCCCAACCCTGCCGTGCCGCAACCTCACAGCGTATTCTTCCTGTGCGACACATAGCAGTAATAAAAAGGTGATGCCTTCCATCCACCACAGTTTCTATTTATTTTTTTCCCCCGGGGTAAGGTTCTAGTTCAAGTTGTCACTGAATTTCTGCGTGAAGGTTGACAGGATTTTGATCAGATCGACAGGGAGGGGATTATTATATATACTCTAGAAATTTAAGGGTTTTTTTTTTGTGTGTGTATTTATGTTTGCTCTAGAACTTATAGCATCGACATATATCAGGAATCAGACTGACTCGATCGCTCGCCAAAATAAATTGAGTTTTTAGTTTGGTGTGATGTCGGGTCCCAACCAAACATGAACCGCGGTCTGTTGTTCTACACGTATCGATGCATGTAGGCCTAACTTAGGAGAAGAATTGATTAAATAATAAGTGTAAAAAGTGAACATTTGTCAATGACTAATTAAGTATTACATTACATATTATAAAGTTTGAAAAATGAATTTACCAAATTATTTCAACAAATGCGGATGAAGAAAGTTTTTTGGTTGCAAAAAAACATTGTTTAATAACTTGGGAAGCGTGCTCGTGCAAATCGAGGGAGTTAGTGGCGGAGCTAGAACTTTTCCAAATCTAGGGCTAAATTAGTTGAATTTATATAATTTTACCGGGGCTGTCTACAGTTCGGGCGCCCGACGATTTGGAGAAAAAACGGGCGCTGACGTCAACGCCCGATTTACGTGCAAAAACTATTTAAACTGATTTTTCTCTTAAATTACTTATCCAAATCATGATCCGATTGCACCATTAAATTCGTTGCAATTAAATCTTCAAAACAAGACCACACATGGATATATTTCGATGACAATTTTTTTAGCTTATTATTGAATTATTTTTAAATGTTGCACGATGTTCCCCCAGGTATATCGGAATTGTTTCACTAAGTAGATCAAAAATGTTTCACTCATTTAAATTGGGTGTTGTTTCACCTCATATAAAAACAATGTTTCAGCCAATAGCGAAAGATTGTTTCAGTTCACTGCAACATTTGATCCATACATAGTGAAACATTATAAGTGCACTAGGTGAAACATTTTTTGGTGGAACAAAAAAATAAAACGAATTCCCTTAATAGAGGGTTTCCAAAATATGTGGGTTTTTTGTCGCAATGGAATATTTCGGTTCACTGCAACATTAGATCTATATATAGTGAAACATTGTGAGTATACTAGGTGAAACATTTTTGGTGAAACAAAAAATAAACCAAATTCCCTTAATAGAGGGTTTTTAAAATATGTGGTTGATTTGTTACAGGTGGGGGCAGGTATTGTGGTGGGGTCAGTGACATCACCGTGCGCGCGGGGGCGGGGGGAGCGACCGATTTTTCCTCTCCCAGCCCGGTCACCCGACGGCCATCATTTCCCAATTTTACCTTTTGTCTTCTAGGTTTTGAAGTTTTAAAATAAAATTTTAATGAATATTTAGGAGCAGGAGTAGCTGCAGCCCTAGCTGCCCTACTCCCGTCTGCCAACCATCCAAGTCAAATGGGGCTTTGCTCGTCCTCATGTTATGGGATAAGATGACAATTTCAGTAGTTGCTACTTGCTCATGTCTAGATACAGGACATTTGGTTAATTGGTTACCTTGCTAGTCCTTTTTCTTTTGTTTGCTTTAAGGGATATATAGTTTGCATCTAGGACTAGTCGTTCATAAACATTGTCAGCAGAGAGATATTTCTCACAGTAACAGGAGGTCAGGTCGTGGAGAAGTTACAATAGAGATGATGTGTTCCAAGTTGTGAACCTTGCCATTCTGGCATGACGTCACAACAGAGATCATGTGCCCATTTTATTTCAGAAACATGTTTACTTCTTCTATTTAACATGCAGGGTATGCCTAATTGTCTAGTTTGATAGTAATGCTGTTGCTTTCATGAATCCTCCACCAGAGTATAACGGTTCAATTCCCAGAGCCATATTTATAAATAATTAAATTTCGTTTATAGAAGGCAGATTGCAGTTGATGACTGTGAATTCTCAACCATTGTTGTTTGTTGTGAAGGACGACAAGACTGATCTGAAGCTAAAAAAACACCTTCAAGAACTGGAGCAAATGCTTGACCAAATTGTCAGTGAACATGTGAAGCTGCACAGATTAGTGCACAGCTCTGACCGTGGCTATTTTGAGAGGTATTTTATTCGCTCATCAAGAATGCATATATACCTACACTGCTTATTCATTCATAACAAGTATGTGCATATCTGTGCAGGCTTTTGAGCGAACATGGGTGGCCCAAATGCAAACCTCGTGATGTTTTTGTTTGGAGATGTAGGCTTACAACTATTTTTGTTGCATCTGTCATGATCGGTTACATGTTGCCTGAAATAGGATATCCGTCGTAAAATGCTGTGAAGGAACACCCTACATAGTTGTTTGCAGTCGTGCAGATGTACAGGCGATGGACACTTCTCGCTATCTACAGTAGTACCTAAGACATGTAAATGTGATGCACTTTTCAAATCTTTCTACTCCCTCCGTCTTATTTTAAATGCAACAATAAGTTTCTACATTTAACTTTGATCGTTCGTCTTATTTGAATTTATTTTATAATTAGTAAGTTGTGCTATAAACACCTCCGAAAAATAAGCAAGTTGTGCTACTCACATTATGGAAGAACTTGGTTGCTATATACTTCTCATCTCAAACTATAAACATTTTTTTATTTGTATACAAGAGATAAATTTTGAGATGAAAATACTATAGTACCCCTCAAAAAATAAATAAGGGATATGTATTCGAACAAGATTCGAACGAGATGTTTGATGGGACAAGTAGTATTGTAAATACTGCTATAAATCATCCTATTTTGAAGCAAAGATTAAACTATTAAAGTTCTTATATTTTATTTAAAACAGAGGAAGAGGAAGTATTTTTACCCTATCTAACCAAACAAACAAGTAGCCCAACCTAACATGTAACAGCCCACGACGATGCAATCCATTAGGTAGGGTAACCCTACAATATATGCTATCTTGACTTTTGGACGAGATTCATCTTATTCACATATTCTTTAAACGAAAAATATATAAGCCAGGCTTAAAAAACATTTAGTGATCAGTCAATTCACAATAAATATATAATAAATATATAATGTTTTAAATAAAATGAATAGTTAAACATGTTAAATAAAAAAAACAACCAACGATGTTAAAACGGAAGGGGTACCTTGCTGCCTCCCGGGTGCGATAGTCCAGCCGCATCGGCATCTACAAACGCGGCGGTCGAGGCGAAGAAGCTCCTGGCGACGACCTTGCTCCGGTGAGTTCCCGGTGACATATGTATTCGATCGATTTCCCGTTCTTCTTCCCCCATGCATCCTCCTCCTTCACATGACGGCCACATCCTGCTGCTGTTAGGACGAAGGATCGGAGATGCCGTCTCTGCTGCGCCTGCGCCCGTCGGCTGTTCTTCGCACTCTTTCCGCGCCCCCGTATTCTTCCTCTGCGACACATAGCAGTAAAAAGGTGAAGCCTTTCCATGCATCCACTCGCTCCTAATTTCCAGTTAAAATTGTCGCCACCTAATTTATGCGTGAAGGAAAGGCTGGCTGGATTTTGATCAGATGGAGAGGAAAGCCTCTAGCATAAACTTATTTTTTGATGCATCTTTTTTTTTTGACGCGATTATTGATGCATCTTTACATTGTTAATTTGTTATTAGTAATGTATACTCCCTCCATACTCATAAAGGAAGTTGTTTAGAATAATGTTTAAGTCAAACCTTGGAAATATAAATCATGAATAACTCTCAAGTTGTTAAGTTTGAAAATATAAAAATTATATGAATAGATTTGTTTTGAAAAATACTTTCATAAAAGTATACATATATCACTTTTCAATAAATATTTATAGAAAAAAGAAGTTAAAGTTGTGTTTTGGAGACCGTATCGCTGTCCTAAACAACTTTCTTTACATATTTGTTTCAGCCGGGAAGGTACTTGCTTTATTTTGATGTTTTGTCTTGGTAACTGAGATTCAGTTCTTCTTACAAGTGTTAATTAAGGCTATTTTGGTAATCTGGAATCAAGATTGAAGTGATTGAATAGAGTTCAGTTTTCCTGGATGAAATTATTACAGTGTAGGCCTATGTAACACGTCAACAAAACTTAGTGCAGCAGGATATTGAGGCATAGCTGGGATATTTTTTTGACTCAAATAACTGGGATATCTCGACACTGGAGAATTTATTGGGTACATGAATTCTTACTTACGAGTTAGGAACGACCAGTCCTGACGTACCTTTTGTCATCGAAAAGGAAAAAAAATATTTGCTCAAATAATTCTGCTCTAGTCTAACCATCTCTCCCCTAGCCCTCCGATGGCAGTCACTCCATTGAGTATTATGGTCCATAACTGGAACATAGTAGTGGTTACCTGACATCCTGATAAGGAACATGGCCAGCCAGTTTGGGTAGATCAAATATTCAAATGCAAGCGTACAATTTTGGCTGTGTTTAGTTCACGCCAAAATTGGAAGTTTGGGCTGTGTTTAGTTCACACTGAAGTTTGGAAGTTTGGTTGAAATTGATACGATGTGATAGAAAAGTTGTGTGTGTATGAAAGGTTTGATGTGATGGAAAATTGGAAGTTTGGAAAAAAAACTTTAGAACTAAACAGGGCCTTGATTGAAATTGGAATGATGTGACGGAAAAGTTGGAAGTTTGTACGTGTAGGAAAGTTTTGATGTGATAGAAAAGTTGAAAGTTCAAAGAAAAAGTTAGGAACTAAACCAGGCCTTTGTGAACCTTTTCTAAGTACAAGGAATTCCATGTTTAAATTAAGGGAAAATGCATGTTTTACAAGGAATTCTCTTTGGCTATTTTGGCGGTCCTTTTGTTCAGTGACACAGTTATTTCTCTTGCTTGTAGTTCATTACCCCATGATTTCCACTTTTTCTATATTAGGTAAATGGTGATGAAAGATTCTATGAGAAGAAGCAACAAATGGATCCATATTGAAATTATACTACACTTGCTCTATTGTTTTTGCTACCATTACTTAACATGTCTTGTTAAGCCTGAATCCCCTACTGGTCTGATCTGAAGGCTCCTGTTGAGCGGAGCGTCTCTGACATGTTCGCAGCATCCACCTTCTCTATCCTTGGAGATGGTCAGTCCACGCTCTTCTGGACTGATCGGTGGATCGATGGTCGCTCGATAGCTTCTATAGCTCCTGACCTCCTCCACGCCGTGCCTCCACGCTTCCAGGGATCGCGCACAGTTGCTGCTGGGTTAGTGAACAACTGCTGGGTTGGTGACATACGTGGCGCCCTCACTGTCCCGGTCATCTCTCAGTTCTTGTTAGTCTGGAACGCGGTGCTTCCTACCCAGCTCTCGCTGGGTGTTGAGGATCACCTCGTCTGGCGTTGGACGGGTGACCAGTGCTACTCAGCGCGATCGGCGTATCAGGCGTTCTTCCTTGGCCAGCACTCTTTTGCCTGTGCCGACTTACTCTGGCACGCGAAGGGCCCTGCTAAATGCAAGTTCTTCCTTTGGTTTGCATTTCAGAAGCGTTGCTGGACTGCCGATCTTCTCCAAAAGCGTGGTATCGATAGCCACTCTGCTTGCCCCTTTTGTGCTCAGGAGCTTGAGACCGCGAACCACATCCTCATCGATTGCGTGTTCGCTCGGCAGGTCTGGCTCCGTGTGTTGTCCCCTCCTGGCTGGGCTGCCCTCTCTCCCCCTCGTGGCAGCTGGCTCCAGGATTGGTGGTCATCCTCCAGGGTATGTTTACCTGAGCACCTCCGCAGCGGCTTCGACTCCTTGGTACTCCTAGTCTCCTGGCAGCTGTGGAAGGATCGAAACTCCAGGGTTTTCGACTCTGCGCTCGCTTCGGTCGCAGTGGTTCTGAAGTCCATCCGCTCGGAGGGCCAGCTGTGGTCTTTAGCCGGTGTTACTTTTTTTGGGGATTTCTTGGGAGTGTAGCGTGGCTCTGCCCCCTCCCGCTGTTTGGAGTTGCGTTTTTAACTGTTGTAGTAGTTCCTAGCTTCAAGTCCCCCCCTTTAGGCATAAGCCAGACTAGCTAATTGCTTTGTGTAACAAAAACTCTTTTCCTGCTAATATATTGACGTGCAATCATTTTGCGCGTTCGAAAAAAAAAGAATCCCCTAGTTGGTGTTGAACATTTCAGCTGAATATCATGAATGAAAATTATTTAACTAGTAACTATTGTGGTGTTATGCAGGTGAATGAGCCACTTGATATGAAGAATATAGACCTTGCGTTGGACAAAGTATTTATTATATGTGGGGGCATTAGAATGTAAGAATTCATCCCTAATCCATTTATATGCACTCTTAACAACATCATCAACAAATCCTTATACATTCTTCTAATACTATTGAATGTATAGTCTTGCTGCAGAGAGCAAGCCACGGAGTCTGTCTGCCCAGTGGGCATTGGGTGTTAGTCATATTCTTGTTGTTGGGGCGATTGCAAAGGCTTTGAACATTGGAGATCGAGACTCAGCCATTTGATAATATAATAGGTATTGTTATTATTCCTCTCTTTCACATTATACTACACTTTGGGTTTTCAATAGATTCATGTATATGTCCAAATTCATATAAATATTAGTGAATGTAGATAAGGGATGGATAGGCTAAAATGTCTTATAATGTGGAACGGAGGGAGTACTTGATTGTCTTTTAAATATAATCTTTTAGGACTAGCTTATATACTAAAATTTTTCCGCATCATATAAGAAATATTATGGCACACATAATAACATTGATCGATGGCCTTAATTTGTTTACCCATGCAGACAATAGCTGACCTGTCAGAGGGTGGAAATGCTTCGGTGAGCAGACGTGGCGCACTACTAATATGATGGATTTACAGCAATGACTGAAACTTTTTTGCTTTGCTTGTGTTTGGAGAATAAAATCTTACCTTTGGACTTTGGTCATGTGGTGTCCTCTTAGAAAGTATAAGGGGTGAGCTGGGACAAAGGGAGAAGGGGTTAGGAGGTCTTGGGTTACCAAGGAGAAACTTCAACACATTTACTTAAGTTCTTATGAAATCCAGAAGAGAAAGGAAGAGTATTCTGAGTAGTGGTAAACTTAAGATCCTTCAAGCCAGGAGTACGATATTACACCTCTGGGTAGCCCGAACCTTTACAATTCTTTGTGTTCATCTATTATTGCGCTCCAATGGGGCTCAAACTCCTCACTCATATGCGACTAGCTCCCCAACTGAACTGACCGAAAGGGTCCCATTGGATCCCCACCATCGAGGTCCATACCCTAACAATATTTGTCTCAAAGTTTATGACATAATAACTCGCACTATAGTATGTAGACAATGTACATGACCTAATGGCACCACATGCGATCGGACGAAGCAGTGACGATGTTCGCATGCCTAGCTGCGTCCATTCCTCTTATTCTTCCTTGGTTTAGGGCTTCAGGCCGAGCAGGCAGAGGAAGAGCGAGCACATGACATCGGCGTCCAGTGGCATAACGACAATGATGGTGGCGCCTCGACGCATTCCCGAACACGATACGATGGAGGAAGGTGGCAGCCAGCATGAGGATTGAGGGAAGAGTTGGGAACGCCGACGGCAAGAACTCAGTTCGATAGGAAAGAGAAAACTCCGGAGTGGCTTGATTTGAGGTAGGAGAGAAGGGGGAAATGGGGCAAAATGAACTCGCCGGAGTGGGGAGATGCTGGTGGCGAGATACGCTCTAGGGGAGGAGGATATGGTTTCGGCAGTGCCGCGATGACGGCGGCGGCGACGTGCACATGACGCGCCCTCCAGAAGTAAGGAGGCGGTTGGCTCGGCTAGGCCTCGGCTTAGTTGGGCCACGGCCTGACTAGGCCATGTGAGGGAGAGAAGGCCGGAACGGCCCACACAGCAAGGGGATGGAATCAACGCAGGAGGGAAATGACCGGTTGGAAAGATTTCGGTTCAAAAGAAATAGAAGATTTTTTAGGGGATTATTTTAATAGAATCTAAAAGAGATGTAGTTAAAACAAAGGGAGATGTAATTCAAAAGAATTTGTTTGTTGACTATTTGGGAATTGGAGATAAATTTTAACAAGTAGTTCATGGACTCTATGCATGTGGGGGTTTTTGGTTTATTTTTGAAAATGGATGTTTAAAGGGATTTTTATTTTGGGGTATTGGTTTAAAGGAGGAGTATTTGAATAAAGTAACGTGTAGTCAATGGACTCTATGCATGTGCGGTTTTTGGTTTATTTTTGGAATGGAAGTTTAAAGGGACTTTTATTTTGGGGTATTGGTTCAAAGGAGGAGTATTTGAATAAAGGGATAGATATTTGAATTTGCAGGAGAGAGAGTGTTTGGTAGGAAAACTTTAGAATATCATTGGAGGTGAAAATTATGGAATTTAGATGAAAAAGGGTGATGGCTAAAAGAATAGGTTTTAGCTAATAAAAATAATAAATAGGGATGTTTATAAAATTGGGGAGAGACTTGAACACAAGTATACAGAGATGTCTGGCTTTAGAATATTTATGAGAATGGGACTTGGTGAGTTTGGAAGAAAGAATGGTTAAGGAATGAATGGTATATCGAGAAAATTTTTATATGTGGCATATGGAATTGGAGCTTCTTCAGAAGTAAACCAAAAAGGATTTGAATTGATGGATTTACGAAGACTCGGTCAATAATTTGTTGGTGGAGTTTTACGCGGAAATCTATAGGATTCCGAGGAATTTGGGTAATGGGAATTTAAAAGGAAATATATGCGCTAATAAAATAGGGTTTCGGTAAAAAAATAAATTGAAAGGTTTATAAAACTAAAAAGAAATTAAACGGGGTAAATTACCAAATCCTCGACTATTAAATTATTTATTTAGTTTAGACGAGGCATCTTTTCTAGTATCGCAAATATATATACAGATTCTTTTTGGTGAGGAATAGGTATATCAAATTTACAGGGTAAGATATATATAGATTATTTCACATGTGATGTAAAGCCACAAAAATATAGATATAACAACAATGAAAAAGGGATTTATGGGCCAGGCCGAATCACGGCAAACATTTTGGCCCAATAGTATAGCTGGAAGCCATATGGCTGCGAGGTGAGGTAGCGAAGCTCGATTGCGACTTTGCGAGGTCTACCATGGCGGCGATGCGTCGTTTGGCTGTTGCTTCCCTGACGCCGCCGCGGATCCCTCGTCTTCTCCGTCTCCGACGCCCCGATCGAACGCCCTCTGCTTTCTCGACGTGGACTCCTCATCGTCGTCCTCGTCCCCACGCCGCCGATCCCACGCCCATCTATCTGCCGGTGCATCGATCCGTCCCCTCGTGAATGCCTGCCATGACGACGATGCCATGACGACGATGCGAACCCTTTATATTATTATTATTTTTTAGAGAAGGATATTTTTTTTTATCCGGCCTTTACATCCAATTGGATATATACGTATGTTAAAATAGGGAACTTAGTCTCGTAAACAACCCAATCTAAAATTCGTTCATATAGAGATTTGAACTCAGAATCTTAGAATACTACTCAGTCGTCGACGAACCCTTAATTATTGGTTGAGGATTTTAATTTTATCGCAGGCAATTGAAAAGATTGAGAAGATGAAGACGGTTTCTTCTCTGACCAAGGATGCCTTGAAGGTTCTTCAAGACGCTGGGGACAAGGCCAAGACGCATCTCAGGATCATGCACAACCAGTACATTGAGGAGTACGTACTAACTGTTTCTACTTTATCCATTACATCTTGAAAAAAAACAATCTGTTTTACTCCAGCAATCAGTACTGACCGTCCGCATCAATATATCAATAACTTTGAGTTATCGTGAAAGTACTCTCCGTTTTTAATAGATGACGTTATTTTTTTATCACACGTTTAATCATTCGTTTATTAAAATATACTTCCTCCATTTACTTTTAATAGTCATATTTCATCTTAGCACACAGACTAAGGATAAGTAAATCAACTTATCATCCATATTAAACATGATACTAGTCATTTCTCGTAAACAATCGATTTATTAATATTTACATTTATCGATGCCCATGTAGCCAATCTTATGTGGAAGAATGGAGAGTCACACATTAAATCCGAGAAAGTCATTAAGATGATAAGATTGTTGGATTGAAATATGCCTATCAAAAATAAATTTTTCAGATTTAGAAATATGACTATGAAAAATAGATGGAGGGAGTATATATAATTATAATTTATTTTATTGTGAGCTGTTTTATCACTTAAAATACTTTTAAGCATGATTTGTTTCTTATATATTTGCATAATTTTTAAATAAGATTAATGGTCAAATATATGTTTAAAAGTCAATAGTGTCATCTATAAAAAAACGGAGGGAGTAAGTTTATTATTAAAATTACAGAGTTAAAAAAGCACAATACTGCAAATGTCATGGAACATTTGACAGTACCCAAAAAAAACAATAATTCTGTGAGACATAAGGGAGGAGTGTAAACATGGTAACTGTTACCGAAAGCTACTCTGTGAAAACTAGCGAAGATAACATAATGTCACCTTTTTATGTCTTATAGTACGAATTTAGTTGCTAGAACAACAGTAGGAAATTTGTTTCAGAGTTCTTGTGTAGGGTTAAAACTCTCAGTGGGCAATGGTATGTTACGTAATTGTTGGAAATACTGAATGCTTATATACTGCTTACTTTTAAGCATCTGCATGAGCAGATTGAAACAATTATGATTTGTAGCATTTGCAGGTTTTGACCATTTTTTTTCTTGCCATAATTTACATAAATACGTTTTTAGCTATTTAAACAATTTGGGATGTAATTCTCATTCTCTAGCCGATAAAATAATTTGAGATGTTGCCTTGCAGGGTTCCAATAATGGAAGGACTTATGCAAAATGGCTGGCTACATTTTGTGTGTTACATTGTTCCTGTTTCTCTGCCTTCTTTTGTTCTGGTTGTCGGTACTAGAGTTGTCAACATAATCAACGAACGTTCTCATTCTCATTTGGAGGAAGGCATAAAGATTCCATTTCAGGACTTGGAAAACAAGTAACTATATATATCTTGGTGTGTTTTGTACTTCTGTATACTGATAAGAATGATCTGTTAGTATTAAAAAGAACTTTTTGAATGCATTCTCATATGTGTTGTTGGCGTGTATGCAACCTATATTAGTTATGCATGGCAGACCCATATGTTTATTTACGTTTTCTTAATTAGGTGTGGCATTTAGTTTTATTGATAATTGTTCGACAAATTAAACTTAAAAACTGGTATCGTAGTTTTTTTTTTGAACTTTTGCAATCATATATACTCATTTTGGGTGTGAAGAAGTAACAAGTCGTTACCACTTTTGCACCCTTCCTTTAGCAGCTTCCTGTTAATGTCAGAAGCTTCCTGTTATTGTCAGAAAAGCAGTGATCCTATCTTGCAGCCAAAAACTCCAACTAGCATAGCAGCTTTCTCCTCCTCGAAATATATAAGTGATAATTCTCCTCCTCATAATTTGTAAGTGATAATTCTCCTTCTCATGTGTTGTAGCATTTTGATATCTGCAATAATAAAGCCTTGAGGGTAAAAAGTTCCCTTCCAATTGCCTTCACATCATCTGCAAATGCCCATGATATAAGCTTCATTAATGATAGCTTGCAATAGCGCAGCACCCAGGAAAAAGAGCAAAGGTGCCAAATGATCACCTTGCCCAACTCCTCTTTTACAATGAAAATTCTTGCCTAGGATGCTATATTCATCAAGACTGAGGAGTAGGTGACGAGAAAACCATTTTAATCCAAACATCATTAAACCCCACGGCTTGCGTTAGTTGGAGAATGGTTTCATGTTCAATTGTATTAGAGATATAAATAGTTGTACAAATATCTACTCCCGTGACCTATAAGTTGCAACGGGTGATTTATAAATAGTTATACAAATATCTACTCCCGTGACCTGTAAGTTGCAACGGGTGATTTATAAATAGTTATACAAATATCTACTCCCGTGACCTGTAAGTTGCAACGGGTGATTTAGGATATAAAAGCAAAACTAAACTTTCTAGCATGGCTAGTTGATTAAAGCATATAATTACATCTGCAATACTTTGTGTTAGAATTAATATCCACAGAATATTCTCATTTCATTATAGGATTTTTATCAAGATAATTATCAGCGACCCAAGAAACAGGATCTCCTAGGCAGTCGGTGCGCACCATGAAGGTGCCACATGTCACTTTATCTAGCTCATGATCCCCATTCAGGATCACAATTGGAGTGGCATATGACCCATGTCGGAGCAAGAGGGACGCACCCCGAGGGATGAATCCTTGGGTCCATAACCTTGCCCCATTTATATTTGAGAGGACGATTATCTACCGAGGGGAAGCATGGAAGACAGTGTGGCAACTACAACACCTCTTCATGGATTGCATAATTTTGTGGCAAATCTAGGAAGGTTTGCTCACCTGGCTGAATTGTGATCAAGCATGGATGTCATAAAATCCTGACAAATCACTTGATTGGTGGGAAGCAACACGGGGAGAAAAGCAAAGGACAAATGCAATATGATCATGCCTTATGCTTATTGCGTGGGAGGTTTGGTGCTGGAGGAATAGAAGAGTCTTCAGAAATTAGGAGTTGCTTGTGCGCCTCTCATGAAAGAGACTTTGCAATCGATAACAACAAATTATCATAGGAAAAAATTTCACCCTAAAACAAAACATATTTATATAAAAAACTTTAACAACAAGTGCTCACTCGGAACATAGCATTTTTACATTTCACAAGATATAACTTTTGCATTAAAGTCTCTATAATAAAGAAGGCTTAAAAACAACTATAAAAAAATCTACAAAAAAACTTTAATACTAATACTTTCTATTGTAAATAATATTCTATCAATTGGCTATAACAAATCATCTTCCTCAACTGCGCGTGACAATAACATTTGTCCCTCGTCACTCCTTCGTGCTGACATAGGTGACTTGAGGAAGCTCGGCGTGCTTGGCCTCGACGACACCGATGCCGACGCCTTCTTGCCGCCCGTACTAGTGCCACCCATAGACAACGTCCTCGTTACATTCTTGATGTTCTTGGGCGGAGGCCTCACCACCGGCGACTCCCCTGTGCCCTGACCCAGCATCCTTCTCTGATCCTGCAACAACAATGTAAGTATACCCTTTGCCCCCAAAATATAATTTGAACCGATAAGATAGCTATATTTTGGACAGAGGGAGTAACAATCTTTGCACTCTACTAAAATATGCATATGCAACTAGTAGTACCCTTTGTCTCTTTCTCTCCTGCTCTTTCTCCTTCCTTGTATTGTTGTACTCCTCCAGCATGTCCAGGAGACCATCCTACATTTGGACCATCTCCTTTGTCAGTCTGGTCAAATTCCCATCAGGTAAAGAACGTCCATGGGAGCAACATTCACTTACACCATCGTACTCAAATTTGGCACCCCTCTCCTTCTCCCAAGCAATTACCTTTGTGATCAAGGCCTCTGCCATTGCTGCACCCTCATCAAGTTCAATGATCAATATTCTCAATTTCCATTATAAGAGACATGAAAAAAAAAGAATAGCTAAAGAACATGATCAATCACCTGGCATTTTGCTGACCAAGGCACGCGCTTTCTCGGCACGCTTCAGCACAAGATGAGTCCCTTTGCCCACATTGTATCTGTTCTCATTCTGAATATGCAAACCACATTTGTAAGTTTTAGAGGTGTAGATGCTGATATGGCATCCTTTAAGAGCAGAGAAAAATTCAGAAGTCACACTCTGTTGTACTCCTCAAGCCAAGATTCCTCTTCTAGTGCAGCCTGCCATTTCTCCATCTTCTCAAGAACATCCTTCCTGCTGAACTCCTCATCTTTGGCCTCAGAGATCTGCACTTCCAGCCGCTCCAGGATTAGAGACCGTTTGGCATCTGCAAAACAGTGTCATACATACTCTGAAGTCTGAACAATACAATAAATAGGTTCTACAGAGGCAGTACAGTCTTGCATCGCATACTACTGATAATGCTTCAAATCTTTTTGTTTTTTCATGTGCTTATGACTTCAGATGCATCACTAGAAACACTGTGCATTTGTTACCACTGCAGCTGCACAGAAACTAGGGCTCCCAGCCAATTATTACCACTGTCGATGGCGTCGAACATCATCATCGCATCGTCTTCGTTCTCGACGGGTACATGCGCTCGCCGTCGTATCTCATTGAGCTCATCATACTTCTTCAGTACAAGGTCTTTCATCCTGCACTCCTTGAGCCTCTCCAGCCTTACCACCTCTGCTTCCACCTGCATGATCACACTCTCAGTATCAACAGCTCAACCAAATTCTCACCACCAATCATGACAATGACATGATCTGATCAGCACCAACATTGTTGATGAATTCCATGGAGAGAGCATCCCGTTCGGTGATCTCGTCCTCGGACGCGGCGATGTTGCACGCCACGCTCTGGAACCTCTTCTGCTCCTCCGATGGCGTGTCCATCAGGTTCCACAGATCCAGCATGGTGGCCAAGAGGTCTTGCAGCTGGTTAATTACAGCAAGATGATGAATTGATCATTAATTCTCCATGACTAATCAGTTATTGGGGATGTATAATTCAAGCCAGCCTCACCTTCTGCATCCTGTTCCGTTTGATCTCTCTCAATCTCCCGATCTCGGAAACTAATCTTGCAATTGCATCGTCGCTGATGTCTCCTTCATCATCATGATGAAGGTTGGTCTCTCTGAAATCCATGCCAAGAACCAAGGAGGAGGAATGCAGAGAACCCATCAGCTCTGTCATCTTCCTGACGCGACTATCCTGCCAAAAACAAGAATCATGCCGGTAAACTTGACTGAATTTTTTTTGTGTTCATGCTAGAAACTCAAGACAAGCTGTGTTCTATGCAACCAAAAAAAATATTGTCTGAACCAACCTTCTCCAGCTGCAGATCTTGCAGGTATGCTCTGAGCTCCTCAAGCCGTCTGATGGTGAGGTCGGAGTTGTCCATGGTGAGATGAAGCTGCTTGCTCGGCTTCATCTCCTGCTCGATCCTGTTGATGAGCTCCGTCACCTCCGAGAATTTCCGCCGCCTCTCCTCCCTCCTCCTCCTCATCTCCTCCAGCTCCGGCGTGATCGAGCCGAGCTCCTCCTTGAGGTTCCCTGTGCTCTGATCAATTTGCCCCCAAATCGATCAGATCAAGAAGAAGAAGAAGAGATCGATGGCGATGCACGGGTACCTGCAGCGAGGAGCACGCAATGTGCACGGTGGTGGATGGCTCGCCGATGGTGGCGCAGATGGCGGCGACCTCGGCGACGGAGTCGGCTATCTCCCGTTGCAGCTGTGCCCTGTACTGCTTCACCTGCGCCACCTTCACCCTGTACACGTTGAGGCAATCCTCCTCCAGCGCGTGCAGCATCTCTCGCCGATCCTCCTCCGCTTCCCCGATCTGGTCCCACATCTCCTGCAATGCACCAAACAAATTAATCGACGATTCTCAAGAACCGATCGCATTCGCCATTGCTGACGTCACGGCGTTGGCTTTGCGTACCCCAAGCTCCTGCAGGAGCATCTCGCGGCGAGGCTCCATCTGGAACGGGAAGAGGATGGCTCGCAGCTTCAGTGAAACCATCGGTGTAGAGCTCCGCCGTGCCGCGTCTGCCTCATGCTTAATCTCCTCCTCCTCCTCCCGCGACGGCGGCGGCGGCGGCGGCGGCGATTGAGATCAAGAACGCATCAAGATCAACGGAAAGCTCGAGAAACCGACGAAATGCAGCTGTGCTGCATGCACGGATCATGGCCAGAGGAGCGATGATGGTGCGATTGCAGCATCGATCAGGGATTGTTCGGGGGGAGTTTGCAAATGCGGAGAAAAGCGCGGGAGAAAGAGAGGTGAGCAGGAAGAGGAGGGCGCATGCATCGGTTTGAGTGGCCTACAATTAGGGAGAGCCAACAATGGCATAAAAAAAAGCAAAATGAAATTAAAGCTTGTGCTTGTGTTTAGGCCCCAAATTTGAATGTGGAATTTGGAGAAATATAAAGTGCGAGTCTGGTAGAAAAGTATATGAATATAAACCCGGTTCTTGAAGAAAACATACATGATAAAATTGGAGCCTTATCGTCTACTTGATAGCTTATTGAGCCGCAACCAAAAAGTTAAATTTCAAAATTTATTTTTAGAGTTTTTCTCATTGTAGCCCATTACCCAACATTGCTTTTTAAAAATGTAGATAACAATCAAAGTTGGATACTGATGATCAAAATTTAGATAGGGAATTATCCTCGAAACCGTTAAGTGAAATTGCATGCAACTTTTAGAGTTGATCCAATCAAAATTAATTCTCATGAAACTGACCGTCGACTGCCGTAACTTTTATACATACCTTTAACTATCCGTCTTACTAAAAAAAATTGTGTAAAACATAAAAAAAGTCATAATTAATGTATTATTAATAATAAGCTAAGCCACAATAAAATAAATGATAATTATATGCATGCTCTTTAATAAAATGATGATCGAACGTATCTTTAAAATGACATCATATATTAAAGATCATAGGGAGTACTTTGCAGTGCCATGCATCCACCAACATCTCATATCGGTGTAGTTTTCATGCCATTATATCTCGTTGAAAGCGTCAAGGGTCTTGGCGGCGATATGTATGACCTGCACTCCATATATGAACACACATATATATCCAAATATATGTCTCCTACAAATTAAGCTTAATTATTATTGCTAATTTTTCTCCACGCGGAGTTGGACTGGAGTCACCATCTATCCTGTAGCTAGGCAAGAACGTCGAGGAGAGAGAGAGAGCGATGGATCGATGGAGACGGAAGAGATGGCCGAGCTGTGTGTTAGTTCACGCTAAAATTAGAAGTTTGATTTTCCCGTAAAAAAATTAGAAATTTGATTGAAATTGGAATGATGTGATAAAAAATGTGAAAGTTTATGCGTAGGAAAGTTTTGATATGATGAAAAAGTTAGAAGTTTAAATGAAAAAATTAGTAACTAAACCAGGCTTTACACACCAGCAGCGACGTCAGGATGGATTCAGAAGAGATCGAATGCAGTTGCAGGCTTGCAGCGATTGGAAGCTTCGCAGCTTTGATCCGTCCAGACTGATTTGACCGACTCACTGATGACTTGACCCCCTCCCCTCACCGAGTGAGATCTTTGTGTGTTTCTGTACAACTATACAAAACTCATGGTCAAATAAACACACACGCGCATTCAACTATATACGTACGTACTCAACACACGTACGGGCGCATAATTTGTTCATGATCATTTCGTTGTACTGTTTGACTTATTTGACTCATTTCACATAGAGCTCACCTTTCTTTTACTAGACGATCTTGTACACGCGCGTGCATCTGAATCAAGAGAAAATCTAAGAAATATCATTGACAAGCGTTTAATTTTAAAAAATATCACCGATAAGTGCGAGTTCCATAAATATCATCATACAAGCGATTTTGTCTCATAAATGCAATCGTCATTAGGGTTCCGTTCGTCCCGCGCTGTTAAATGCACTGTGCATCCTATAGCACTTAACGAAGGGTTGCTAACGGAACCCTAACGGCGATAGCATTTTTGGAACAAAGACGCTTGTACAATGGCATTTCATGAAACCTACACTTGTCGATAGCATTTCATGAAATTGGACGCTTATCGACGGCGTTTATTGGATTTTCTCATAAATGAATGGCATGTGAGCTCTACGAGTACTAGCTAAATGTTCGTGCGCTCATAGAAAAAAACTTTGATTTTTTTTCTCGAGGGTAGGACTTAACTGCTGAAGGATACAAATTTTTCAAGAGAAGCTCCAGCTATAATTTTGTGTTTTTTAATATACTCCCTCAGTTTTTTTTTCAATATGTAACACTGTTGATTTTTAATGGACGGTTGACCATTCGTCTTATTTATTTTTTTATAGAAATAAAAATATATGTCATGTTTAAAGAACCTTTAGTAATAAATCAAGTCATAACAAAATAAATAATAATTTGATAAATTATTTAGATAGGATAAATGGTCAAATGTATAAAAAAAGCAACGATGTCATATATTAAAAAAACCGGTGGTTGTATTTTTTTTTACCACTTGTGGGGTAGTTGCCCCCAGTGTGCACCTACATGAAATGTTTTGTCATCGTATAGCAGAGGTCAGAGGATATGAGGAGTTGTTATTTTGTTAATAATGTTGCGTTGTTATGTTAGACGTGTGGGGGTTTGTTTGTAAAGGCCTAAAGGGGAAGGGTTTTTTTTCCCCTTGACCTGACCTTATATATGCAACTTGTGAAAAGAAATTATGGGAAAATAATTACTATATAGTAGTAGCTTAAAGCAAAGAGACGTACCTCAACTCTTTCAAGTGCCTCTAGCAAGGAAAGAGCTAGTGGATAAAACAAAGATTATGCAATTTAGCCACGAGGATGAATAGGATAGTGTGATGATGCTTTCTTTCCAGAGAGGACTGCAGTGGAAGCATGGAAACAAAATTAAAAACATGAGAAAGAAAGGTGCACTTAAACCCTTTTGATTTTGTATTGACTCGGTCAGGTCAGCATTTTAAAGATCCTGATGCATGACTGATGAAAGAGTTCTATGCACTTGATATCCCACCTAGCCCCCACTGGTCACAGCACTGGAGAATTTTTCAACTTAATTACTCTCTTTTTGCCTGGTATACATCAATCAATATATCTGAATCCGGAGTTTCATAGGAATTTTCAACTTATGGCCCATTCATGAACCTGAGTTTATGACAATTATCCAATATTAGAAAGTTGATTAGTGAATTTTAAAAGGTTTTTAAGAAATGATGATGTAAACCTTTTTTTTAAAAAAAATCATAACCATTTAGGAGTTTGGTAAGCATGTCTGTGATAATCTGATGATACCTACATGGTTGTATGATGTATATTGGACAACCACAAAATAAATCTAAGTACACTACGATGTAAAAAAAATGTAGATCTTTGGTACCAAAAGCCAAAAATATTCTTCAAGGTCTGCCTGATCATTGATCGGTGCATTAGCTTAGGTGTATTTGAGAGGAGTAGAAAGGAGAAGAGTACAAAAATACGTAAAACGAGATGAATCATCAGCATATGATTAATTAAATATTAATTATTTCAAACTCTAAAAGTGGATTAATATGATCTTTAAAATAATGTTTATGTATTTTTTTTATAAAATACACGTTGTTTAGCAGTTTGAAAAGCGTGCATATGAAAAACAAAACTTTTCTACTCTATCCACTCATATCAAACGCAGTTAATATCTTGAACTACAAGAGACTAGTTATCCCTGATGTTCACACATTTTATACTAGTGATTGTAGTGTCGGACGCTATAGAAAATGATGTCTATTTTGACCAAGACTGCTTCCAATTAGGAATCTAAATTGTAGTAGCGTGGAAGCCTGCAAGTCAAAACAGGCCATAACCACAAACGAAAAGATGCTTAATACGCCGAAGAGAGTATCTTGACACGATTGATAGTGAGTTGGAAGAAATCAAACTAATTGTTTTAATATACTCAGCACTCATGTTTCTTCTATAGGCAGCAGTGGAGAATTGACCAAGATTGATAGTTTTGTCAAAGCTAATAATATATAAATTCTGTACTAGTGTTTGTGTAATCTATCTCCGAGGAAATTTGGAACTAAGTGGTTGCTGGTAGAGAACCACGCCGGCTATGGATGGTCCTAGCTAGTCTAGGAAGACATTGGTGATATAAATCATTATAAGAATTGTTAGTGTATATGCATCACTAAGCATATGGTGAAATTTTTATCTATCAAAATTGATGATGTTATATGTCAAATACTTTACACCATTCGTTCTAAAATAAATAAGGGCTTGTTCGAAATGTGAGATATATAGGAAAAATATTGAAATACGAAAAACATAGAATAGGATTGCATGCGTAAAATATAGGAATTTCTTGTTCTTCGTACACGTGATTCTTACTACAAAGAGGCTAGAGTGGATTCTTTTTTTTTTCATGTGAAAACATGGGCAGGGAATAGTGTTCCTCTGGAATTCAAGGTAGTAAACCCTTTGAAACGGATGCATCTACAGTACCCAATTCAAAGGAATAATCAATCCTCCATTTTTCCTTCACATTTTCTCCATTCTGACGAATGAGCCCTAAACTCATTGCTACGAAACTGAATATAATCTTGTCTAGATCTGTTGCTAAGATTTAATTCTTTTTGGAACGGATAGAATAATTCATTGTACTAGACAATGTTCTTTTCGACTTCCAATAGCTTATTGGAAGGAGTCACTTCCTTGTTTACCGTGAACATACTTCATAGATTATTGAACGGAGTATTTTTAAAACTTTTCATATGTGATATTTTTTTAAAAAAAATCAAATAAATTTATTTTTAAAGTTTGCGATGGCTAATATTAAATTAATACGATGGTTATTTCTCTTGTTTTGCATGTGGCTTATAAGGTTAAACGAACCCCTATATCAAATGGGGCCTAGTATAGAATTGTACATTGAAGAGTTCATCAAGTGATCTGTACTATGTAATACCTTTTACAATATTATTGCTTTCAGTTTTTATATCATTCTAATTGATTCTGATAGTGCAGCGCAAACATCAAAAATAACACTAACCATAGAAGCTAAACTTAGCTAAGTAGCTAACTAATACAATAACAACCCCCTTGATATAGACACAAGACCAAATCCTAAAAAAAATATTGGTGCCTTAGAAACCAAATACTATTACTCAATTATCTCGATATAATTGACCACACCAAGTAATTTATATTATATCAACATAAATGACATAACGTAGTAATGTAAAACACCGTATGAAAACAACTTCACGTTGTAATAATTTATTAGTACTAGTATATTGCATCTATCCTATATAAAAAAAATCAAAAACAAGACACACCTCATACCAAAAAAAGTTAAACCTATAAATAATAAAAAGAAAAATTGCTACACGTACTAATTTTTTCTTACTAACACTGATGATTTTTATCAAGATAATTATCATCTCAAGATA